TTAATTGACAAAGGTTTTTTTGTTGGTTTGTTTAATCTGATTGCTAAGAAAGCATGAATATGCATGTAAGTACACAACCAGGGAACCGACGGCTTAAGGTCATTCCCAAGGGACTTTGAAATGAGGATTGAACTAGTTCAATGACTTGGTTTCGAACCCGGAACCTCCCGGTTACGACACCAGTGCTCTACCACTGAGCCATTACCGATTAGATTATTTCGTATACCTGATGATGTCATGAAACTGATAGAGATGGGATCATTTGATTATGAGCTAGGTCATCATTTTTACCATTGTGATTTATAGAAACGTTCGTCTTTCGTTATACTTGGCAACGTTCGTTCTGAATAGCGAAAAGAAACAACGAGCCCGAGAAGAGTTCATTGTATAAACGTCGTATTTTGAATATTATTCAAAGAAGTCATTCATGGGGTTCAAATATTAACATTAACGAATAAAATCTAGCTCAGTACGAAGAAGCAATTACAAACTCTGTCTTCGACTGTCCTCATGAACATATTAAGATTTAAAACATTACATCATTATGTACACCGCTGGTCTTCTATAGAAACGAAATTGAAGCAATTTAATAAAATGTTTTGCTAAACATCACTTGCAAACGTTTGCTTCTAAGTCAAGATGTAAAATCACATCTCATCTTCCAACTTAATTCCTGATCTACTGAGTTTCATGGACAGACATTTCTATAACCTAATAACTCCATTGATCGAATGATAACACACAAGGGTAAACGTCTGTCCTGTTTCTTTTCTAAATACAGTACACAAAGACCTGTCCTGTTAATAGTGTACTAATGATAAAGATCAAACAAAACGCTGGCACGTCTGTGCTCCAGATTAGATCTATCATTGGATGTGACTCAAAGGGTCAAAGGTCACTCAATTAATGCATTAATATTTAAGATACATGATAACAGACATGTCTGGCATGGCTCGGTAATGCACCTGCCAAGATAATGGCTCTATCAAAAAGAAGAAGTAATGTAATTTTGAACAGCGCAACAATTTGATTCCAGGTCTACATAAAGAAGTGACATCTTAAAACAGGAATTTCTAAATTTAAACAAGATATTCGACATGTTTAATAAATGTTGCTTCCAATATTTAAAAACAATACATTTGCTTACATATAACATTACATTATTGTGTTGTATTGAAAATGGTATATGTAGTTATATCTCATATACAGTATTTAAAAACGAAAAAAATGCACACATTATTTTTTGCACTTGTTTAAAGCTTATCTGCTGTAGTTTACAGGAGGGATTAGACTGCCCTGCAAGGTCACTGGACATGTGGTTATCTCATCAACTCAGCTCTCAGTTAACATAAGAAAAGAGGATCATGGGGGACCAATGGTCACCGATTAGGCATTGTTTGTTACATAGAGGGCGCAAGTAGCTACAAGTAGTGCAGTGGGCCTTTAAATCAATAATTTTTAAAAGGGTTTACAGTTTGATTGTAAAACATAAGGCCGATTAATCAGTACAAACAAGAAAGGAGAACTTTGAAAATAAATTAATAATTATAATAATCTAATTTCAATTCATTTCATTTACTTATCAAACGTAGATTTGACATGGATCATTAATGTTTTGCTCAGATATAAAGTTCCTTTAAAACAACTCTATCGTTGTATTATACAGATTTATTTTTTCTTCCAGTACAGCGATTCCGAAACTTTGAAAGGAAATGGATTTCTTGCTGCCTTCCTTCCTACTTATGACATGCATATATCATGAACCTAGGTTCATGCATAAATCTAGAAAACCCCATTAATGTTTTTTGGTGGAGTTTATGTTAATGTTGCATGTATGGGGGCGTGCAGTCGAGATGTAATCACTTCAATGGGTGCTGCATTATTTAGAGCAATCATTGATTGAAACCGATGCTCAATACCGGAAAATATCTAATATATCAAGCCTCAATGACGTAAGACCTTGGCGGATTGTAATCGTATAAGCATTTTAAAGCTTGGACGGCAAAATAATCTGGTAACATTCATGTCCGACTATCTTTCCCAGTCTTTAACATGTTACGAAGAGAACAGCTAAAGTTGATGGATATCAAATAATAACTTGTTTTCGCCGATGAAGGTTAGAAATCGACTAATTTTACCATGGATTTCCACTCCTGTGTATTTCGAGATAAAAACAAATAAGTTTCGATATAATTTGGCGAGTAAAAAATCACAAAAGCCTTTCGGAATTACAGGTACATATAAAAGGCAATCAAATGTAATTATTTTGGGCCAGAATAGCGTTGTTTCAGTAAATATTGCTATAAAAAAGATCACATTTTACACAAAAACTGGTGTAAAATATGATGTCTGTCGATCTTCAACAAAAGTTTACCTATTAAAGCACAATTACTTCACGCATCAGACTTTGATTCTACCCCCATCAGTAAGAAAACCATTTTCACTGGCATCATCGTGATCATCGTGAATTGCGAAATATCATATGCCACTTCAAAGTTTGCAAATTTCAAAAGGTGATGGAGAAAGATATTGAAATTTTCTGAGGTTGGTTTCTCGAAAGTCTTTGCCATCACGTTCATATGAATGACTTATATAGGCACTTGTGGTGGAGTTTAAACTTCGAACCTCTAGAACCTCTGTGACGCCAGGCGTATATGTTTCACGGTGTCTTGAACTGTCTCAGAACAAGCTGTCACAGATATATCCCTTCTCATGCGTACTCGTTCACATCTGTATACCATGTTATATGCACTGCCAAGATCATCCATCTAAGACAAGTCTACATGAACAGCACCGGTAAGTATATGGTAAAGACCCAACAAAGCATCCCATACATAATCGGCTGCAAATAGGTTTAAGGATTCTCTATAAAGTGTCATCTTCGAAGTACTTAAGTATAATCATTTTGATATCGACATATACTTGAGTATAAAGAATATCTTAGGGTGTATATATTGCAGTTCTAAAAGAAGGTAAATTAATGACATCATATTATTCTAGGTGCTGATATTATCAATACATCTCATTTTTGTTTATTTAGACTATATTCCAATGAATGGATAGGTCTAAGCCAATAAAATCCAATATGTAGTATAAGGTTAAAAGGAAAATAAATGGATATGGCGAAGCATAATTAATCATCAGTGTGCAATTTTACCAGGTTTTGAATTATATTAACAATCACCTGAACAATCAACTTAAACGTATTGTCTGGCAGGGTTGATAACCGAAGGAAACTAAAATACACAAAAGCTATATTTCAAGAATTTCGTTCTAGATCCTCTAGATTCTAGATCCAATATTGATCTATATTCTGTTAGAACGTAAGCATGCATCAAGCAGGATAATAATAACATTTCCTGCATTACATAAATCATATTTTCTTAAAATTAATGACCCGTACATTCGGCGCAGTTTACCTCTAAGTTTAACCGCACCTCTGCTAATAATAGAAAGACTAGAATGTATTGTTGCTCGCCATTGCACACTACGCCCTACATTGGAGAAACGTGATATATTTCCGATCTAATTATGGTGCTCATGAGTGTGTGGCATTTGTATTTCGCCCTGCAAGTTCCTCGTCGCTGAAACTCATGAAAGTTCATGTTTTTTCCAGAGCACTGGCCTGCTATTTATTCATGTACCAAAAGCATCGACTAAAATACACTAGAGAGTCAGGAATGTGTTAATGTACATGCTTATGGAGGTATAGACTTTATCTTCATATTCGATTCTGTCCTCCCCCCCCCCCCATCACTCTCCCCTCCCCCTCTCTCTCTCTCTCTCTCTCTCTCTCTCTCTCTCTCTCTCTCTATTTCTCTTCCCCTCTTACAACGATATTATTAACATCCATATGGTATATAACTCCCAGCTATAACTATGGGTTATCCTAATGTATCACATGTTATAACTTAAAGCCAATTTCACGTGTACCCATACGAGTAAAATCGGTTCTCTATATGACCGAAATGTAGTCAATAAATAACACTAATGCATTTTTATGTTAAATGATGAAGAGCAAAATGTAATTAGCCTAGTAGACCCCTATGAAAAACAACATTCGTGCTGATAAGGGTGTTCTATCCCACAAAATGCACAAACATAATAGTTAGCAAACAATAACGTGCTTACTTTGTTGTAGTTTTGAACCGCTTGTATGATTTAGATGAAACAGGGCGCCGAATGCGTTATAGTTCTCATTTAATACATAGCGCTGTATACTGTTCTTTTTTCCATTTATCACTATTTTCATGAACATGATGAAGGAAACCCTACAAAATCGTGGATCACAACCTATAGATACAGGCTCTTGAGAAGATAAAGATGTCACTAAGGTATTACATTTTTAAGCCAATCTGGGGATTAATGAGCTCACCAAGATAAATATTAATTCGGTACAGTCATAATAGGGTTTTACAACACAACTTCATGTATAACGTATTATGTATATAGCCAGGCTTAATTTCAAATAGCCTTGTACAACATAATTATTGAGGTTTGATTGTGATGGGTATAGACAAAAACAATTAGCAAACTACAAATTTATGCCTATCATTAGCCTCAGTGAGTCCGTCACAGTACATGCCAAAGTTGAATTGTGTCAGGTCAAGTTGGAATCATTATTCATTAACAAGGGGTAGCTGGGTAGGGGCCTCCCTCCATCCCCACTCCCATTTGTGGGTCAGTCTCCACATTCACCTGCAATAAGGTTCATAATGTCTGAAACGCATTACTTTTTTTGTTATGAATATTATTTATTGTGCTTCCATTCAACAAATTAATAGAAAACAAAATTACATTTTATAGATAAAACAAAAACAAGCTCATACGTTTCGAATAATTATAACAAATAATATGACAGAATGGAAACAATGTAACATAAAATACATCTAACTGCATCTCCCCCACCCCACACACACACCCACACACATCCACACCCACTCAGATCCCCACCTCATAACACATATGAATTGTTATGCAATCGCACGTGTAATAATTACCTTCATTGTATCCCAGTATATGGTCAGGATCGCAAATCCATGATATATTCCGAGTTAAATCTCCTGCCCATGTTACTACGTCAGTCCATCCACACTCGTCGGGGTTACTTCGAGGGCTGGGATACTTCCACGACAGCCAGCCGGCGGGGAGCTCGCTGTGGTGGTCGTCGCTGGTCGCTGCAGGCAGAAAATTGAACACGATGAAAGACCAGAAGTAGATCGTGAAGACGAAACCGGTGACGATGTCGTATTTGGAAGGAATCCTGATTTTGCGTAACCCCGAGAAGCGTTGGTGGAATGCCGTGATGAAGTAAGAAGGCCGTGGCATAATATTATAAGGCCACGACGAAAATAAATAATTCGGAACGAGTCGAAGACGAGAGCGAAGGATTGGCGCTTGATCGCTTACAGATCCGCCGAACGATCGCCCGCCTTGTCGTCTGACTCGTTCCTTATGCAAAACTTCACCAACAGCCAGAAACTCAACCGTGTTTCATCTAAATAAAAGCGTTGAACGAGCATTTAACTGATGATTCATTTTCACCTCAGTAATGACTCCCAGTCAATATTATAAATAATCCACAATGCTCTTTCCAGTTCTAAGTAACCCGCCACGTTAGCAAATGAAAACTTGTCGCCTTCTTCTTCGAGCCAGACAGATTACTGTAAACGATAAGCAGACACGGATTTCGGTGAATATCGCTTGTAAATTACAGCCGTCTGTTGAGTGCATTTACGATGAATGTGGCCTTCGGACCGTGCTGTATGTTGATTGTGTGCTTTCTTACCTTGTGTAAATAAAACACAATCTAATCACCAAATCATAGTTGCTCGTTTTCTTTCATGAAGACACAATCCCCGTGTATTGTTCTCCACAAGCAATTTGTTGTACTTCCTCTTTATGTCTGCAGCAGCGATGCTCCCTTATGTTTTTAGGTGCTAAATTACCTCTGATGTGAGAGGCATCTATCTAAAGAACGCAATGTGTGAGAGAGGGCGCAAATTCAACGTCCCCAACGCCACAATCAGAGTCAATTTGATCACCTGGGTTACAAAGGGGTGGAGCTATGTCGGGCAAGCACTCTGTAACTGATAACTGGGATAATAGCGCAAGAATTTTTAAAATAAGTTTCGACAAGTATATTAAACACACACCACAACATGTCACTGCAAGCTGTAGGGCATAAATCCATTTGATGCGAACGCTATTGTGGTATTACAATCGTCAATAACTTTTGTGCTACTGGACTGAAATCTAAAGGTGTCATGGTAACTTGATTATGGACAAAGAAGAGCCATGACCTGTATGGGATTGTGTGCCAAATTTAGAGTAACGGGTACATTCCTCTGTTTACAAACCTACAAATAGGTGAGAAAAACACACATCCTTATTTGGTTTAGCAAGGTTTGTAAATAGGGAAATTTTACGCTTGTGCGTTACCTGATATTTGTAAGACAGCTGTCAGTGGCGGATCCAGGGGGGGGGGGGCCCGGGGGGCCCGGGGGGCCCGGGCCCCCCCCCCCCTTGAGAAAAAAATCATGCAAAATCACGTGTTTTTTACCTTTTTTTGGGGTTGGGCCCCCCCCCCTTGGCGCTCAAGGGGGGGGGGGGGTGCAAATTGAATTTTTTTTGAGGATCAAAAAAAAAAAAAATGTGCTCACTACCCCCCCCCCCCCCCCCCCCCCCCCCCCCCCCACTGAGTGAATTTTCGGCCGGCGCGATTTTCAAATTTTCGGGAGCAAAAAAAAAAAAGTTGGGCCCCCTCCCCTAAGAAATCCTGGATCCGCGCCTGACAGCTGTCACCTCAATTGGAAATCTGTGCATTGATTTGTGCCCTACTCAATACTGTAGGAAATGTCCAAATTATTCTAAGTGTAGACCTTTTGGTCACCTACACTTCTGAAATATTCTAAGTGTCACTGCTTTGGCTCTGATAGGACTTAGACAGAAAAGACAGATCATTCATTGCATCCTTGTAATTATAGTTATTTATTATAGAATTGAACAACATGTGTGGAAGGAACATAATGTCCTCGTTCGTACTGCAGGGTCAACTAAAAAATGGGAGATTGATGCAAGCACTCCTTTATCAGATGAATAATAACTAAAATCCAGTAACAAACATCCTCATCATTCTGTAGATGATAAATGGGTCTTATTTACCCATGCAGGATAGCCATATCAGGCTTAATACTGCTCTTCCTGAGGGTCCTGCAATAATTATTACCCCAAGTTATTCGAACCCTCAACCTTATGATTGAGAGTAAGGTGAATGAGCCGCTGTACCTCTACTGAAAATGCTATCTACATAATGTATAGAAGATGTATACGAGTAGGCTCATGTGTTACATTTGCTATAGGCCATGGGTGTCGATCCTTACGTAATACATATTCATCAGGGGGGATGAATGAATAGATCACCCCCCCCCCCTGATGAATAGGTATCAGTTACAGATCGACACCCATGCTATAGGCTGTAAATCGCAAAAAAAAAGTTTGCTTGCCTCATGAAACTATTTGAACATACATGCAGTGGCGTACGCAGGATTTTTTTTAAGGGGGGGGGGGGGTTAAAATCGGGCCCAAATTTCGCAACGACTCGGCTTTATTATTTTGCTCCCGAAAATTAAAAAAAAAAAAAAATCAAAAGGGGGGGGGGAGGGGTTCACAAAAAAAAATACACAAAACAAACACATAAAAAAAAAACTCAAGGGGGGTTTAACCCCCCCCCCCCCCCGCGTACGCGCCTGCATACATGTACACCTAATTTAAAGCCCCTCTAACGTGTTGGGCCGAGCCCTAAACTCGCCAACAATTTGATGACAAAATTTCATTTAAATTGTTTCATAAGATTGTATGAAACATTGAAAGAGGATGTCATTTCAGGCACACTTCTGCAAAGATTTCCCCCCAAAACTGACAAAATATTGATAAAAGAAAACAAAATTTAGGTTTTCTGCGTACAACCGAAAACTCAAATTATGTATTCTTTTATCAATATTCGACATCAAACACATTTGTTTTGAAAATACAATTTAAGTGAAATTTTGCCATCAAACTTTGGGGGCTCCCGACACTTTAAGAGGGGAATTAAAACAAAGGCAAATACGCCTTCAGTCATAGTTAGTAGACCTAAACAAGAAACATTCAGGTGAATTGCATTGAACGTATTATTTAGGCCTACTTCTTAAAAATAAAAAAAAAAAATGAAAAAGTAAAACAGAAACGAAAAAATAAGTAAAAATATTTGGAAAACATTAAAAATCTATGTACAGATACTAACGTGGTACAAAGAACGCAAAGGACGAAAAAGAAATGTGTTGGGATCATTGATAGTAACAGGACTCATTGAAATTGTTTTTCTCCCTTATAGTAATCATAATCGGTGTTAATTAACATGGAGTCTGTGTTCTGGCATCCAGCAGATTGGAAAACTAATTAGACAGACTGGAAGAAATAGTTTCCTTAATTCAACCAATCAACGAATTTAGCACTTACAATGTCCAGATGAACTTTGTGTCAACTCTCTTTTGTTTGGTCACTATCTGCTCTATTATGCGGAGCCAAGAGAAGTGAAAGTGTGTTCATTTAGGAATCATAACTATAAGGGTTAGTTTCGGTGTAGAATCCACTCAAAATTATACAGGGATCCACTCACAGTAGCAGTTTGAATGACTCTTTTGAGAGCGGATTCATCGGCTGTTTTGATGTGAATGTTCACTGCCAAACAGAGTGGAATATCCTTACAATTTATGAGTGTAGATACAGTACGAGTTGAAGTATAGGATCTTCTGTATTTTTTTCGGTAGGGGTGGGGGGGGGGGGGGGGGGGGGGGGGGTGGTCACCAGTATTCCTAGATGGGTGAATTGCCATAAGCATTTGAGTGAGGATAATGGAGGAGAGAGGTAGTTTTTTTTTTAGTTTGCCCGTCTTCCTGTATAGTTCTCTCTCGCTCTCTTTCTATCTGGAGGTCTCTGTAAGAAGGAAAACAATTCATTTGAACCTCAATAGAGGGGATTACTCATCAAGGTAGAGTATCATAATTCGTGTGAGGACTCAGTGATGCGGTGCTTTATATTCACTTTTTATGTCAAAGCTTTAAAAATGATGTTGCCCGTTTTCATTCGGTATCATTTCCAGCTCATAATGCTACCCCCAAAAGACGGGAATGGGTCAATTCATGGAAAATATATTACTGTTTAGCTCCATCTACGAGAGATGTAAGATATTAGTAACGCCCTTCTTCTCTTTCTACCTCTCTCTCTCTCTTGGACACATTTCTCTCACCCGTCTCTAAATCCAGTCTGTAGTACATTTGCACTTGCCCCCTTCTCTATCTCTCTCTCTCTCTCTTGCTCTCTTTCTGTCCCTCCTTTTCTCTCGCTTTCTGTCCCTCCTTCTCTATCTCTCTCTCCACACACTCTCACATTCAATACATGTTTATCTTCTGCCACCCCCACCCACCCCCCCCCCTTAAAAAAGGAGCCCTGCTTATGTGGATCTTCCTTAAAATCAATCTACTAATGGCTCAATTTGATTTGCTATTTTCGGGAATATGGTACATTCCTATGAAATATGTTTTGTTCACTGAAGAAGAAAAATACAAATACAAATAACTACATAAATGTACTCAAAATCAGAGATACAAGTATAGATTCGACTTTCGTTCGAAATAAGAAAATCCTCAAACTAATGAATAATACAAATTATTTTCAAGACACCGTAAATGTGGATATGATGTTTTTTTATTACCAACATTTTGAATGGAGATACTTTACAGATTACATCAACATTCATAATGGAAATTATAGTTCACTAGTATACAGAATTTGAAATGTTAAGTTGGAACATCAGTGTCTCATACATACCACCACCAGTGGACTATTCAGAGTCAGTAAATACATATCATGTGTGTTTGGAGCCAGAGGGAGTCAAGTTTGAGTTCAATATATGTGTTACTGCCTCCTGGCTCCAAACAGACGGTATATGTAAAATGTAGATCATGAAGATGTAAAGGAAACTTATGGAAATGATAAAATGAATGAAAAATAGAAAGCAACAATGACAAGAAGCATCAAATGAATGTGAAAGAAACTTATTAAATCTAACACTACATTTGACCATCATTTACCGGATATACATTTTACATATATCCACAAGACGTATCCATTTTCTAGATAAAAGCAAACTTTACAAGTTCAAGCATGCAAAAACTCAACTGTACATCCTGTATTTGTGCACTCTCATTTCCATTGAAAATAGTATCGACTCTAAATGAAGTGCAGAAATATTTCAACCCATTAAGGTGCAGTAACACTTTCTAGTTTCAAGATGTTCTCATTGAATGTTGGCATCTAGTATGTTATGAATAGCAACATAATACATGTGCAGAAAGACAAACAGCCAATCACAAACTTGAATCCATTTCTGTTGCAGTTCATCATGATTATAATTTTGAATAAGAAAGTTATGAACATTTGAATAAAAATAACTCATTAAGATCTTTAAATTGGATATTGGTTATGGAATTTTCAATCACTCTTTTCATATGATTGCACCCCCCCCCCCCCCCCTAACACAGGTTCCTACGGTTTGTATGCACTTAACTGTTTAAAGAATGCAAAAAGGGTCAATTTGAAGAGGAAAAATTGATCCATTCAGATCATACAAAAATTTGGATCCTTTTGAAAATGCATCATACTCTAAGAACATGGCATGATCACTTCGAGAAGATGCAGAACATGGTAAACAAAACCCTTATATCCAGTCTTTTACTGAAAATAGATACCAATTTCAATGTTGGTTGTACTCTTGTAAAGAAAGTCCTTGAATACTGCTACATGCCATGACTACTAACATGCTCATCCCATCCAAAATGTCCTCCCACATGATGCATCTATAACCATCTATTCTGCATCTGAAGTGTTTGAGAGCATGCTCCTAGAGTAATTACTGAGTGCAGACCACTCTATGTTCGAACCTCTGTAAATATTTGCTCTGTGACATGTTCATTACATTAAACACCACACAAGTGTAATACATGTTCACTCAAACATACTGCAATATGCAATGTTGTTATCGGAAATGCAAGTTCCAGACAAGAACAAAAACAAGGACTGTTGTCACTTTCCTACTGTAGAAAGACATCAATGTTTTTGGGGAAAAAAATGTAAATTCAGTTCAACATGTGTTTCTTACATAAAGAGGAAAGAAAGGGAATGTGCTTACTTTATGTACAATGTAAGGAATCTGATTAAAGAAAGAAAATATAATGCATGCACATATTCCCTGAACAAAACAAATATTGACGAGCTTCATCCTCCATCATCTCTTCCACCCTTCCCTATCCCCTCGGCCTATCCTTCCCCTTCCCCTTTCCTACACCTCCCCTTCCTCCTCCTCCTCCTCCTCCTCCTCCTCCTCTTCATTCCCCTCATGGAGTACAGTGCAACCTCATAAAAAAGAAACTCCTGTTATATATAACAAACAAAATGTTATTATACAGAAAGCCTATACATTATAACAAGGTCACGTGCCTGGTTCCAATGAGTTTGCTATAACAAGGTTCCCCTGTATTAATTCAAGTTAATCATATAATGCTAGATTTAGAGGTCATACACGACACTGGTAGTCGCACTCTAAGTAATTGCTATTTGGCAAAATATTCATGAAGGTATACTTTCAAAAAGGCTGTCAAACTTTCTCAAGGTAGCTGTATAATACATGTGCATTCTTTCCACACACAACCATGATTGTTCATGACTTCCCAAATGCTGAATTCATTATAATCAAGGCCCCATCTTATAAAGAATTGTGGTTGATTACAAATTTAAAAATCAATTACAAGTCCTCCAATCAATGGCAAGTTTGCATTCTTTTATCTCTCATGTACACAATTGCGATTAATATCAACTCTTTTAAAGAGAAGGTTGAGTTCTGGGAAGAGGTGACAAATAATTTGTGAGCATTACTCATTCTTATTATGCAAGTGTGGAAGAACATCAGTTAAGACATGTTCCTTGAAAAGCATGGCTCTTCAAATGCCTTCATATTCTAAATATGCATGTAACATCGTAAAAATCGGGGGCCGGCTTTTTACGCCACGTGTTCGTGTAGTCCCGTATACATCTTTCTGTGCAAGTGTTTGTAACTTTACCAAGACTTGGCCACATTTCTTATCATTTTGATGATTCCACAACCTTGCATTACACACAAATTCTTATATGCTAGATGATCAACCTTTTCTGGTCCGTTCCACACCGTTTCTTTCACAATGCAATTGCATGACCAGAACTCAACTTCATCTTTAAGACAGGGCCCAAATCTGTAAATAAACATGTGAAAATGAATTACAAAAAGGGCTCACAATATGTTCTACCTAGTGACACTTCAAGCAGTAACTTCTAGCAAATTTCTTATTGTAAAAATCAAGTGTTTTCAAAGAGAGGAAAAATTTGATCACAATAAAAACTCAATACCTACCAATCATAGAAATCATATTCTCTGTAGCAAATATAGTTTCATGTCTTTGCAACATGCTAATGTCTGTATGCATGTATTATGTAATTTTCAAAAATAGATATATTATATATATATTTCTATTAAAGCCAACAACTGGATGGAACCACTTTCAATATCTAACAACATACATGTATACATATACAGCTAACAACTGAATTATTCATACAGTAACCAAGTTTTGTAAGTTTTTAAGTACAGGTATGTGAAAAATTGATTTGTCTAGAGTAATGTTTCTTGAGAATGTGACCTATTAAAGCTTACATCTTAAAGTATTCAACAAAGGCCATAATTCAACAAGCCCACCTTTCATTCTTGAATTGCAAAAAACTAAAAACTAAAAAAAATTACAAGGGGTATGGATAATATAGTCGTTAACTGTATGTGCTTGGTACATCATTCTTCTGCTGAGTAACAGAAGGGCATCAACTCCATTTAAAGTGAGAGAACGTCATTCTGGCTCTCAACAGATGGGATGCTTTCTCATTTTCTTTTTGGTTTCTAGAAATGCATCATACAGTGTTAACTATTCTTTTACAGAAATGTGCAGTTCATACAAAAATATCAAAGAGATGCTCAAACTTTATGTCAGTGAGGTGAAAATTTAAAGTCATTTGCAGAAGTTTGATCTACTTATCAAGAATTACCAAGAGTCTAGTTTCTTTGACAGAGCTTCTTTGATTCTTACAAAAATATGGAGTGAAATATAATCTTATCACATAATGAAAAATCCCAATTTAATACTTTCTTCATACAAATTGGCAATTTCAAAACTTTACTTGGCTTATGTCCCTGTATATTTTTTTCAGATGCATGACTTTGAAAGTTTGAATGTGAAAAATTACATTAAAAAACAAAAGCAAACAAACTATCAGTGTTGACAATCTGAGGAAGAAAGTTGATTGATTTGTAGCCCTTACAAAACACCTGTTCTGGAAGGAGTAAAAAGATTGCCATTTGTGAGGAACCTCCTTGATAGCGAAGACTCCATGATTGAACACTTGAGCCTCATATTGCAATGCCTTTCGCCTCAGAATTGTCACATCGATCGATCACTCAATGTTGAAACCCTCCTGAACCCCAAATGATGCTACTGAATTTCAAACAAGCTTTTAGTAGGGATTTTAAAATTCATGATAACCACTCTACATTTTAAACGTACCAGTGACCTAATGGGGGAAGAAATAAATATCATTCATAGAAATGACAGACAGTAACGAGGGCGATTCTCTGGGTCTGATGTCTTGTAACCAGTTATTTCTCTTAAAAAAAAAAAAAAATCTCCAAATGATTATTGACTCAAGGTCATATCTCATATACATATATAACTACTATTAATAAGTGGACCTACCAAGAAATTTTTACTTCTGGATGAAATAGACATACCGGTATATCACACTGAAAACATTGCAAAGACTCACCCAAAACTTTCTTACAGCATGCAAATTTCCTTTTTGTGTAAAACAGGGAAAAATGGTCTAAACACTACTTTGCTAGGGGTAAATACAAAAAGACTGAGGTCTTGATACTGCTTTGCAAAGATTTTGTAAAGCTACATGTATTTACATTTTTCCCTAGCACGGCAAATCCCCTAATAACATATAACAGAGAACCATACTAAACACTCTTCATACACTAAATGTATTTTAACCAGATTAAAAACTAAATGTAAACTAGAAAGACAGCATGGGGAGTGTTTCACACAGACTAAGATCAACTTCATGGTAGGATGTTCATGCTGTTTGCTCTCACCATTATGATCTTTAGATAATATTTCTTTCCTTCAATAGGCTAATGAATTATCAAAAAATGTAAATTCTGTAGATTTGTGACCATGATTTGTACGTCCCTTGAGAGACAAACAGTGGCATGAATGGCATGAATGGCCTGCCATATTTAAGTCTAACTTAAAGTCGATCTTAGTCTTTGTGAAGGACTCCCCTGGTCTACTATCTGTGCTAAACTAGCTTCTTGTTATTATAGTGACTCTACTATAATGTGGAATTCACCTGTATTATTGCATATGAAATTCAATCCTGTGATTACTGTTAATTGATTTATTAATTGTATTTACACGTTTGTATCATACAACAATATATATGTACACAAGCATATCAAGCAATACTTTTAATATTTTGAAATAAAAACATCTATTGCAAATGCAAGAGCCTTAAAACCAATGAGGATTAATGATTTGAAAAGTTGAATTCCTCAGATGATTATGAAATGAAGTTCAATCATGCATATGTTTGTTCTCTCAAACATGGGCATTGTGTACTCTCAATAAAGAGCAACATATCTGATGTTTCTTCATTAATCTAAGGCTGCGTTCATGCTTGATTTTGACGGCCAGAATCAGGCATCTGTTACGCGTTTAGTTTAAAACACGGTTGCGTCTTAGCTCACTTTTGTAGAATCACCGAAAAACGGTGATCACGATCGCCGATCGTAAACTCACAAAAAGATGCGTTTACAATTTGTAAACGCGTTTAAATGGGGTCAACGCACTGACCTCTAGTGGGTCTACGTAGCATGCACAGTGAAGGTTTGCGAATCCAGCTGGAAGACCAATTAAGGCCACACACTGAGAATTGCCTGGGGGAGCCAGAGAAGTAAGCATGAACACTACATCGTGGAACTGCGATCACGATGAGCGTTTACGATGAGCGTTTCAGATCGCTCATTCTGCCTTCAAAATTTAAGCATGAACGCAGCCTAAGAGAAAGACAAATTCCTCTGAGACAAAATTGTAAACTCATGACATTGATGTTATGGTCAGCCCGCCTATATCTCTTCCATCTTGTCTATAATTACGGTACATATAACCAACCCTCAGAATCAGCATATCATGTCTGTTTCTCATGCAGCATTGAAAATTAGATGCATCAGATGGGGCAGATCTAGGATTTATCAAAGATGGAGGAGGGGGGCACAGTTCCAAAAAAGGGTATCATAATTTTCATGTGCTAATTTACTTTTAAAAAATCAAAGCAAAAAAAATAAAACAAAAAGAAGAAAGACAAATAGATTACCTCTATCTAATGCATTGGATTTCAAATTAAAAAGGGGACACTTTTTCTTGGATGGAATGGAGGGGGGGGGGGGAGGCTTACAGTATGTCCATTGGGGTTTAAAGGGGATGGGGAAATGGATGAGTTGTGCCCTTTTAATCCACTTAATAGCATCAGTATCAAATAACTTGTCTTGTATTCATTGTCCCAGATACATGCACATGTCCAAGGATCAGATTGTCTGTTCACAGACAAAAGGGTGTTAAATCGGTGTTACATCTGAGAGTTATTGCCCTTCCGGCTCCAATTGGATGAATAATACACTGAGTAAAGCAGGAATAATTCACTGATGTCAGAGAGGTATGTGATGCTGATTGGAATACATAATGTATATAATGCCCACATAACAGCATTGAAACATCAATAAAGTAAAGTATGTCAGAATGAAATGTTCTCTGTCTATGATCACAGGAAAGAAGCAAGCCACATGTACATGTATATACTTATATTCTGTTTATAATATGGTAGATTGCATTGTGGCACATCAGATATCACTTATCTCTCTTTTTCTTCCTGACAAAATTCTGAAATCAACCTCCAGGGACTTGAGCAATTCTAATCAAAGGAATGACTTGGGAATTTAGAATTGATTAAGGCCATCGATGGGTGACTCTGAAGGACATCTTTAATGCATTAGAATTTTCATAACTAGTCCAGCACGACGATAGATTTCAATGAAAAATTCATGATTGTTTAGGAGGGTAGGAAGCAAGGTTGCAAGTGATGAGGCAATCAGGTAAAACATATTCAAGGAGAAAAACCAAGGATGCGGAAAAAGTAACGCATGAAATGACAGGATATAAATGTACATCATATTCATAAGGCTTAATAGGGACTTTTCGATTTGCACGTTCACTAGTGGACTGCGACGTATGTGGTCACTTTTAAAGCAGTGCGCATGCGCATTGACGAGCTCATCGTTTGTAGCAGAATTCTCGAACGAGTTCGCCCTTGTTTTGCCGTCGTTCGCAAGCTGTGACGATACATGTTCGTAAGCAATCTTTTGTAGGCACAAAACATCACGTTAAAGTCACAAAATGGACCCAATTGACCTAATTAAAGAACCGGAGAGTGGTGGAAGCATGAATTTTCTTAAATTAACACATTTTTGTGTCTGTAATTTCCCTCAAATCAAAATTGTTACAGAATGATTCATAAAATGAACACATTTTATTTGTGCATCGCCAATCTGCTGCAGCATAATTTTCGAGATCAGTCCCAGGCACCGAATTTGGTGTGTTGAATCTTTAGCTTTTCGATTGAATTTCGCGCTCACTAAGCAGCATAATTTTTTAGAACAGTGCCAGGCACCGAATTTGGTGTTATATCTTAAGCTATTCGATTGAGTTTCGCGCTCACTAAGCGAGCGTTGTAGTTGTGTAAAATCGAAAAGGTAACGAACAACTGTCAGCGTGCCTCGTCAACCCTGCTTAAAAATGAGTCCCTAATGTTTCATCGTGGTGGTGGTAAACGTAGTATGATCAAACTGATTAGAAAAGTATTTCTGTATATTAACGAAAGAAATCAAATTCATACAAACTATGAGTTAAAGATTACTCTTGACTTGCGTTAGTAGAAGACAAATTTTTAACATAGGAAAACCTATAGGAATGTATGAGGGAATTAACTTCTTCTACGCCACAAAAATCTCTAGATAATTCCAAAAAGAGATTTCAAGAATCAACTTTCAAATTCAATTCTTTCATTAAGTTTTCAATTGGGCCTAAAGCATTTTCTATGGGAGTATAATGAAATATCATTTTTGTTCAAAAAATGAGAAAACAGGACCTTAATATGGACATGCATGACAACCATCAAATTTAAGTTTTGGATAACAAAAAGGTTAGAGTTTATTTCATCTAGTTTCTACATGCAAGCAATGGCATGTCAAATGAGAATTGAATCTTCTACAGCCAAGTATAGACTGTCATATATCTCTTCAAAATATCTAAATAACAATACTATAATTCTATCGTTTGGAATTGTCTTGAGATAAAACAGATAAGGGAACCTGTTGTGCGTCAATAGTGCAATTAGCAATTCAACACCGCCAAGAGCCAGGATGATAAATTGACATTAACATAAAAATCCTCTTAGAATGTCTCTCCGTCTGTTAGCAAATCTGCCCCTTGGGAGAAATAAAGCAAACTATGAAAGAGATTATTCTCAAGAGAAAGATGAAAAGGAGCTCTTCATGATTTTTTGTTGATTTATTTTTTGAAAATTATATCAAAATGAAAATGCAGATCCAAATTGAAGTGATTGGCTGAAAATGGACAAGCGACCAGGCATCTGTTTTGCTGGTCAGCACTTCTAGTGACCAGTCATTAGCAATTTTTTTTGTGACCTGGTGGTTGATCATCCAGCTAATACTTAGTACTTGACACTAGCTAATATATGAAATATGGGATGAGGGTGATCTATAAATTGACTTACTAACCATAAAGAAACTTATGAAAACAATTGAAGAAAAATAGGTACAAGTGGTGGTATAATATTTTTTTTAAAGGGAGAGAAGAAAAAAAAATTGGTTTAAAATTGAAAGCTTCATGGGCTGCTCACTCACGGAGGTAGGAAATGGGATTACATGTAAGTATCTTTAATAAGTATCTGTTTTATCTGGATTTACATGAGTATACAGCTATCAAACATTTGATATTCATAATACATTCTCTCTTTTCAATAGTCCGAACCTAAGCACCTCCTTTAAAACTACATTACAAATACTTTAAAAAGGGTGGCGTGCAATTGTGGGTGACATAAATTTGTATTTAGTGATTTCTGTTTCATGACTCCTATCAGCATTTCATAATGCAGTTGGTTTGTTTACTTGACTAGAGATGCAAACAAGTTCAACCTTCTGAGTTTCATCAGTGCCTCCGCATGGTAGGAATGTAATATGGCAAGGTATTTATCCACATTAGCTACTTCCAAACAAGACAGATTTGCCACTCTTGAACAAACAGGTACTTGGTTATAAGGAATTCCTCGAAAGCGTTAAGCGACCCCATTGGTAACCTAACTAGCTCATGAGGAGTGCTCTGAGCACCTAGGGCAAGGTGGTCTAATAATCCAATATTATTTCTTATCTCTATCATTAGAGAATTTCCCTAAGTTCACATAAGCACAAGTATGTAGTGTTCTTCCTGAAATTCATTACAGTCTCAACTCAACTTGCTCAAGAAAGTCAATTTTCATTTCTTACTTGGCCAATACCATCAATACAGTTACAGACTTTCTACAAGTTACGTAGAAATCAGCCATGTGGCACTCTTCCTGAAATACAATCAAGTCTCCACTGGTTCGGGGAAGTCAAATTTAAACCCTTCCTTGGCCGCAAGTTCTATCTTAGGACTCTCTGTCAGGAGAGCCTCCTTAGGAGATGTCTTTGAATCGCTCTGTTGGATATCCTCATTCTGTTTCTGCTGCTGTTGCTTCCGCTTACCCCTGTTGCGCTTGCGACTGGCCCTCTTGGTGGGGGTGCCCCCGCTGCTGCTGGTGCTATCACTGGCGCGGTTGTCCAAACCTCTCATCATGTGGTGAGACTCTAGTCCATCGGACTTTGGAGGATGGGCAGCGAAGGGACGGCTTCCTCCCAGAACATCCATGTCCTCTTCCTTGATCTCAAAGTTGAAAGAGAAGAGAGACGCGCAAGAGGAGAAAGTGGAAGATACCTGACTATGGTTTGTATCATCGGTATCCGTCGGAGTCCTACTCGGTATATTCTCCTTCTCGTTCTCCTCCTCCTCCATCTCTCTCTCCTTCTTCAATCTTTTCAATGAGTGCAGTGCCATTTTGTTGTCAATGAGAGGTTGTTCATCATGCTGGAAAGCTGCACTCTGTGAGTCATCCCCTGCATCCCTTGCAACATGCGCATCCTCTGATTTGCATAGATGCATATCCATCGTTTCAAGTTCTAAGCTCTTCATCAATATGTCCTCCTCCTCTTCCTCAACTGGCCCATCACTTTCTACTTTATGGGCTCCTTGTTCATTTGTTTCCGTCTCGCTTTCTTCATTCCCCATCTCAGGGATGACAGGTTGGATGTTGCAATATCTTGGACCACCATATGAAGAAGGTGACATTGACGATGAAGCTTTTCTGAAGAACGTCGCTGAGCTCAATTTCTCGCATTCTACAGGTGCAAAGCTCTTACCTTTCACCATATCTAAGAAAATGAAGAAGTAAATGAAAAGAAAAAAAGGGTTAGATACCACCTCACCACACCAGCCCTAACATGAAAACTGCCAATATGATAATAGTAACATTTTCTTTGCTGCTCCAGAAGTTCTATTTTTATCATTCATAAACAAATTGATCTGTTATATTATGTTAAAAAGTTCTGAAATTGTTCCTGGCCAAAACTTGTTTATGTAATAACAAGAGGATTACTTGACCTTATGAAAGGTAAATTAATCAATGAGGGCCTACAACACTACTCCGGAGTCCATGCCATGTGCAATTGTATACCAAAACAAACAAAACTATGTCAGACTTCTTGCCATAAGAAGCTTGTTGATTATACTAATCAAAATGGAACTTGAAAAAGACATACTGCAGGGAGGTAGGTGAAGGGCCCAGAGATTTGACCATCATATATCCCCTAAAATAATGACAACTGTATAAAAAATGTTTTGCTTGTTTGTCAGACCACCTAAAAATAATGCTTCAACTCACGTTCAAATTTTGCAGATTTTTAATCTTTTAAAGTATTTTTGTATTCCTACCCCCCCCCCTCCCTCCTCCCTCAATGCTACAATTTATATGCATTGTATTGCAGACAGGTTTGCGGAAAGATTGAAATGTAGTGTCAAATGATGTACCTTCTGAGTGTTTCTTCTCCTCCTGCTGCATCCTGGCTCGGTAGTTCCCAAAAGATGCCCTCATCACCTGCCGCTTCCGGGCCATCGGTGCCTTGGAGGACTTCAAGATCTTCAGTAATCGCACTGCCTCAGGAGCTACAGCCGGGAATGGACAAACGAGAGAAAATCATCAAAGAATGAATGGAAGAACATCACTTTCATGTGCCATACAATTAATTTCCATATGCCACATTATATTTATCATGAGATAGATATATACCAAAGGCTTCAAGATTATTTTACTTTTTTCCAGTGCAAGATTAATCTACACAGGGGGGTGTTTCACAAAGATCCTAAGTTGAACTTATTTTTAAGTTGGACTTAAAAATTATGGAAAGCCGTTATGAATCTATGAAAATATTTTGTAATGTTATTTCAAAAGGCATAAAATGTTGATTCAAATCATTCATATTTTCTATTATCAAGGAGATTTCATGTTCTTGATGTGGAATTTATAAAAAGTCTAAAATACTTGAATTTTTTGCTTTTTAATACATTTAATTTTAAGGCTACAAATGGCTCTCCATAATATTTAAGTCCAACTAAGAGTTAAGTTTGACTTAGGATCTTTGTGAAACACCCCCTGGTGTTATAAGGGTTGCCATGGAGGTAATCAAGACTGGAAATGGGTAGTTTTTCAAAGCCATTGTGTTGCACAAAGCAATCCTTCTGTCATTTAGTGTCTCTTGTTTTCAGTGTGCAAAACTGCATATGTGGTAAACGAGGGCCCATGCAGAGATGTGAAGAAAGCAACCGAAGTGTTAATATTTGATGTTGAATACTTCACACCATGCAGCCTTTGTTTCAATGCATTTTACTGAAGGAGCAACAGTGATATCATTTTTATAAAGGTTAATTATTGGTGATGTTCAGTTATGTTTACAGTAATGCGAAACTGCATACATGAACATGTGTATGTTTAAGCCCAATTTAAGTGGCAAGGCTATTCCTAGACATTTGATTAATACTGGAATTGAAGGTATATCATCTGTATTTTGTCCATGGCACAGTTTCTCAGGTGACTAAGTTTCAATAGTTATGTTAGATAATGACACCGCTAATTAAAACAAAATGTACATGTATATGTAGATAGAATAATGTAGATCACATCAGGCTAATTTTTAGCAAAGAAATTTCAGGAAAGCATGTACAGTTGTACAACCAATTATTCAATGAATTCATAAACAATTTTATATTTTACTTCTTTTAATTATAATTCATCAGGACTAACCATACATGTTTATATTACACTGCAGCTCCAGAACAACTGACTAGACTCAAGTGTTATAAACAGAGCTGCCAACCTCTGAAACCAAAATCAGTAATCTGAAAGCTAAAAATCAGTAATTTTGGATGGAAATCAGTAATTTCAAGCGCGGCGCTTTCAACATCAAGAAGACTGCATTTGCACGTACATTGTAGAGCTGCACACAACACCACAACACAAACTACTAGTACCATGGTAATAGCATCACTCTGAATGACAGGACTTGAAGTAAAAACAAGAACATTCTGTTTATAACATCATTTTAAGTGCTATAAAAAAAACAATGGTTATTAGAGGATTGATGTATCATTACCCTGTTTCACTTACGTGTGTATATTCACTTCAGGTTTTTACAATTGCAATTTTACTGTCAGGGAAGGCATTTTTGACAAGTTGTGAAAGGTGGTCTGCTGCTGAAAACGCGATGTTGTGCTCTATCAAAAATTGAGTAAACTTCACTTCGGCGTTCGTGACAGAATTGTCCTTTGCGACGAAAAACTGGGCGATGTCATGACTGCGGGAATTGGAACTTGCCTCCGCCGCTGCAGTCCGGTGCTTCACCGACTTCAGATGTACCTGGATATCGTTCGAACCGCCATGACCAATTCCAAAATCGGATGAGCAATGTGTACAACAGGCACTGTTTGTATTCCTTTTCGACGGAACAATGCATTACCATTTCACCTGAGAAGGTTTGCAGTTTTTTAGAACGCTTCTTCGATGAAGTTGAAGTCATTTTTCTCCGTCGGTTACTCGAAGTTTGACGCGACCACGGCCGACCTGCTGCACATGCGGTAGTGTAACACTCGGCCAATGCATATTTCGCCTAGATAAATATCGTGCCACTTGTTTCAGCACATCCACCATGCATGCGCTTTCGTATCGGTCAAAACTTTGTGTGTCAGCTCATTCAAAATTTATTCGTGTATCATATTTTGTTATCAACAATGAAAAGGGGTATATGAATAAAATGAAATGAATAAACATGATCCAACAAATAATGTGAAATAAAACACAATGACAATAATTGTTGAATATAAATTCAAGTTTAATCAAGGAAGTACATTCATTTTCCTTATGACAATTATCATCATCATCATCATCATCATCATCATCATCTTCATCATTAGTCGAGTCGTACTTTTATTATCATAACAATGAGAACCCATCACTAAGGGGAAAAAAATTGTAGACCTGCTATAAACTACACATGGACATGGTACCGTACGGGTTGGTTTGCAAGGTGGCTAAATGGACTTGTGACGAGTTTGCCGTCTCCCCGATATATATTGCATGCTGAAAGCTAGCACACGCAGCCCATATGGGCAGGGCGGTGTGCATATCTTTCGATGGTAGCTACATGTGTGTGCAGTGGTCGTGGCTGAGGCGCGGATGATATTTCCGTGCGCTCAAAAGTTAACCACCGGGCCAGGGCCGGGAAGTATCGCGATCATTACCGCTAAAACACTCGCATATGCATAATGCATGTGTTAATACATAGGCATGTCCAGAAATCGGGGAATCCGTAATTTTTGAAGGGGTTTCCGTGCTTCCGTAATTGCCGTTGATTTCCGTACCAATTACGGAAAATCCGTACTAGTTGGCAGCTCTGTATAAACACACTTGATTAAAATGCCAAGGTCATCAACTCAATTTAATTGCTCATCGCCCGATCATGGTCACTTGACAGACCATTGAATTATAAAATATATTCCATTATAAAATGTACCAGAACATACAAGTCTTCTTGTTGATTACACTGTATATTATCTATTATAAAATCTAGTGTTTCCAAAAAATTGCATTTTGTTATTTTCATATGATTGTCAATAACTCAACTACTGTATGTAGATGCATACTGCATACAGTGTACATTGTGTGCAAATGGAAACTATTCAATAATGACACAAACATACATCTGTAAAGTAATTATCAATGAGGTTAGTGGGTGTAGTGGCTATATGATCAAAGCACTTACATACATGTACATGAGTGCAGATACTGTCACTGTAAGCCCATTTTTAATAGGGCAATATATCATAATTATGATAATAACAGAATTATGTCTTTGTGTAGCGAGCTAGCACATGGATACAAAGATTGATGGATGAATATGGAAATTATATATTACCCTAGCTTTTAGCTCTGGTAGCCACCATTAGCTCAGACTGCACAGTGCATACCGAGGAATAAATCTTGCTATGCATCTATACGCATGCCCACACACACATTCATTAACTACTAGGAGTCCAGAACGAGAGAAAGAGAGAAATATCGATAGGTAAAATGAAGTGTCTAGGGGCGCGTTCATGCTTGATTTTGACGGCCAGAATCAGGCATCTGTTACGCGTTTAGTTTAAAACACGCTTGCGTTCATGCTCACTTTTGTAGAATCACCGAAAAACGGCGATCACGATCGCCGATCGTAAACTCACAAAAAGATGCGTTTACAATTTGTAAACGCGTTTAAATGGGGTCAACGCACTGACCTCTAGTGGGTCTACGTAGCATGCGCACACAGGTTTGCGAATCCAGCTGAAGGCCACCCAAGGAGAATTGCCTGGAGAAGTAAGCATGAACACTACATCGTGGAACTGCGATCACGATGAGCGTTTACGATGAGCGTTTCAGATCGCTCATTCTGCCTTCAAAATTTAAGCATGAACGCAGCCTAGGATGTAGAGACGGAGACTGAGGTAATTTGACCCGCATCCTCTTGATTGAAAGTCAAGTGAATCAACCATTAAATATCTGTGCCAAAGTGCTTGCAAGCAGGTTAGTCCACAGACTCCATCTACAAGGAGTTTAAAGGAAACCTTATCCTGAAGAATAAGTTTACATAAAGGTTGGTATGCTGGAAGATGAGATTTATTCCTGCCTTTTGATGCACAATAATCATTACGAAGAGATATACTGTACATATGACAACATTTTGGGCATGATGCCAATAACATGACATGAGCGCAACTATTTTCTTGGTAATGTGAAGTACTGTACCAGGAGAACTTGTACATGTATCATGCGCCAAGCTTTAGTTGGAATTTTGGAAAGGCTTAGGTAATTAATTAAAATAACAAAACCTTTACTTTTCATTAATGAGGGAAAATCATAGCACACAAAGTTAAATTATATTTGGTGGAAATTATATAACAGGGGAAAAAATGTAACTCATTTACTGAAAAATACTAAAATATAGCAGTTGATAAATTTATTTCATTTGTATATGCAAAACCTTCCACCCAGAAGAGCAACAACTTATTACAGTTGTACTATAGTACAAAAGATAATAGCAGGTGAATGAAATACTTAATCACCTTTTGAGAGCACGCATTTACACTCCAAAAATAAGTGAAATTTTGCTGGTGTTTCTGCTATGCAACTTCCTACATAACATCCGGAATGCAAGTAATATTGGCGAATTTTCCTTGCAGCGTAAATGCAGCTAAAGTTCTTCCCATTCACCTCATTACTGTCTATTCACATTTCCTTCATACATCTTTAAGCAGAGCTCTTTACAAAATCCATTACCTCTTTTTTCTTATTAGTTCGAGGTCCATTTTACCTTGAGAATGGCATTTAATGTACATGTGGGAAAACCGAATGTGCTGAACCTGAGTGCATAGAATATTTCATTTATGAAGTTCTCCGGAAGAGAGCATCTTTTTATCACTTTACTCAACAAGAATAATGTCACCGACCATTCTTTCCACATTTCCTGCACTTCCCCTGCCATCTTATCAGGCAATTAAATGGCACTCTAGAGCTATAATGAATATTTGATAAAGTATCATTAAAAGCATATTCCGAATGAATAATTTAAGTGACTAGGACTTTCCATTTCCATAAAAACACAATAGCGACAAGCCGTGTACATGTATGTATGGATAGGGTATATATTGGAAGCTAGGATGCAGTTTTAGAACACTTGACTGAAAATGCAAAGGTTGTGGGTTTGAGTCCCAGTAAGGCAAAAATCCCTTTTTCAAGACAATCTTTGCCACTCTTGACCCAGATAAATGGGTACTTGGTAAATTTATTACGAGTTGGAATTTATCAATAAAATACTGATTATTTCATGATACACAATTCAGTATCAAATAATGTGCCTGCAAGCTCTTAAATTTTGCAACTAAATCAAAAAGGTGAAAATGTTATTAAAAAATATATAGAATAATTTTGTTTTAATCCATCAAAATATAGGGTGTTGATACTGGAGATTCAAAATGTAGTGTACAAATTGTACATCTTTAGCCAAGCTCATATTGTGGGCCGACATGTACATGAATTAAAAAACCAAAGAAAAACGTGTAAATCAGCATTTTCAAAAATGGCATCTAGCTAACAACATCCCCCCCCCCCCCTTTTGAGTGAGAAAAATTGGGAAATAATAGGGAATAATAGATAAAATGAGGGGAAAATCAGGAAAATCAGGAAAAAATCAGGAATTGGGAAACCGATTTAAATCAGGTTTTTATCAGGCCTGACATTTGTGTATATGTACAGCACTAGAGTACCGTAAGCAAATGCACCTTCACTATCTTGTATCATGTACAAAATGTACATGCACCTCCACCGTGCATAATACTTGAACTGGTTTAAGCAGCCTCACTGCTCATCATAATTGAAACCGATGCCACAGTTGTCCCAAGATGAAACTCAAAGCTGGAAAAATATTCATTCCAGATATTAAAGGTACTGTTTAACAATGCCAAGTCTGAGAAACATGTTCCCTACGTGTGTTATCAGCGTCTGTGATATGGTTTAATATTGAAGCCCTTCAAAATGATCATGAAATGCCTTTTGAGTGATCGGTTTTAAAATACTCATTTTTCCCAATAGACTGTAGTGTTATACAGGTGTAACAACCGTTGGGAAAAAGTTTTTTTTTAGATTTCGAATTCCAATCATAAATATCTTGATAATCAGACAGGCGAACGGCTTGTAAACATCATGGGATTCCTGACTGACCTAAAGATTTATAATTATGTTAGCAGCATGAGCTAAATCCAGGATTTTGTTTAGAATCTGAGACAAAGATACCCAATCACTTTAAGTACTGTACATGTAGCCTACAAATGAAGTCTGATTCCTCTATAGGTTTCCTCCTGGGGATGGCTTGTGATGAGCTACAATCCTCTACTTTAAAGATAAGGTTGGCTTCTGGTCATGTGATCGCATTGTGAAAAGAACTGCGTGAAAGCGATTGGAAAAGGTTGATCATCTAGCAGATGAGAATTGATATATAGGCCTACATTTTAATGTGCAGTTTTGGAATCATCAAATGATAGGAAATTAACTCGGTTTAGCTGAAAGCAACATATATTGTACACAGAAATGTGCCATAACATAACTTAGAAATCTTAACATTGTTTTGATCACATATATCATATTTCTTGGATACCATTACAATTTTCATAACTACATCTATTCAGTAATTGCAAAGCGTGGGCTTAAAAATCTTGTGCAGTTGTGCTGTATACCAAATGCTGTATTTTTCATCTGAAGTTTCTGAACCCATCTCAAAATTCAAACAAGAACTTAAGCTTTCAAGAACTGCTGTACATCTTTCCCCTCCCTAGCATCCTTTCCCTCGAGACATAGATTTAAACAAAATTGCTGAAAACAAGTGTTCCTTTGCTATTTTCAGTCCCTAATACCTCGCAGACATCAAACAACCGCGAGCACTCATGTAGCCATGTGCCGGTACTGTGCATGCAGCTAAGAAACGTGATCACTATTGATATTGATCACGTAAGGAGGCACACACATAAGGAGGCCTGTCTTCATCAACTCACGATTGCCAAATAGCCCGCTATTTCTGATTTAATTAGGAAATCCTGAAGTTACAAATTGCGTCTTCATCAGCTCGAGATTTGACCCCAAAACTTGAAACTCGAGCTCAAGAAATTAGCTCAGCGTTCGTGAATAGTGCGAGTCTTTGGGCTGGTGAAGGCGCACCGGACAAATAGCGGGATATTTTGCAAACTAGCCCGAGATATCTTGGGATGATCATCTCGACCAAATATCCCACTACACTTAATTGCAAGTTCAGGCTGATGAAGACTCAAATTTACTGGATGATTTGTGATCAGGATAGTTCAAATAGTGTGATATTTGGCAATCTCGAGCTGATGAAAACAGGCTTATTTAGACACGACCAATAGAGCACTGTGCATGCCTTGAGAGGTGCTATGACTGTATTCTTACGTAAAACAAAATCAATTGTGGCCGGAGAAGTAATTAAATTGAACCTTACTCCAGGCAAACCTAATTTGCTTAATGGATTTTTGCTTCTGCTAGAGCGTTTCAATAAAGTTAGCGATCTTTACAGTTATACATGTAATATGACCATGTCAAATACAACGACTATGCTAGTATGCATACACGTATTGATATTTTGTTGAGAGTACCGGTAACTAAATTGCTGTTTTAGTTTTACCTCTTTAATAAAAGAGAGACAGGTTTACAATACATCACAACATCTTTAATAATATCTCAGATAAAATTTGCTTGCAGCCTTGCACTACTGCCATACTTTCTAACATTACAAAAATTTAAAAATACTGTACATTCACATTTTTTTTTCTTTCTCCTTCTCCTTGTCCTTCTTAGAAAAGGTTTTGACTTGTTATTGGTTTGCAATTACTTTGGGAGCACCGTTGGTCTCATACCAGAAATCCTAGGTTCTATCCTTATTTGATGATTAAATGGACATCCTGGGAATGGGATACAGTAAGTTATTTCATCCAAATTTGCCACTCTCAACCCAAGAATACATGCATTACATGCAAGTGATACTGGACAATGTACCAATCACCTGAACAAAAATAATTTGTGTACAGCTAGACTGTATAAAATCAACCTAAATAAAACTCTTCACCCAGCATTCTGACAGCAAACAGAAAAGAAGTATGAATACATTTTAACACTTTAATAATAATTAGAGAGTCATCAGGATGAGCAGTGTTGTTCTTACTGGTGTGATGTGGTCAGGAAGACCATATTGTGACCATACATGTACATGTACATGTATGATCATACTACAAGGGCTGAAGAAAGCATCTCCCCATAAATACATGTATGTCAACAACCTGCAAGAATGTACTTTACCGTTGGGAAATCATGCAGGCCCCTAATGAACCCTGGGAAGAAAGCTGTCTAGGTGATAATGGGCCGATGGCGGTTGTCTAGTTTGCAGGCACATATACATGTACCTCAAGACGCTCATAGCCATCATACATGTAGGTCTGATCTTCATGTATCCATACTCTTAAGACTAGCCCTGATTGGTAATAGGATCAGGTACTGTCTCTGGTGATACAATAACCATTGAAATTGGGCTGGCCTCAAGGCACTACATACTGAATATGGAATATTGTTGAAGTGTTAGATAGGGTCTGCACCTGCAGACAGGATTACCCATAGGGTATCTGTCCCAGTCTCATCCCATCATCTGTTCATAGCCAAAAGGGCATTTACTCTGTGTTACAGTATATGTGGTAACGCCCTTCTGGCTCCAAACAGACAGTATCGTCTGGTGCAAGCTAGGAGGGCATTAACTCTTTGTAAAATGATAAGAGTTACCGCCCTATTGGCTCTCGGCGGATGATACCAGAGTAATTCTAGAGTTTAATTAAAAGGTGAGGAGGGAAAGTCTACCTTTCTGTGAGCCGGCTTTCTTATTATCCAAGCCCATCTCTAGCTGTTGTATACACCAGCACAACTCCTTCTGAAATTTACAGGCTGCAGTCTGTAGGCAGAATGAAAAGAGAGAGAAAAAGATGAACAATCCACTTTACTGTATTTGTTTTAATAATCAATGTTTCATTTTCTGGCCTTAAAGTCTTTAACTGTTGGGAGCCCCAAATTAGCCTTTGCTAATAATTTGCTGGCAAAATTTCACTTAAATTGCATCTAATGTGAAAGAAGATGACATTTGAGAAATTACTTCTGCAAAGATCCCCCCCCCCCCACCCCCCAAAAAAAAATAAAGAAAAAAGAAAAAAGAAAGAATGTGTCTGAAGACAAATATTGATAAAAAGAATACATAATTTGTGTTTTCTCTGTTGTACACAGAAAACCTAAATTTTGTATTCGATCGTTAATATTCGAATTCAAACACATTTGTTTTGAAATCCCTTGCAGAAATGTTTCTTAAATGACATCTTCTTTCACATTATGATACAATTTGAGTGAAATTTGCCAGCAAATTTGTTGGGCTCCCAACACTTTAGAAGGCCTTTAAGAAATGTACAACCTGTATCTCTCCATTCGATATTTTCAACACATAATTATATCAAGCATACATGTAGTTATGTGAATTGCCAGTTATTGACAAAAATGCACTTCCGGTATAATTAAAGTGCACTTACATCAGACATCTCAATTATTAGTGCAGAAAATAGATTCACACCCAATTTCATGTTTTTATTATCAATGTTTCATTTTCTGGCCCTAATGGAAATGTGTCTCTCCATTTGATATGTTCCAACACATACCGGTACTAATTTCAAACATAGTTAAGTGAATTGCCAATTATTGGCATAAATTGCACTTAACTTCAAACATATGAGTAAACTCTCATAAAATCTCAATTATCTGCGCAGAAAATGGATTCACAGCCAATTTTATGAAAATTGCATTGCAAAATAGAGGATTTAAATTAGTGCTGTAGTCAAACGTTTAACCGTCCGGTATCCGACTGCCCATGGCGGATTCCGTTTTCAATTGGACGTTTTCGTTTTTGTCGTTTTTTTATAATTTTTTTTTTTTTTTTTTTTTTTTAAAGTTTAGATTTATGCCCCTCCACCTGGCACTATGCCTGGCAATGTCTCCCAGCTCAGTAATCTGTGTGTTGACTCACCACTCTGAAACTAGAACAACACTCCAATTTGTATGTCATCTTGGTTTGAAAGTATCTTTGTAATAGATCTCAATATGTAGTTTATAATAATATTCATCCAATTTTTATACAAGGCATACCACAAGATTCTATCCTAGGTCCTCTGTTTTAATTTACATTAATGATCTTACACATTCTTCTAAAAATGACATTGTTACTATTATTTGTGACAAGTTCGCAAGCACAAATCGGCGCCTTCCCGCTTTTTCACACGGACCTGGCTTTTTTTAAAAACCGAAAACCGTCCGGTTTTGACTGGCGGTTAAACGGAATTGGAGATATCCGTGATGTTACAGCACTAATTTAAATTTGTCAAACATCGTAATGTACATCAATAATAATTAATATAATGTAGCAACCAGGATGTGCTCTGAAAAGTTAAGTATCTTATTGTCTAATCATACATTGTTCAGACAATCAAATTTATTGTATAGATCTAGCTAGGTAGCTTACAAACTGTACCTCTCTAATATTTTAGTATTAGTATTTTATTTTGTCGTAGTCTGAAAACAAACATTTGAATATTATTTAGAGCAAAAGCTTGATCACGGACAGCGTCTATATTGCTAGTGTAAACACTAGATTTTCTTAAATGTAAATAGTGCTCATCAAGAGCCTGCAATGATATAACTGGTTACACTGAGCAATGCCCATGACAAGCTGACGCCAAAAATACGGTGTAAACTGACCTTCCCAAACTATTTACAGTATATCTTACAAAGTTCTTATCCAGTGTTTACCCCTTTCTCACAACATACATGTAGCCCAACACAATAAATTTCCCTTAGTGTGAATGCCATATGATTGACCATGAAGGATTAAAATTGATGTCAACTTCAGCTCATAGATTGTCACAAATTAAAATACACTTCCCTTTGATGCTAGCGAGAAGGAGAAGGAGAAGAACAGATAGAATTAATGGATCTACAACCAAAAAAGATGAAAAGATACAAGGAGTTCTTCCATTCAAGTTCAAATCCAGTGTGTACCCCATTCTCACTAGATAGTCTAAAATGATTCTCTATATGAGTTTAAATTTTTTCGCTAGTGTGAATGCCATGTGATTAACCATGAAGTATCTAAATTGATGTCAACATCAGCTTGTAGACTGTCACAAATTAAAGATACTCTTCGCTATGATGCAAGCGATAACGAAAAGAGTACCGGTATAGATAATGGATCTACGAAAAAAAGATGAAAAGTTACAAGGTGTTGCATTCGAAAGTGATACAAATGAAAGACATGGCATGGAAAACTGGAAATGGGTTAGTAAATGAGGATGAAAATGGAAATGAAGGAAGTGTCAGTTGTAATGGGTGTCATCATATCTCTACTTTGTATCAACATGAACCCATCGACTACTGCATTCTCCCATTTCCAAAGGCTTTATACAGGAACTACCAAGTTCAGTAGGCAATGACTTTTCTTCTATTCATAGCTCTTTTACACACACATACATAGATGCATGGAAAAACTCCTCTTTCTAGTTACTCATCTTAAAGGTAAAGACCAGTATTGGAAACGCCCCAATTTCAAAAAATGAAATGGAAGCTCTCATTACCAATCATGTGAAAGAATATGTTTTGACTAATACATATATTTGGTAAATTTGTTTCTCTCATGGTCTGTGAGAGATATAGGGTAGTCCCATATACATCTTTCTGTGTATAGTGCTTGTAACTTTACGAAGAATGGGCCAAATTTCTTATCATTTTGATGATTCCAGAACCTTGCAGATGCTAGATGCTAGATGATCAACCTTTTCTGATCTATTCCACAACGTTTCTTTCACAATGCAATCGCATGACCATAACTGGTCTTTACCTTTAAGTATTGTAGTCCAGGCTCTCTTTTTTGCACGATGCTACTCATTTTTTGTATCAAGTAATCACTTTCTCTGAAGTAGAATTCATTGAAAATGTCATGCCTTCTTGTTCATCTCCAATCTATTACATGTACGTACATGTATTGATTACTTTTTTTTCTGTCTCATGGCAATTCTGAAATCATTTATTTTTCATGTAATACATAATGTAAGACAGCTTTTATTCACGTCACGAAACTTAAAATAGTTTTTTTCTCAATCAATGTGTGATAGTATTAAGGATAAGACAGTCATTTCTTTACACTCTCCCTAATTCTTTACCCTCAGGAACTTAGATAATGTACAGAAAAAGAACCTCGCTCACTCTCTCTCTCTCCCAATTGTTTGCAGTAGTTCAATTTAATTCACCCTTTCTGTCGAATTTAATACAATGAACACTACATGTACGTCAGAATAACTACTGAATCAAAAATGTTCAATTTAATTCACCCTTTCTGTCGAATTTAATACAATGAACACTACATGTACGTCAGAATAACTACTGAATCAAAAATGTAACTAAACCCCCAATGGAATAGTTGCAGAATGTACGTACTATCCACATTGATAATCCATTTAATTTACAATATCACCAAGCCCTTTTTATCCATCAACGGCACAAATTATCGGGCATAAGGTTGTTTTCCTGATTAATGAAAAGAAAACTAGTGCATACAAATGCAACGTCTATAACTCAGTAATTTGTGTGTTGTTGTATTACGCACGCACATGGCAAACAACGCTTTTCGACTTTGTGGTTTAAATGATCCACAGTGAGGTATAAAAGGCAGAACTTGAGATGAAACTTGTCGCCTGTCCTCAAGAAGGCCATTACTTCCATCATCTACATGTACATTCTTAAATAAAACCCTCATGAAAATAACAGCTTACATTTAATATAGATCTGAAATTTAGATGCAAATTCTGAGCAAAAGTGCAAGAAAAGAGTTTACCTATGTTGAGCTGAAGACACATGTTTTTCAGTTTTTTAATCAACCAGTCATTATTTCCTGAGAAGATTACAGTATGTATACCCCTGGTACATGTTTCATGCCTCTAGACTCTAGTAATGCATCCACAAAATAATATTACACATCAATAATTCATTCATTAGATCTAGGAGGGTGGTTAATATTGCAGCCAAAGTACGAAGAGGGTCAATTTCAAACATCTGCAGACAACCTCCATTCCTTTCAAGTAGAATTATAAGGTGTTTTGACATGTTCAGACTGATGGATGTTTGTGACATTCAAATACATTTACATACACCTGTACATGTATTAACACATACTCTTGTGATACCAATTAATTTCTTTCAATTCAGGTTCTTTTAAAGATGAGTCTTGATTGTTTTAAAACTTTGCAACAGGTGCAAAAACAGAGCAACATCTAATGTTGTACCCTAAACTACATGTAATTCTCGCTACCCCAAATAGCGATTCTGCCGAGATCCGGGGAAAATCCTGAAAACGCGCATTGCATTATGGGATAGCTTTTCGACATTACAGCTTCCTGTGCAGGCGCTATATTACTAGGCGCGATAGCGCAAACGTAAAACACAACGTGTATGCACCGAATATGTCGTCTGCTCGGTCTTGTTTTTTTTCCGCAAATATTTCAACGTTTATTTGAACATTTCATTCATTGTTTTTTGCGTCTTTTGACATCAGTGACGATGGTTTTCTTTTGTGAGGCTGCACAGTGCTGGGCTCATGATTCCAAGCGTAAGAACCCTGATTTTAGCGTGCGTGAAAACTCTGCACAGCGAACACAGGCGCTAGCGCCAGCGGGATGGGACTCTATACCGGAAGTTGTAGTGACGACCCGAGAGAGTGAAAATTACCTCGTCTCGCGAATTTCGAGATGAAGCATGTTTCTTGTCATAATCAAGTGCAAATATATGAGGAGTAAACTGTCTCTGAATTCATGTATTTCTGTAAATCTAACATGAAAATAAATTTCAATGTTTTTTAAACATTATCTACAAATTAAGTTTATAAATCAGGATTGTTAACTTCCTGATGAGACAGGGTTCGTACCAAGACACATTTAATATACTATTTTTGTCTTCTCCAGTCACTTTAGAAAACAGACATGTTGATGTTGTACAAACATGTACAGTATACATGTATGAATTAGTAGACCTTTCTAACTACCTTGTTCAGTGTTCACATCTGAGTGCAGTTCAAAGAGGCTTAGAATATTCCATTTGTTTGAAATGGTTGCTAAGGACCAGCACTGCTATTAGAGCAGATGGAGTTCATATTAAATGCCACTGATGAAGTCTTAATGTACATGCAGGGGACTCAAATAAAATTATGAAATATCCCCGTCTCATACATGTAGTGCACCAATGGAAAAGGTTTATGAGAATGGTTGGCATGGAAAAGAATGGCATCCATCATAATTGAAGAAGAAAAAAAGACTTATTTGAAAAATGCAAAAACTTTACTGCAAGAATATGATTAAAAAAACAGTATGTTGAAATTGCGATAATATAGTAGGATGAGGCACCCATGTCTGAACTTACAAAAGACAAAGTTTAAAGATCGACATTCTTTGAGACAAATAAACTTTTAAATAAAGGAGTACTCTCCAATCTATACAGTATACATACATTGGGGTATACTTTAAAAACCAGAAAATTTTGGGCATATATGCAAGTGGTAAAGATTCATGATGAAATGTCCTGCCACAAAGTGGATGATCACAACCGAAGCAACACTAACATTTTGTGATTTTCACAAAAGTTCTTTGCAGTTGCAATTCATTGTTGTTTACAATTTACAAAAGTTTCTCATGTCTTGCATGAAACCTTCTACTTTGACAGCAAATAGTTGAACATCTTACCTCTTCCATCTTGGGTTCTTCCGCTCCTTCTTTCTCTGGGCTTGGTGATTTCTGTCCCGTCCTTCTCTTATTATCTCTCTCTATAGCATCCTACATGTACATGGGAGAAAAAGGGTGAAAGCCACAGAACTTTTATTTTTGGACAGAATATTATGTGAATGTCAAATTTTGCTCATTATTCCTTTGAAAACTCCCATTTGCTACAAGTTATCATTAATTTCCATGACTCTGCTTTTATAATCATTTCCTTGTGGTTTTACTCAAGATATAGCATTCTGTTACATACAGTGTATCCTCCAATTAAAATGAATAACTTTCTCAGTAAGCAAAAAGTGTCAAGAAAGTTATATTTTAGTTTTTTTTTAATTGTGAATTTCTATCATTTAATATTCAATTCAATTCAAATTATTCAATTCATTTCATTCATTTCCATTTTCAATAAAAACAATAATACAATGATAAGCATTTGCAATATATAAGAAAATGAAAATAGGGAACTAAAAAATAAGGCCAAATGGCCTTGTGGAGGCATAGTTCCCCCGAAGCAGAAACACACTTTAATGTGTATCCATCTACAATTCTACATATTTAATGCTTTTACATGTACGTACATGTACATCAATCAACATGTACATGTACATAACTTCTACACCAAGGACAAATATGCAGTCTATAAATTCAACATTTTCACAAACATCATAACATCATACTTTCATTTTATCAAACAATTCCTCTAAAGAGATCCCTCCACAGGATAATCAAGTTTGTCAAAGGGTGCGTTTCATACACGTATGTATATCCCTGAAGATGATTACATTATGAAGTCAATGCACATTGATGAGCTAGACCACACCTGCATGAACATGGCTGATTAGGCGATATCTGTAAATTGCCAGACATGTAATTTCAATTCGATTCAGCACTTACAGTAAGTCTGCATTAATAGAGCATACAGTATCCATCAATAAATGTAGCACAGAAATTGTATTTTGATTTTCACTTTTCTGAAACCTTGCTAACTGGTCTTAATTAAGTTAGGATTATTTTGTCACCCCCCCCCCCCCCTCCCCTTCAAATGGAAATGACCCAAACTCCCGAAGGGTACCAATCACTAAAATATATTTTGAAAGACATGTTTGAGATTCGGATCCATTCCAATATATTATAAATATAAGCTTCAATATTACATCTGTATTTGTGTAAAGGTAAATATGACTTGTTAATAAACTTTAGTAAACATACATGTACATAAAATATAGGCATGAACACAAGCAAAATTTATCTTAGTTTCACTTTATATAAAATGTGTTAATCATGGGTGTCGATCCCGGGGGGATGGGGGGGGGGGGGATATATCCCCCCCAATATTTCAGGTGGGGGGAATGGCCTGTACAATCATCCCCCCCAATAATTCACCATAAAAAATTTTAAAAAATGAAGAGAAAAATTAATGATGAGAGCCCGATGAGAGTAGCTAATGGTTATTTCTCGCAAGATAACCATCGATATACACATTTTGCTATCTCAATTTCATTATACATACATATATACAAAGTAATTGAGACAACTGTATATGAGACAAGAATAAATTGAATTCTCGCTCAGGAATTGATGAATTTATTCAATTTGTTAAATCAACAGCATCATAGAAATGCAGTGCGCCAAATGCAAATTAGACGCAGCATCAAAAAGCAATGAGCTAAATGTTAATCGCGAAGTGCAAAAGTAGCAATCTGCAATGCACATCAGACAATCCTGGACAGTGTAAACATAGATGAACTCTGTGACGAATTGGTGATGAGATAGGAGACAAGGAGAACGATTTTCGGACATTAGTATAACTTATAAGATAGTTCACTAGTTGTTATGTTGTTTCCGTTCACCCTTTTTAAAATTCACGTCATTGTATCTTTATTTTTATTTTTTTCACTCATTTTATTTCCTGATATTTCCTAAAACATTTTTCATTTTTGGAGAAAGATTATTATGTCACAACTTATTTTTGTTTTATTGAAAAGCTGATGTAGGCCTATGTCACTGTCGTACTGGTGGGGGGGGGGGGGGGGCGCTAGCCCAAATAAAATCCAACCATGACTTATTTTCGATTTCATACAAGTAATTTATAAATGTTCGTGATATCACATGATTTTCAACAAAATTCGCGTTTCTCCATTTCTGTTGCAAACTGACACATTCCCAAATAGCCAGGAAGAGCATATATTTTGTATAGTCACTAATGGGCATAATTAGTGGCCGTTAATACTAACAGTAATATACAAAGAAGCTATTGCGACAAGCACTGCCGGGAGATAACATGCTACCCACCACTCGGGCTGTGCATGCAAAGATTTGCGAACGTTCCATACGTACATCATGTGGGGAAACTGAATTCAGACAAGGATTAATATAGAGAACAGTACAACGAATCGTCTTCTTTCTCTAATAATTTAGTGAAACGGCAAAGCTTCCGCGCTTTGCACGGAAGGGGGGCAACTGAATTCAGACTAGGATTAAGAGTAGTAATCAAATGAAACGTCAAAGTACACGATACAACGAATCGTCTTCTTTTACTAATAATTTAACGAAACGTGAAAGCTTCCGCGCTACGCGTGGGATGGGCGAAATTGATTTCAGACATGGATTAAGAGTAATAATCAAATGAAATGCAAAAGCTTCCGCGCTTTGCGCGGGAGGGGGAAACTGAATTCAGACAAGGACAAGATACAACGAATCGTCTTCCTCCTCTAATAACTTAATGAAACGGTAAAGCTTCCGCGCTTTGCGCGGGATGGGCGAAAATGAATACAGACAAGGATTAAGAGTAATAATTCATTGAAACGTCACAGCTTCCACGCATCGCGCAGTAGGGGAGAAAATAAATTCAGACAAGGAGACAATACAACGAATCGTCTTCTTCAGTCTCTAATAATGTAATAAAATGTGAAAACTTCCGCGCTTCGCGCAGGAATGGGCGAAATTGAATTCAGACAATGATTAAGAGTCGAGAATGGTACATCGAATCGTCTTCTTTCTTAAATAATCTATAATGAAACGTCAGAGCTTCCGCGCTAAGGGCGGAGGAAGGGGAACTTGATTAAAACAAGGATTAAAAGTCAAGAACGGCCAACGAATCATCTTCATTCTCTAATAATTTAGTGAAACGACAAAGCTTCTGCGCTTCGCGGGGGAGGGGGGAAACTCCCCCTCCCTGGAACTAACCCACTAGGGAGCGTGTTTCGCGTGCTCACTACCGCCCCCCCCCCCCCTAAAATGAAATCCTGGCTACGTGCTTGGGATGGGGTGCAACGTACTGCCACATGCTTCTACCTCTTGGTGGCTTTGATCCATTGCCGAAAATATTTTGAAACCTATCATCCCCCCCAACCACGGATACAAATCGACACCCTTGGTGTTAATAGTATTGATATGAAAATAATTTTGTTTCTCTATTTTTTATGCCTTTAATTCTTAACAATTCAGTGTCCTAAATTTTATTCGAGGTTGATTTTATGTCTTATAACAATATTCAACATTCTTTCATTTTTGTAATTAATACCCTTTAAAGTGAGTCTCCAGTTTAGACAACAATACAGTATATGACCCACCCCCCCCCCCTTAATAAAAAACCTTTGGAGGAAAAATGGGATCTACCGGTATGTCAAATTTTGTCAAACGTTTCATTGCAAGATTACTGTTCAAACAATTCATCACTGCTTTGTTTGAAACATTAAAAGAAAATTTCATGCATGTGAAAATTCGATTATAAAGTGACCCAAAGAACAAAGGTCAAATGTCAAAACCTACCAATCTTCTCATCTCCTTCTCTTCCCTCAGCTTGACCTTGTGAGCATCTCGTTTCCTCTGCACCCTCTCTCCTAGTTGGTTGTCCTTGGCGTCATGTATGGCATAGGCCCAGCGCATCATAGGATTCATGTTACGTTGCGTTCAGGACTTCCACACAGTTTTGGCTGTATCATAATAAAAATGGCACGAAAAGAGTTGTTTCAGATCATGCATTTTCTTTCTTGTATTGTATGGATCAATTGATTAAACTTATCTGGAACCAAGTGGTTCATGATTTTGATAGTTAGGCCCCTACTGAAAATTTGGGCATTCTCGTGATATAAGCCACCGGTGGACTATTTCCCCAGGACACTATTTTCGCTGAAAATGTGTCCTACTACGGAGAGTAAACGAATGAGTAACCGACTTACACTCTCGAAAGCCTATTGGCGGAAAGTTGAGACATGAGCGAAACTTTCTCTTATTCCGCGCGTCAGTCGCGCATCTCTCTAGCTCTGAAAACGTGCACGTGCACCATGACTTGTTAACTGTCTTATATTGATCGTGAAATAAGCCACCCCTGTGTACAAGTCTATGGAGCGATCTCCATAGACTTCTACACAGAGGTGGCTTATTTCACGATCAATATAAGGGATGACCGGATATGAAACTGTCTATATGTTGGTCGTGAAATAAGCCACCTCTGTGTACAAGTCTATGGAGCGATCTCCATAGACTTGTACACAGAGGTGGCTTAATTCACGACCAATATAAGACAGTTTTATAAGACAGTTTTAATAAGATTTATGATATCTATAAGCTACTTCAACAATAGGTAACTGTCTGAAAGCGGCAGTGTGGTCTTGAAGAGGAGGGAAATGAGGGGTAGATAATATCAACGGGTTAATTGCCTATTCAGTTTATGAAAACTAAGGGGTGGCTTATTTCACGACTAGGGCGTTATATCACTCGATTTGGGCATGTTGCTTCTTTAGAATAGTCTGCGGTGACGACGGAATAAAGTGATTTAAACAGGTCAATTACCTTCAGTTTTTCAAACTAAGTCTGGCTTATTTCACGACAAATAATATGATCATCAAATAATCCACCTCCATGTACAAGTCTATGGAGCGATCTCCATAGACTTGTACACAGAGGTGGCTTAATTCACGACCAAATATAGAGAGTTTTAATAAGATTCATATGATATTTACAAGCTACTTCAACAATAGCTAACTGTCTGAAAGTGGCAGTGTGGTCTTGAAGAGGAGGGAAATGAGGGGTAGATGGAATAAACAGGTTAATTACCTTCAGTTTATCAAACTAAGGGGTGGCTTATTTCACGATTAGGGCGTTATCACTCGATTCGGTCGTGGTGGATGACGGAATAAAATGCTTTGATGATACATAATATGGGACTAAAACATGGTGATTTAGAGCTTTATTTCGTCATGCATACTTTGGTGACTTGCACATTAATGAAATAAAGTTGAGCTAATAATATGGGATTAAAACATGGTGATTTAGAGCTTTATTTCGTCATGCATGCGTTGGTGACTTGCACATTAACGAAATAAAGTTGGGCTAATAATATGGGATTAAAACATGGTGATTTAGAGCTTTATTTCGTCATGCATGCGTTGGTGACTTGCACATTAACGAAATAAAGTTGAGATACTTCAATATTAAATATAGTCTGTATAATCAATTAATTCCGTTCTAAGGAAACTATCATTTTACACTGCACTGATTTAGTTAATCCGCCGCGGCGCTGCAACTAGAACACAATGACGGAATAAAGCCGGGTATCTCTCGCCAAATGAGTCACTTCGCCAGTGTTTGTAAACAATAATGTGAATCACTTTATTTTTTCCGTCCTGCTGTCCTGCTTTGGAACAATACCAAATGACGAAATAAATCGATATTAATGGCATATGGTTGGTAACATAATTGATCTAGAGCTTTATTTCGTCATGACTTTTTTGTGTGCATATTATATCGTGACTCCCACAATGACGAAATACGGCGAGTGACTTTATCAGAGGCCGTCTGATTTACACAATCTTGATTTATTTCGTCACAATTGGAAGAGTTGAACTTCCTACCTGTGGCATCATCTTAAGGTGACATGTCGGCACGTGCATCATGATCAATCGGCTCGCCCATTGGCGGAAACGAAGCATGCGCAGTCTTTTCAAATGCAATATCTAGATGGAACCGTAGATCGGCACGTGCCGCACTGGCGCGTGCCTGTTCAAGCTGTCAGTCATAGTAAATTTCACTGCTTTGCGAGCCATGCTGTCAATCATATAGTGAATTTCACCGCTGCGGCATGCGCCGAAATACTGCGTTGTCAATTCCCTTTCAAAAGGAATTGACTTAATATGTAAATTACAATTCCACACCTTATATTGATACAAGACGCGTGCAGTCATGTACAACACAAATAAATATATGCATAATAAGTAGGGGTGGTTATTAAGGCCCATGCTTTCAAAGTACAGTTTGACATTGACAAATAGGCTCATTTTCTCCATCGGATTCATACGAGGATTATAATATATTTCATACCAATTACCATGCCTTTAACTAGGAATCGAGAGATTTATCTTTTATGGACCGACATACAGGACATTATTGGGGATGCTAGGCGTTGGCCAGTGCTAATTCGAAGACATTTTTGGACTAAAAATTTGAAGCATTGGAATCGAATCTTGGTCGCGGCATTTGTGCATGTGAATGGATTGAATCCTCTCGTATTTATGGAATGGGCGAATCTAATAGGACTTTGTAGAGACAGAGCTAGTGTTCGGCATTTTGAAGCCCTCTTTAGACTTTTTGAAGGTGGAAGAAATTACAGACTGTATGCTTGGAATAATTCCACAGGACGGTACGAATATTTAGATGGGCGACCTCGGTATTACTAACAATAAGGTAAGTGCATTAAACTAAACACCCCCGTAATATAATAGATATGTCTAGATCTAACTGTAGGCTCAATCTTTAAATGACCAATGAGCGATGCGTAATTTCATATTATGCAAATTAAATGTCAATGATGAAAAATTCCTTCAATCAGCTTTGGACAGCCAACAGGTAGGTCAGCTAATTTTACAACACATGGCCTTGAAGTGAATTATTCGTGATCCGGCACCCACAGTCACTAGACTTCACATTCTCTGTCAACATGTCGTGGAGCAAGAAGCTACAAGACCCGACTGCGGGGGATTTCTCGCATTGGCGAAATCCCTTTGATTTCTACAGACTATTAGATATAGAGGATGGAAAGTTGTACAAGTGGCTTGAAGACCACCGCCTCATCGCTTCGGCAATGAACTGTCAAGTGTGCACAAGACCTTGCAAAAGTGTTGGAAACAGTTCAAAGAAAGGTGGCAGGGTATGGCGATGCAAGGGGTCCGTCACATGGAAGCACGAGAAGACATACTCGGTCCACAAACATTCTATTTTTGAAGGGACACACTTCGATGTGCGGGACATCTTAGTCTTTGTCCGTGAATGGATCTTGCAATCCTCCCTCCACCGATGTGCCATTCAATCTGGACTCGACTACAAGCGCACATCGGTGGATTGGGCCAATTTCCTGCGTGACCTATGTAGGAAATTTGTCGACGGCCTATATTATGGAGGCACGGAAATGATGTTTCGTGGAGAGGTAGAGATTGATGAGAGTTTGTTTGGCCGTCGATGCAAGTACCACCGAGGCGATCCAAGAGGGGGCTCAAAAGTATGGATTTTCGGAATGGTGGAGAGGGCCACAAGACGTATCATCCTCTACCCTGTCGACAGGAGAGACGAGGCTACCCTCATTCCCCTCATCGAGAGACATGTGGAAAAGGGCACCACCATCTACACAGACGGGTGGAGAGCCTACTCCACTTTGAACGATAGAGGATACCGGCATTTTTCCGTAGAACACACTCATGCCTATGTGCAGGTCTACAGAGAGGTAGCGACGGGCGAGGAAAAGACCGTTCACACCAATACCATAGAGGGTAGTTGGAAACACGCAAAAGATCACTTCCGGCGCATTAATGGCACCAGCATCGGAAACTTCGAGGGGCACTTGAGTGAGATCCTTTGGCATAATCGCGTGGCGGTAGCAGGAAGTAATATGATCGAAGCATTCTTCTCGCTGATCATCGAATACTACACGTTGTCACGCAAGCCATCCCTGTGTGTCCGTGATCCACTCTTTGACTCCTGGTCGGCACGACACAAGCAAGACAAGGTCATCAGGGAGGAACAGACCCTGGATGAGCCTGCGGTACCGATTCAACCAGAGCATCAACCAGAGCATCAACCAGAGCATCAACCAGAGCATCAACCAGAGCATCAACCAGAGCAGCCAATCGGTGATCCACATGACCACGGGATACTTCCTGAGCCCGACATCGAGTTCGACGTCGCCACGACTTCGCATGCACATTTCCCGTCAAACTCACCAGATGCCCATCGATCGAAGCGACGCGACTCTGCATCACCCCCACACCGCATCCTCAAATCAAGGAAGGCTGGAAGCCCAACAAGCAAAGCCAAAGGAGGGAAGAAGAAATCCACCAAAGCAACCAGCAGACGCAGCACTCTCTGTCATCCACCAGGTTTTGAGCCGAAGTACACAAAGGGCAAAGTGACTGAGCCTCGTCCATGGAGCTACTCAAAGTCCGACTTCGTCTTCGAGTTGTCGTCGGACAGCGACTTCCAGTAACCGGCGTCAACGGAAATAACATCATCGACTAATTCCATGTTGTTATATCCACGAAATTGAATTTGATTGAGTTGCAGCGACAATAATGATTAATCATCCGTAATCGACGTTGACTTCGTTTGCCAGTGTGTTCACGTGTTCTAACAATTAGCCAACTCTGCGTTTTGAGGAGTGCCATGTTTTCATCCTTTTCGTCGTTTTTTACCTTATGGATTATTGACATATATCTTGATGCCCACACATTTTGTGACGATGAATCAGAACAGCACATCGCGGTGATGACGTCCCCGCCAGTTTGACAACATATTGTTCGTGGAGTAAAAAAGTAAGTATATTTCTACGGAGCTTTGTTACCATTTTCCAGTTCTAATTTATGTGCTTTATTTCGTCACTGCCAAGATTTTGTCTTAAAGTAAAGTATTCAGCGTCCCATCTCTCTTTATTTACTTAATTGCACACTCATTTCATTATTATCGAAACAAATTCGACGAAATCAATGATGATGCACTAAATTGATTGCCAAGCAAATATTTCTTCTTGAATTATATCTCTGTATCCCAATTAGAACTCAAAATATATTCAGAGAAAACGCTTATTTCGATAAAGTAAGGGCACACATCTTTTTGTGCCATCTACCATGCTATTCCCTCGTCCAGCAAAAAAAAAAGAATAGGCCTACACTTCGCCACCAAAGTTATCTGAATAACCTGAACCCTTTGATGATTACCGTATGTTTTACACATTATGTGCAATCCACTCACTAACGTGATCACAGTGAATCCACCTCTGTGTACAAATCTACATAGCGTCCTCTACAGACGTGAATGCAGAGGTGGCTTATTTCACGACCAATCATAGAGAGTTTTGAATGAGATCTATGATATTTATTAGCTATTTTAAGAATAGGGAACTGTCTCATATTGTTTGGTAAATAATATTAATAATATTTTATGATCAATTATACTTTATAGAGAGTTTTTTAAGAGATCTACGAGTATGAAATTCATTAACTACTTCAAGAATAGGTAACTGTCTTATATTGGTCGTGAATTAAGCCACCTCTGTGTATAAGTCTATGGAGCGATCTTCATAGACTTCTACACAGAGGTGGCTTATTTCACGACCAATAATAGAGAGTTTTCCATGGATATACATATCTAACAGTAATATGAGATTGAGATATGTATTGGTCTCCAGCGAATGCTGTGTATGTGTCGTGTGAAATTGTGTCCTGCCCAGTAATTATTTGTATCAATGCGAAATCGTGTGGTGGAAAGAAGTCCCCGCGTGCGAATGTCTGTTTGAGAAGTTTCGCATCGATAACAAAAGATTTTGCACCATATCCTTTGAAAATCACTGAAGCCGTCATTTCTTTTGATTGTGTCCGTGAATTTAGGTAGGAGTTCGATTAGGTCCCCAGTGGCTTATATCACGAGATGGCCAAAATTTGAAAATTGTAATACTTTCAATGAAAAAAATTAATTCTTACTCTTCCAAAGAGCCTTCCACTTCCAGGATAGTTTATCTATACCACCATGCAGGGCCGTGTCGTCTTCACAGACTTCCGTACACATCCTATTCAGACTGATTTACCTGTCTTGTTTAATACAAACAACAGTAGATCTATCTCGTACTCGGTTCATGCGCAAAAAAATAAATGACATTCTTACCGGCTACAAGCAATTTTTCTCTATTGATGCCACATCGTGTTGACTTTCATCCATCTAACAAGAAATGGCGTCAAAGTAAGAAGAATCTATATCTACATGAGGATGCAGTTCAGCAGCAGCAGTCACCATGGAACCTCCTCCCCCACGATAGCTCCAGTCTGTCGCTGTGCTCAAGGAGTATCATGCATGCATTATATTACTTATGGCATGGTATCTCGCATGTACCTGTATGGCGCACGAGATCGAGAGCGGCGCGCGCGAAGTGGGAAGAGCTGGTGGTGAGGGGTGCATGGTAATGGGTAGTCCAGCCTCTGTCCAGCCTCTGTACCGTTTTCGTTTAGCGCACCAAATCAGCTGATAAAATAACACACCCTCAACGTTGAAAGTAGACCTAGCCATTCCTCTAAATCTGGGTCCTGAATACGGTCCAGACGAATCTGCCATTCTCCCCCGGAATTCCGGGGGAGATTAACTCCGCCCACAAAGCTATACACGTTCGATGTACGCTGATTGGACGAAAAACCTGACAATCACTTTGGTGCATTACGTAATGCTCCGCCGCCGTCACGAAGCTACTATTCTCATTATAAGGATTTCATACTTATTTAAAACATTTAGGGTGGAGTGTTTATTACGTTAATGCATTTTAAATTTGTATATGATTAAAAAATCCTCTGTTTGTTGAAAGAAATAAAAGTTTAAAGATTGTGGAACAAAACATGAACTGACTATTGCAAATTAAAAACAAACTGAACTATAAATACTGACGTCCCGACGCCTGATATCGAGTTTACACAAACTGTGCTCTTCGAGTTGGCTTTATCGAGTTGGTTTTCTGAGATTTACATTTACATTTCATGATTTTTGTAACTGTTGTTATCATCGTTTGTTTACCATAATCTGTAAGAACGTCTGTGGATAATCATCATCGTTTTACGGAGGAGAAGATTGCTGAAGCTTTGAAATATGGAGCTACGAAACTGGGACTGAATGACTCTCGAATCTAACATTTATTTATGTTTTATTTATTACAATGGATAAAACAGTGAAGGGTATTCCGATTAAGTTAAAAGAAACTGCTTTCCAACGGAGCCCTCCCTCACCAAATGATACAATCAAAATCAGTCAACATAAAAACAAAACATGAATGAAAACATCAATACAATTCAATATATATAAAAAATAAAAAAAAACATGTATACATTTTGATTAAACTATACATGGAGCGCACATGAGATGCACGGCGAGAACCCCCCTACCCCCTACCCCCCTTCCCCCACAGTAATCAGATTGTCGAGTTTTTTTAAGCATGTTAGAGAACTGTTTACATTGTTTCTTGAAATTCGATATCCCTGCTTTAAAAAACCTGTGGTTTTCCTGCATTTCAAATTTTCAATTTTTATTTGTTGCTCTCTACACATTTTACAGTATAGATACAGACATAGAAATAGAAATCATATAGCTATGGTAATGGTATATAATCAAGTTACAAAGAAACTCAATTCACATGTACGATTAAGTACGGGAGCCTATTCACATACAAGCTATTTATTTAGGCTCTCCACTGTCCACATTTTACATTGTTCTACCTTGCCCGTTATATCTACATATTTCGAAATTTCGTACTTATTTTCCGTACATTATATTTGATTTGAAATCTTGAATTGTTTTTCTTCTTGTGTGAAATCTACTCTTATAATAATATATGCCTGTATAAAAATAAAAAATTGAAAGAATATAAACTGTTTTTCTGTGAATGTGGAATAAATAAAACTTCAAGTAAAATGTGAGGAACCTATATTAAAAAATGGTGCTTGTGGATTATAGGTTCCTAATAAAAATAGACATTGTAGATTATAGGCGTAGGAAGCTTTCTTGAAGTTGGGGAAGGGGCGTTGACTAGGAAGCTCTCACCCTGAATCACATCACCAGCGCGATGTGTGAAGTCCCTTTATGCTGGGGTCCAGGGCCTTGGGAGCTCTGGGATCCTAGATTCTCTCCGGTGCAATATAAGCCTTATTTTAGTGCATTTTATGACATTTTTCAGAGCAATTTACAACCAATTTATGAATTTAAAAATACCAAATGGAAATTGTAGACATTATATGGGGAGTATAGCCATGTGAGATTAGGTTTTGTTCTTCGAGATTTAATAGTTTCCTCTTACCGTGAACAAGTGCCTTGGCGGAGCAACTTCCTAAGTAGGGGGGCACCAACAAAAAGGGTACTTTACGGAAAAACGGGCACCTATACAAAGGGAAACCTCACAGCACAAATATACAATTATTGCCATATTGTACCCCTACATTGTGATTAGATTATTAGGGATGATTTCATCGTTTGTTTCTCTCTTTAAATTGTCCAATAAACTGCTTAATCATCATACTTTGCAGTTGGGTGTGATGGTATGAACATGACTTTGTATTCGTGGAATTCTGTCACACTTAAAGATGAATTAAGTTGAGTTCTGGTCATGCGATTGCATTTTGAAAGAAACGGTGTGGCACCGACCAGAAAAGGTTGATCCTCTAGCATATAAGAATTAGTGTGTATGGCAAGGTTCTGGAATCATCAAAATGATAAGAAATTTGGCCAAGTCTTGGTAAAGTTACAAGCAATGTACACAGAAATATGTATATGAGACTACACGAACACGTGGCGTAAAAAGCAGCCCCCCCCCCCGATTTTTACGATGTTACATGCATATTTAGAATATGAAGGCATTTGAAGAGCCATACTTTTCAGGGAACATGTCTTATCTGATGTTCTTCCACACTTGCATAATAAGAATGAGTAACGCTCTCAAATAATGTTTCACCTCTTCCCAGAACTCAACCTTCTCTTTAATGTGAACCCATTCCCCATACTTTGAACATACCGAAGAGCTTTTTGATTTCGTTTCACTGGCTTACTACAACAAACACACGGATACTTGATCCCCATATCGAAACATGAACATCAACATTGATTAAATAAAGAACAATATAACACCATTAAGATAAATGATGTAGAATATAACGTCTATCATTATCATTGTTATTATTATCATTACTTTTTTTAAATCTTTTTTTTTGTTGTTGTCATTATTATCATTATTATTATTAATCTTATTATTATTCGCAATTTAGGTTTATTCCACCTTTTAATTGGAACATGAACTATGCTCTATGAACGTCAAAATAAACATGTCCAAGATAGATATAATTTACATATTATTCTTCCTCCATCCGTCTCTTTCGTCCGCAGATATCTGTTCGTTCCTATTTTCACCACTTCCCACTCAATATATTGCCTCATTAAAGTCTAAGTGAATGAAACGAGGCAACATTTACAATACTGTTCACAGACTAGGTTTTCCGTTATAATATTAACATGAATAATGCTCTACAAAATAAGACCTATTTCTAAGCGCGAATGGTTTATTATTTTAAGTCGAAGAGATTTTTGAACCGGGCACAAACCTTTCAGATTTAATGAAGAATATCATGAGGCTTAATATTTTTTTTTATATCGCATAGAACTTAAATTCCAAATCCTTCTTGAGACTTAAACTGTTTTAAGTATTTAAAGCTTCATTAATCGAATATACGGTTAAAAGTTTTAATGAAAGTAACTTTTGCAAATAAATCATTGAGGACTTAAAAACTTCTCGTACAATCTGATTGATGTCACTTGCGCGCTCACAGCCAAAAGTAAATCGTATTGGACTATCCATCAGACTTTTTGCCGCTCTTTGCTCACTCTCTATAGATGCAAATAAAATAATAAGCCAAAAGAATTGGGAATAGCTAGCCCACTCTTTTTCTTCTTAAACCACGAATTTTTTTCGTCCACTGATGTTCGTTCTTATTTTACACCTAAAGTATTCCGACCCCCCTGTGGCCTGTTCAGATCATCGGTTCCCAAACAAGATTTCCCCTTTTCCCGTCCTTCGGGAAAAATAAAAACGTAAGAATGATATTAATCTTGGTGGTCCAAATTCCTAATACTAGCTCAATATGCCCCAAAGAAAATATGAAAGTTTGCCCCGTATAACAAATACATATAAAACAAGTACGAGCCTGAACGAAATTAGATGCCTGAGCGTTTTTGTGTTGAATTAAGTGACCTTCATTATCATTATTATCATTATAATTGATAGTATCATTATTTCGTTAAACGAGGTACATTAACAAAAGTCAAAATATATATTATGATCATAATCATTACAATCAAAAATGTAATTTCAACTTCAATTGACAAATGCAGGAGACCACCATCTTAAATTTACTGCTGATTTATTCATGCAACGAGAGATAATGGCAGTGATTGCAAGTCAGAATCTTATTGAATTCAGACAAGAATACCGTTTGCATGCATGTGAAGAGATCAGGGAGTTGGGCTCCCTGGTAGTAGGCCAAACACCAGTAAGTATTGCTAAAACCATGGACTTCCACTCAATGTTTTTAGTGTTTTCCACTGCATTGGGGCAGTGCGTGTAGAGTTTCAGCATGGTCCAAGGTTTCAGGCAGGGCTGACCTAATCCTAATGCAAACAAAGCTCGACGATGTTACTAATGCATATTCATTGGGGCATAAGCGAAGGCACTACGTCAGCATACATTAGCGTGAACCTTTGACCCCCGACACTGGCAGATTCGTCTGGACGTTCGTGTGGACGAAAATTTGGGGATTGCGCGATCAGTGGAGAGACCGCGCTGTGTGTGGGGGATAAAAAGAACGAACGGACTGAATCTGGACTAGGTAATGGGGTGTGATTACCCCTCTTCAACTCCCCCAAAACGTGGACTTGATATTTCATTGTAGGTCTACATTGTGAATATACATATTATAAAGGTGTTTTTAATAAGTTTGGAGTTGGAAGTTTACGTGGTTTATGAAAGAAAACAAGACCGGGAATGGGGGCCGAGGGCTGGAGGAGGGGGGGGGGGGGGGGGGGGGGCATCGAATTACCGATGGACAATCGCTATTAAACCACATTAAGTTATCTAGACCTTGGTTTTGGAGGGAGGGGGGGGGGGCATCACATCCAAGCCAATAGACGGCCACTGGTGCTTCGGCAGAAAATTATGAATTTGTAAATTAAGAGCTAGCTAGGGGAGGGGCCGGGATGGATATGTTCCTGTCTGTCTTTCATGCATGTTTACATGGTAGGTCACTTTCCTCTCTTTCTTAAAAAAGGATAAGTGTATAAGCTTTATAAGCACCGTTTGTTATTATTACCATTATTATTATTTTAGTGTATTCGACTAAAACGATCAGAAAGATCTTAAAGACAATATTTGTATTTCCATCACATGTGAACATTCCAATGACTGAACCAGAATTTCTATTGGATATGGGGGTACTGACCCGAGGAGGGGTTGGGGTACTCACATTTTAAAGACATACAGGGATGTCACCCGCTCTAATCGGGTCGCTTTTTCACAAAAAATCCTAAACATAGCTAGGTCATTTTTTCAAAAATCTCAACAAAAATCGGGTGTTTTCGAAAATTATGAAAAATGGGCCTTTATTTTTGAGAAAAATGCCTAAAATGGGTACCTTTTCCTGCCAAAATGACCTTTTAAAAGGAATAGGGATTTCGAGATTTTAGCGGCACACCCCGTCCAAACCAAATCTGAGTACTCCCCCCCCCCCCCCTGGTACTGACATTGCCCTTGAGTTGAATTCGCGTCGGAAAATATTTTGTCATTGGGAAATGATAAATCCGTTGCTGCCCACTTTTTGTGAGTGAGTGAAGAAAGTGAGCTAAAGATCCAGACAGATAGGCTATGCTTATAATTGCGTTTTGAATTTAAATTCTTACCAAAAGAATGACATTTATTTCATTCCCTGTTGCTTTTCATTGCTACTCCCATATTACTGATTGAGCCGAAATGCATACTGTTTACGAGGTCTATTAGCAATTGAAAATATGAATATCTTCGAAGAAAATAATTGATGATTGACGAGGTTTTGAAGTGTAATAAAATATGCCAGTGGTATTAAAATTACTTTGAAAAGTTTACCTTTTGAAATTACTGGAAAGTCAATAATATATTTTTTCCGTTGAATATTATAAATTTGTTTGGAAGTTTCCCCCTTTAAACACGCTATCATCGTCGGCATGATTGACATAAGGTGTATAATTATATCGATATTCATTCCTCTCCTAAGAAATTGGATACACCATGTGGCTTTTTTCCCCCTCTTCTTTATTCTTCTTCTTCATTCTTTTCTTCGCTGTCTTTTTCGATCCTACTACTTCTTCTTTTTCTTTTTCTTCTTCATCATTTTCTTCTTCTTCTTCCTCTTCTTCCTTTTCGTTCTTCTCCTTTTTCTTTTCCTCTTCCTTTCATAGAGACATTCAATATAATGTCTGATTAAAACGTAATTTCTACTAGTTTTGCAACCTACAAAAACGGAAATTTATGATGATAACAAAGAATTACATTTTTTTGGTGGAATATAAGTAAATTCATATTTCACTAGTTCACAACGAAATAAAAATATCAGACTACAGACTAACTGAGGATCTCCGTCTTCTCAGTTGAAACTGGGGCAATTTTTATAATGAAAAAATGAATAAATACATTTTTTTTTTAATCTGGAAAAGGGCATCGTTTATTTTACCTGAATAAAATGAGAGCGATATGAAAAAAAATGTATTTATGTACTTGATAGCACCTTTAAATGACAAATTTTACATGACAATAAATTATCTGGAATCTTGAATCTTGAAAGAAAAATGGACAAGAAAAAAAAGAAAGAAAGAAAGAAGAAAAAAAGAAGGAAAAAAAAGAGGAAAGAATAAACAGTAGGTGGGCAGAGGGGCTGCGGCCCCTGTTGAGAAACTAGTTCCCCCCCCCCCCTTTGACCGTCATACTTACGACACATGGCCCCAATTATGTGAAATGTACATACTGGTATGTGATACCCCCCCCCCTTTTTTGGAGGAGGAGGGGGGGGGGGGGTCAGATCTTATGCCCTCATAGCACATAATTTATATCGAACGCCTCAGCTCAGTCGACGGTCTTTGTTTGTGTCTGAAATAAGACTAAAGATAAATCCTGAGTTTTTATTGGTCGACTGTAGAATGACCTCGACTCATCGCCAATGACCTTTCGCCATTGCCGGTATCTCACACTGCACGAAGAAGTGCTCAATTCACTCCAAAAATACCAGCTAAATAATTACAATACGTAAGTATTACCTTCTCTGTTCTTTTCTTTGTTTCCTCTTCATATGATTGGATATACGATCATAACATATATCGTCGATACGCAACCGCAATCCATATAGAAATGTTGGGAGTTGGAAATATGTCAGATTTTGGTGTAGTCCCACAAACCAATATCGGTGCAGTCAACATTTCTCGAGCAGAAGCAATTCACAGTTGAACATGTTAATTTTTGTTATACTTTATAGACGGAATTTCCTTCTCGTACTTCTCGGGTCTTTTTATTCTTATATCAATTTTGTTATTTAATTCATGTAAATACAGACGCACAGTGTACTTTTTGAGTTTTTGTAGGAAAAAATGAAAATCAAAGCCAAAACAAAGCCAAGGCAAGGGCAAGGGAAACATTCATTCATGAAAAATTAACGTTGATTTAAAAAAAAAAACACAATTGTGTCGTGACTTTGTGTAGGCCTAGTTGTGTAAGACTTTTGTGTAAGCATGGTGAGTTGTAATTTATGCACAAATGCGGTCACCAATTATGTTAAGATTTATAATCTAGAATACAAAGTTCAGAAATAAAATAAACATAAAATAAAAGACAGAAACATTGATCAGATCTCGGTTGAGTCTTTGCTCATTTTGAAGAAAAACAAATTTGGGTGGAAAAAAGAGGAGATCTCAAAGCACATTCTCAAAGTGAAACAGAAGCTACTCTGACATCCAGTTGATTTGCTTGAATGCAGAAAAATACTAGTAAGTGAAAAGGATCATTGATGGTTTGTGATAATCTGATGCCGTGATGGAGATTAACAAAAGTTGTGAGCTTTAAAAAAAAAAAACAGATCTTTATTTCTTTACCAATTAAATTCACACTGGTTTTTTTTTTCTGTTTGAGCTGCTGTCCATTTGTTAGGTAGAGAAATATTCAATACTTGGTAATGTTTTGATGTGGAAGTAATGAAAAGTAATGAATTCATCATCATAGTTCTTTATGTGTCTAAGGCTAAGCCATTAAATTAACCGTCTGTCCTTCTCTCTCTTTCTCACCTTTCGCCCCTCTCCCTCTTCATACATCTCTCTATATTTTCCTCAATAGCACAACATGGCTGATATCAAGGAAGTACTCGAAAACTACAAGACGGCACCTTTTGATGCCCGCTTCCCCAACACAAACCAGACCAAGAACTGCTGGCAGAACTATGTGGATTTCCATCGGTGCCAGAAGATGAAGGGTGAGGACTATGAGCCATGTGAATACTTCAAGAGAGTCTACAAGTCATTATGTCCAATTGCCTGGGTGAGTATGACACACTTTTATTCCAGAATGTGCCTCAAGGTAGCTCGTCTGAAGCTAAAACAAAATAATTATACTTTGAAAAACGCAATTGAGAATCTTTGTTTAGTAGCTGCAAAGTATAAATGGGCATATTATTATTATTTCCAATTATGATTCAGAATGATTTTTTATTTTATGTTTACCCCAAGCATGAGATTGCAGTGCATGAGGTGCACATTCTGTACTCACTGGCAAACATGCCGGCCAGTTGCCACATTGCACTAATTATTCCTCATACTGCGTTGGTGTTAACATTACTTGGTAGTTTAGTAATATACACCCATAAAAAAAGAGAAGCAAAGTAAATTTTCATGTGTACTTTTCAATTAAAAGTCTCACTGCAGGATATCTGGGCACTGTTGAGATTACAGTTTCAGGATCGTATCTACCTTTTTATAATGACATGTAATGTCTCCCCCCCCCCCCCTCATTTCTTTTTGTTTTTGACATATTTTCTCTGATAATGTCTGAATCCTACAATTAAATGAAGAGAAGGTTGAGTTCTGGTAAACATGATTTGTGAGCTTATTTCATTCTTGCATGTCAGTTCAAATGGAAGAATGTAATAGTAGAAAAAAAAATTCCCTTGAAAATTATTGTTGTTTAAAAATGCCCACATATTCAGTACATGACAAAAAATAGCTGAAAGGGACCATACATGTATGTACCCATTTTGTCTGCAGTGCATGCGTTTTTCAAAAAGAATGAAGGAAATCCTTTTCATTTTGATCATTCCAAAACCATGTACATCAATTCTAATGTGATACATAATCAACCTCTCCCAATTGCTTCCAGACAGTATATGCATGACCAATACAACTTTATTTCTTTGATCCATCTCCTGTCCTGTCAATTCTTTTCTAATCCTCATGAAAAATGTTCTTCTCTTTCTGTTCGTTTGCTACAGGCGGAGAACTGGGATTCTCAGAGGGAAGAGGGAACGTTTGCATCCAAGATTTGATGTGCAACATGGCCTGTAGATACCGTCAGATGTTTATATTCTACTAGACTTTAGCACCTGTGTTCCATGTACCTCCCAGTCAAAATGAAGAACATTTTCATCATATCTTAATAATCAAACTGCAAAGAATCTCATGAAATGGACTGTTTAATTCAAGAACATGCTATGTGCATACATGTCATTCCTAAACATGACTCCATACAATATTTGACCTTGGTTTCACCTTCATGACAATATTTTGACACTCCAATGAGTAGTCTTGATTAAATGCAATACATATTGTGAATTGTTATTTAGAGCCTCATGAGCTTTACAAAATTGAGTGAAGTTTATTTCAATGCAATAGTGATATTGTGTACAAGATGAAGTGGAGTTATGATGGTAGTAGATTTCTAAAATTGGTTTTTATTCCAAGAGCATTTTCCTTCGCTCACCCAAGAATATGGAGTACATCTGAAATTAGAGACATTGCTTTTTTGGTTGCAATAGTGTAAATACTATCTGACCAACTGTTCTTCACTACTTCAGCCTCAGGTGTGTTGTGCTTACTGTGGATTCTAATTAATTAAATTATCGTAAGAGTTGATGAAACATGAGAGTTTGAAACTGATATATGAATAAATTTTAAACTCTTGAAAGAAATTCTCTGAAAATTCTCCAAATGTTTGCTTGTATTGTCTCACATGTTGGTATTGTCAGGTTTCATTTGTGGCAGTAATGTGAAAACTAGTTGTGCCGGTGAATCAATTTGATTTTTTTACATATCAAATTTTTTTTCTCTACAGCTTTGGATGAACATATCTTAAAATGGGGAATGCCATTGACAGTATACTGATGAACTGAAGTTGTAGGATCACACAAACTAGTACTAGTATTAAGAATAGCCAAAGGCAAGCAAGGTTCATGAACATTTTGGAAAATGGCTCGAGATGGAAAGGAGATAAACAAACTGGAGAAGAATGGCAGTAGTTAAGTTAAATATTTGGAACTGATGAGAGAAAAAGGGGAAGGAAGAGAGAGGGAGAGAGAGAGAGAGACAGAGAGAGAGTGAATAGAGAGAGGAAAAAAGGGGGGGGGGGGGAGAAAGAGAGGAAGGAGAACAATCAACTGAATCAAGAAATTAGTAAACTGGTTGTGAGGGTAGACATGATTGGTAGAACTGTAGGGAAGTATGAGAGGGGGATGTGTGGCCATCAGACAAAATGAATGAGATGAGGAGAGGTGGGATGGGAGTGTATGACTGTTGCATGGTTATGCACGGAATACCGGTAGGGAGTGGGGCACATTATGATACAGGTTTACTACACACTCAGTCCATAAGGATGCTCAGTCCATAAGGATGACTTGTTCTGGTAAGTACATGTGCATAATTCCTTAGATAGCTTAGCAAAATGTAGCGGCACAAAAGGACTTGTCCAGAACACAAACTGCATAATTGTTAAAAATCATGGTTTTATCAAACGGAGGTCAGACCACAGTGTAAGAATATGAAGCAGTTAAGAGTATTTACCACTTCAATGAGGCTTTAACTACAATTACACTCAGAAAATTCGAAAGCAAAAACATAATTAGCAGACATGGCCATCTAAAATTTATTGCATTCTGGACACGTCTTTTTATGCCACTAAATTTTGCTAATAAATCTAGATTAATATTCACTTTCTCTTTCACATCTTTCTTTCTCCCCGTCTTGCCCTCTCTCTGACTTTCCTTCTCTCTGTCTTGCCTTTACTCTGTCTTGCCTTCTCTCTGTCTTTCCTTTTCTATAACCCTCCTGTCTTTCCTTCTTTCTGTCTTGCCCTCTCTCTCTGACTTTCCTTCTCTTTGTCTCCCTCCTCTGTCTTTACTTCTCTGTCTTGCCTTTACTCTGTCTTTCCTTCTCTCTGTCTTGCCTTTTCATACTTTGTATTTGCAAGAACATCGAGCTTTATGCTCTATAGCGTCTTACATGCAATGCACACACCTTGCTGTTATTGGACAACATTGAGGAAGCTTTAGTCAAGTTTAAGGTGTTGTACATGTTCTGTTCATTATCAAATGCAATCTAGCACATCAACACAACCACAACACATACACACAATGATACATGGAATACAACACACATACATTCTGCAGATGAGTTTCTGAACTCTGAATACTGTACTGTTCACATGTACACATATGGATACATTCTGCTACTCTGCATTGGAATACACTTGCTTCAAGTTAAAACACTCTAATATATTACCATCTACATGTAGGCAAAATGTTTAGCATTGTAATTTTATTTTTTTAAATTCAGTTCCGATTTTTTTCTAGCAAGATTTATCTATACTTTTGTAAAGACCTTAAGCAAACATACAAGTACTACAAAGTATAAGTCGCAACTCTAGGCATACCGTATTTGACTTGTGAAATTTTAAAGTGAAACATGTACCTAATTATTTTCTATGCGGTCTTTTCATATATTAGTATGCATGATGCATGCCTTGTTCTGAACAACCCTCAGACAGGACTTACAACAGCCATTTGGCCCACATTGTGTGACGTAGCCAGGTGAACAAGCCTTCTGTTTGGAGCAAAGAAGTATACTTTAGCATAGAGTCAACGTCCTTCTGGCTCTAAACAGATGAAGTTTACAATGTGCATTTTTTCTTATCATTCCAGGTGAAAAATCTGTTTCGTGGAGTACTAGTATATATAATATACATGTATATGCACATATACATTTCTGTCGCACAAGGAAACATTAAATTAGAAGAAAAAAAATCTTCAAATTTGGGGTGACGTATATGAATACTTATCACAATTATGTCACGTAGACACTGCAGTATTTTGCAAGAACATTACTCATGCAGCTTTTTGAATTTGCATAACCCCAAATTGCGTGTGCTCCTCCAAACTATGTTTTGGAGAGGTATATACATACTTGCAATCTAGTCTACCTGGTACTGACCAAAGTTTATGCATATCATCTACATCAAGAGTATGCCACCACAATTCAATATATCAAGGTTGACTAGTACAAATACTTTCACATAGAATTTCAGGAACAGCTTAAAATATCACAATTTTACATTTGAAGAATAGATTGGGTCCAGTACTTTCCAATGCTACATACTTCTTCACAAAATGTCAGTTTTATTTTCAAATGACATGTACATGTAGTGTATTCTTTGTTACGACATTAACCATAAAAGCATTAAAATGCAAGGCATTATAGATTTCACAGTGCATATATAGTGATTATTAAAGATCATATTAAAAACTATTCAGTTGCAATCTAACACGTTAAAAAAAGAAGTCACAAAAAGGTGTTGTGTCCAAGGCACTATATCTATTAGTGAAAGACAGTGAAAATTAGAGACGAATACATTATAATATTTTACATGTACTGTTTGATCTTCATATATAGTACTTGGTGCAACATTATCACGTGTCCATCAGCAACATGTACAGTGGAACCTCTTTACTGCAAACACGGTCATAAGAAACTCATAAACTTGTTCTAGTAAAGTAATTTTGTCTGTCCAGCTTCTTTGTAATCTGTTTTTTGAAGCCCTGAAATTATAACAAGGCTTAAAATTATAACAAGTCCCATTGGGTCTGTTCCAATGAGATTGTATTGTACAAATGATAAAAAGCTAATACTATCTCTTATACATAGATGCACTAGTTTTGTCTGAATACAAAATTTGAATGCATATTCCTGTACGCTACATTACTTGGCACATATCTAAGAAATCATTCATTCTGATTCTAACTCTATCAGAAGGACGGATACTTTTCACAAAACTTGCTCAAATCAATAAATATTAATCTTATGTACAGGTCTTTACTATTATTTAGCACAAATGTAATTTATATCACAATCTAAAACAATTCAATGTACTTACATGTACATAAAAAATGATGAATTTAATATTTAACTAATGTACAAATATATATAATTTTGTGTGGAGGACAAAGTTAAGAATTTTAAAAAGTAATTTTTTGTTTCTTAACATATTCATACTTTCAATTTTAACCAACAAACCAATAACACTGGAACAACTTCCTTCATGCACACTTGTTGAAAAACAGTGTCTGTGAAAGTCATAGATCTGTTTTTTTCTTATTACAGGTGTTCAATATGGTCCATCCAAAAAACAAAACAATACATACCTCAATAATATATGTTTTCTTTTTCAAATAAATCCGGGTGAAATGTAAGGCATGGCAGATCATCAATTTGATCCATGGGTATGCTCATATTTTCATAAGGAGAGCGAAATGACCTAACAACATTGCACTATGGCGAGAGTGAGAGAACTTCTTATGCACACATCTACTGTCTAAAAACCATTGCTGCACTATAGTGAGGTCCTTGAAGCCAAAATCATCTTCTCCTAGTGGTACCCTGTGGATTGACGCTTGTCTTGGGTCTCAGAGCTAAAAAAGAAAAAAGAAGACAGAATATGAAGTTGAAAGCGGGGGTAGAGCTGTTTATTGATGTAGATTCATATAAAACGATGCACCATGATATTGGCATGAAAACTGTCGGACTTGACTTTGACAAAATAGACTTGCTGAAAAAAGGGTTGAGGGCCTAAAAATGCATCTGTACCTGTTATTGATGGTAAAATCAGTGAATATTTAATGAACAGTGCCATAATGGGATGATTTTGTCTTTTTTCCACATGCCAGTCACATCATGGCAACAACACCAGACTAACAACAGACAAAATAATGAATTTACCCCTAATGTCTAATAATCGGTCTGGAGTAGGTTTGGCAGCTAGGGTAACTGAGATATCACAAACAAATAAAACCTTTTATTAAACAAACACAGGACATGATGAGGAAGAGAATGGCTAGTCTATTCTCCCTTTTCACAACAGTAGAAACCGATGTTTGATTAATGAGAAATGCATTTGTTTATCAAGACAGCCTGGTTGACTGAAGAGGATTTCTAATATCGAGGGGTCAGTGACACAAACTCCATATTTTGCCAAAATGAATATTTGATATCCAAATGATCAGAAAAATGTGGGCTTTCCAGGAAACACAAAGACTTAACTCCACCCAACACCCCATTGAAGTCAATGGCTAGTGAAACATAGACTTAACTTCCTAAGGCTCAAGTGCTCAGTGACACATAAACCACTTTTTCTCAAAATGGCCAAAACAGAGTTACATCTTTGTGTCACTGACCCCTCGATATGCACACTGTATCTCACCTTGATCTACTGTCTTGTTGGTTGACTTCTTAGGGTTTTTGAAGTGGGCTATGACTTGATGATCATCGGTCATCTGGACATCCTGTTCCTGTTGCTGATTCCTGACAAGAGGAAAAGATCAACACTGGTGGTAAATCTCATGCAATTGGACATTACAAGCAATAATGTTTGTCCTACCTAGTATTCTGACTATTGAAATACAATATTTTGTAACAGGTTAATGAAATAATTTGTTACATGGCTCTTAACAACGATTTATGCATTAGATTTGATTACATTACGAATATGGTCTCCTGGAAAATTTAAAAAAACAAACTCTATGTCTGCTACATTAGTCCATCAGTACATTCCTTGAAATTCCATGTTTCTCAACAGGCTTATGGCACAAGGTCAACTGGCACAGGTGTAAACAATATTTTAGTTGACTAATAGACTGGTTTAAAAATGTATTCAAATTCATGGATGCGCTCCTTCGGACCTAGTGACGATTATTCCATTAACCTGTTATTTATTAATGAACTACAATACTTGAAATCCAGTCTGCATACATTATGTGTCGTTATATCGCACAAGCCTTGGGCAGGCTTGTTGTCTAGAACAACCTTTGTTTAAAAAGTATGCATACAATTTGAATAAGTTTATTAACTGGTCTATTGAGGCTGATGACGTCAAAGGTCGGTCCCCAGACGTAAATAATCATATCTGATTGATACACGTCTGTCTGTAAAAACCCAATTACAAACACAATGAAGCAATAGCCTTCATGCACTCATATGAAATATCAAACACTGTTCTTACTGGAGAATGGTGTGCCGCTCCCTTCTCCTGAGTTCTGCATTGTCAGCGAACAGGATGGTGTGGTATGGGATAGGTACATCCATACTGGGTAAGATACCCCTGGCTGCCGAGGTCACCTGACCTAAGATACCTTGATATACCAGCAAGTCATCTACCAACAGCTGTGGGTGCAGGAAGAGAGGGACGGTGAGAGGGGGAGGAAGGGAGAGAGAGGGAGAGAAAGAGATACATAGAAAGAGAGATAAAAGATAAGTGGTATGCAGAGAGGGGACAAGGAGGGACGGAGAGAGAGTGAGAAAGGCAGGGGAGGAGGGAGCGGTAGAAGAGCAAAAGTATGAAGAGAGGGAGGGATGGAGAAAAAGAGGAAAATAAAGGAGTAGATACAAGAAATACAAGGGAGAGAATGTGAAAATGAAGGAGAGAGTGAGAATAATAAAGGAAATGGAGTGAAGAGAGAGCATGTGTTAGATGAAGATATTGGTGTGGAGGGAGAAGGATGAAGAAGAAAAAAAAGGCGAGGTAGTGACAGAGAGAGAGAGAGATAGACACAGAGAGATAGAACATTAAGCACAGAGGTAGAAATAGACACTCAAATATTATTGCTCCAGACTTATTTTCATTTAAGACTATTTATTTAAGACTGATAATTTTCTTTTTAAATATTGAATTCATGGTCTTGTTAAAATGCATCTTTATTTTCATTTGTATTCATCAAACAAATTACAGATTAAAAAGGGATCCTAGAATCAATCATTTATTCCATAATAAAAAACAACAGCAAGTGTCCCATTGACAATCAGATATCTTAATAGTACATGAGCATCGTAAAATATAACTTTATATAACAACAAAAATGTGAACGTACCCCAAAATCTTTGACTCCTCTGGTCGGAGTCTTGCTGTAGTTCCACAGCTTGATCATAGACACAGTAGCAGGCTCATCAAATATCACATACACACGGTTGATCTAATAACAACAAAATACAATCGGCAATTAATGACCCTGAATACATACATATACATGTGGTATGGCAAAAACATATGCGAACACAATGGTCAAAATACTAAATTCAATTTTTTAAAAGGGTATGTCCATATACATAAAATAGAATTGTTATGGATCCACATATATACAAGTACACATACTTAATTAACAATCATTCTGAAAACACTTTGAGATATTGATATGATATTTCATAGCCTTATGCATGGCACAAGGAATGGTAGATGCCACATTTTACAACTGCTTTGCCAATATTAGGCACATATCACTCTACATGTCAAACTCTTTAAATACGGTACATGTTACTTACGACAGTTGGTAGGATGGGGGCAAGCCAGATATGACCTCCATCCACAGTGTTGTTGACCCCATCAATAAGCTTCTCAGGGGTCCTGGTGTCATCTGATACACCCTCTAGTACATTCACACTGGGTGGGTAGGCAGCAATGTCTGAACAGTGAGGTCAAAGTTCAAATTTCAAAATAGAGAGAGTATTCTTCATAACATTTTTTGTTTTCCTAACGGATTTTATAACACTATAGTCTATTGGGGAGTAAAGTAAAACCAGCCACTCAAAGATTTGTATTTTTTGAGGCACTTCATGACTATTTTGAAGCGCAACTTTTTTAGGGCTTCAATATTATACCATATCACAGACACTGATAACACGTAGGGCCATGCATCTCAGATTTAACATTGTTAAACGATGCCTTTAAGGACCATTTTCCACTAATTCAGTTAAACCCAGCCCTTGGTCTAAAATCACATTTAAAATGGAAAACAGGGACCTCAGATCGACTGACTTCCTTGTTAAACCCGCTTTTTAACACGAGCCTAAACACAGTGTCAGGCTTAAATTTCAGAATGCTGGTCATCGAGTCTACTTTTGAGACAAATAACAATGTTGAAGTCAAAGGATACTTGATTCGGTGAGCTCCATCTTTTCTCCCTGTGCATCGTAAAACTCCAATCCATTCAGTCCCACATAGTAGAGATCACCGTAGGTCGACAGGAGCTGAAGCTGGAAAACAACTGGTAATAAAACAAATAAGTTAAGGATATCAAATAGTTTCTTTGTTTATTATTTCAGAATATTTCACACAAGTTAATTTTGTATAGTTTATCTTTTTGTTCATATGATAGTTTTGAATTCCTGGGCTCGTATTCATAAAACCTTACTTTGCGTAGCTGTCAACTACAGTAACTATGTATTTAAGTCTACTGAACCTTATAAATATGGGCCCAGTATACTTAACAGCATATCTTTCTGTTTTTACAACATATAAGCACACGCATGAATTTAAAGGTCATGTTATGAACATGAATTGAGAGCAAATGAATTGTGGCATACAATTATTTATAGTTTTTAATATTCATGTTTGGGGATAATGATAATATTATGCAATATCTACTACTTCTGTTGTACAAAGGATACATCCACACGGCATATGCATCGGTATATATTCCTGACTGGGAACCTCTAACGCAACTTGGCTTTGCCTGAGAAAGAGAAAAAAAGAGATAACAGAGAAACACAAATGAAAACAAATATTATCAATGCTAGAACTTGTACTGTACGTTTCATGTGTTGTTTCTTTCACTATTTGAATGGACTAGGTCAAATAAAAGATTAAATCATCTACACATAGCAGAACCAAACAGTTCCTTAAAAAATAGTACAAACATGAAAAATGAAAAAACCTGAATAAGATTGCATCTTTAATATCTGTTGGCTAATTACAATGTAATTCTCTTTTTTATTCCCCAAAGCAGAGTTCTCACAGAAATTTAATAACCACATTCCTTGACCCATTTTTGCCTTTTCCATGACCAGATACATGTAAGTACCATTTTTGAATCAAAGCAGCGTACGATTACCATGCACATTGTCACTGGAAGGCTGCCATACCCACACATGGCGCACACCCACGATCAATTTCCATGACTTTGTGGATTAATTCTCCTTCATTTTCCATGACTTTCAGTTTTTCGATTACCCCTGCAAGGCTTAACACAAGAACCATACAATTCCTAAAGCAATAGACCGGTTTACTTAAACGTGTTCAAATTTATGGATGTTTTTTTCCTGGGATCTTAGAAAGGAGTTTTTCCATTAACATGTTATTAGTGAATGAACTACAATACTTGAAATCCTGTCTGCAAATATTACTTGATGTTATGTCGGGCAAGCCTTGGACAAGCTTTCAGGTCATCAAGAACAACCTTTGTTTTAAAAAATATACATAATATTTGAATAAGTTAGCAAACAAGTCTATTGGGTTAATGCTACAAGAATTTGCTAATTTCAAAGTAACAGATCACTATGACAATTGGTAGTCATTACTATCTGTGCAGATGTCCGGGACCAGTTGCAAGATTTACCTGAGTGAATCCGGCACTGCCCTCTGTTGCCGTCCAACGACAGCTTGCCAGTTTGTCTGGCTGACGAAGCTGATGTCCTGAGCAAAGTCAAAGTAACATTTCCCAGGTCCCTTGCGGATGAGATAGCCCTCTGCTGGTGAGACCTGCTGTCCGTCTATCCAGACGTGTACTATCTTTGCCTGTAGTATGAAGAATGGGTAGATAGGAATTAAAGCGCAATCCAACCTTTGTAATGAGTTTATTTGTATGAATGAAGAGAATTAAGAAAAAGAATGATGAAGTTGATATAAATCAGACCATGCAAGGCAATAAGAGAGTTATGAATAATTGAAATACAAAATCACTAAATGTGATCTATCAAATTTGCAATTCAGTCATTGGATTGTGACCTATGCAAGGACAGCTCTCCCATTTTTATTGGGTTCTTTTTACACAAAATACACAATTTTCATATGAAATAAAGCTTTCCACATCATGTTACATTAACCTGTGCAAGGTATTTCCCCTACTCTGAACGATTACAGATCTCCTGGAAAATTCCTTCAAATAATAAAACCTTACCCCTCTGTAAGTATCTTCAGGTGACTTGTTGTAGTTCCATATCCTCAGCCCAGTCATCTGTACTTCCCTCCCAAAGTCAACGGTGAGAAAATGGTCTCCCCCTTCAGAGAATGGAATCATCCACATGTGCTCGTCCGATGATGTTACATTGGTACCGTCTAGGAGTCTGAAAGAAGGAAAACAAACTTTCCTTTGGATTAGGTTTTCAATCACTATGACAAAACAAGTTAATCAAAATGTACACAAATCTCTGATGAAAACATGTCTATAAGAACATGGTACAAGTGATCCGAATATCCACAGATCTGTTCAACATGGAGAAGTCCCACTCTGTGCCGTTTAGAATAATCTCTGCCAACAACATGAAGGTCCATTTATTTGCCCTCTTCAGAAGAATACTGCCACCTGTGTTGCATAGTATGTACCGTTAGTGCATGTTTTTAATGTAGGAAATTGGATTTATACGTGTTTTTCTTATGCAAATGACTTTGTATAATTTGCATAAAACTGCCTTTTAAAAATACGGTGAATGAAATGTAGTTCCTCGATTTATAAGTTTGTTTTGGTATCTTGAGGAAGAATTGTTATATTGTGAGTCTATGTAAAAAAGGAATAAGATTGCATATAATGTGTAATAACTTAATTTTACTTTATTCAAAAGGTGTTTGTACAAGAATAGCAAAAAGAGGAAGGATATTTTGTTTATAGAATTGTGATAGGTCTTTATATGTGGGCGCGGGAATCTGCCTGACATAGCAGATACGTAGGCACACATTGCATCTTGCCACGGGCGAAGGAGGTGGTGCGTGTGTCGGGCTGTCTATTAGTGTGCAACGCCCTTGTTACGTTTTACACCTTTGAACGAAGTAAGTTGTTTTCTTTAAATGTCACTTTGATAGTAAAGATTGTAAGCTTTGATACATGTCTATGAAATGTTTTTATGTCCTTCAGGAGAGGAAAATAAGGATTATTTTGGAAGGAGAATGTATTTGATTTTGTACTTGACAACTTCCGTTAGTCAGAATAGTATGTCTTCATAGGGATATGGTATCCAGTTAATCAAATTACATTGATCGTTTAAATAAATGTTATTACATTTATTCTATATGATGTTTAGATAAATTGTCATTTAAATGGTTAGTGGTTAACGCCTACCTGTATTTAGTGCGTGAATAATTGATTGTAATGATTTCGCCGTTGAGGGCGAATGGTGTTAATATTGTGATAAAGATGGCGGCGCCCATGGAATATTTGTATGATAATTTAATTGGTGAGTTACTTTATATAATATGTTATTAGTATACTATAAGGATGTTTTAATGATTTGTTATAGACGACATGCTAGCGAGGTTTGCTGGAAGCTGTAGTGTGGTCTAGCTGGGACTGCGTTGTATTTTGGGAGCCGGGAGCTGCTCCGGCTTGTTGCTTCAGAGACCTTGGGTAGGATATGATTTAATACACACATTGTTTAATTGGTATAATGTTGTTTATTAATGCATTTTGAATATGTACTTTCATATAATATGTGTTAATTAAAGACAATGATATTGTCTTAATTATTATATTATCATTGATGTAGAATACATTAATGCCACAGTTTATGTAATGTAAACCAACAGCGTGATAATTTACTGTCTGTTTATCTCGCCCACATTGTTGTATACTATGAATCAGATATATGTTGATAAGAATCTATACTTGTCTTGTATTTATGTTTGGCACATCTGATTGATTTGCAGGGTTTTCTTTATGCGATGATGATGATCAACAAATAAATGGGCTCATCACCCAACCTACCATCAAGCTGCTCTCAAGTTTCTTTATTGCTGCCTTATCCGTATTACGACAAATGGCGACGAGGATGGGATACGGATGTTTGTGGATCATCGCAGATTATCGCAGATGCTACGACTGAGTTCATCAGCTGAAGGAGAAAAACCCCTTGGTCAAGAAAGACACTTGGAGTGTCACAGGACTTTAACGAGTCAAAGTTGTTTTTTTTTGCATGCAATATTAATTTGTTGCAGTTCCAAGTATTGGTGTAAGTTTAGTTGTAAACACAGTCATTATTGCCAATAAATATAATTATTGCCAATTGTTTACTAACTTGTACTTGCAGTTTTAGTTTCATTTAGCCCTTGTAACGATGGCTGAAGATACGAGTATGGCAGAGATGCTGCAGGCGTTGACAGGTGTCATGCAAGGACTAGCTCTACGACAGACAACTCCTGCACCAAAGATTAAACTTCAAAAGTTTAAAGGTCCACCAAGAGCCCCAGGGGAACCTTCATTAAAGGAATGGCTGGATGATTTTGCTGTTTATGCCAAGAGGTACAGGCTTGAAGGGAAAGACAAGGCTCAAGCATTGATCGATCATCTTGTCGGTGTCGTGAAGGAAGAAGTTCTGTGTAGGGATCTGTCAGTAAGAGAGGACTTTGATCAGCTAGTAGATGTGCTAAATTCACTGTTTGGACCTGCAGAATCTGTTCAGTCACTGAGTGCTGAATTTCACACAAGAATCCAGAGAGAAGGTGAAGGTCTTGCTGATTATAGCCGTGTATTGATGAGACTGTATTCACGCATGGAAAAGGCAGCCTCCTCTACAGATGAGAGGAGGGCCCTTGAGCTTCTTCGCGACAGTTCTCTAAAGGAAAACTTTGTACGGGGAGTGAGAGACACCGGGATAAAGAGAGAACTTCGACGAATAGAGATGGCCTCTAAAGGAAAAAAGTTCCTGGAAATGCGTGAGGAAGTGTTGGATCTTTTCAGGGATCAGGAGCCTTCAACAAAAGTGAAAGTCCAGGAAGCACTGGTGGCAACCCCCTCAACTACAGAGAGAAATGAAGTCAGAGAACTGAAGGACGACCTATCTTCTTTAACGAGACAAGTGAGTGAATTAGTAGAGGCTGTAAAGAATTTACAAAGGAACAGTGGTGGACAGAAGGAATACAGTGGTGGACAGAAGGAATACAGTGGTGGACAGAAGGAATGGCAAGGAAGAAAGCTCATTTGCTACAACTGTGGTGAGAAGGGCCATCACAGGAATGATTGTTCATCTAGCAGAAGGTGCTTTTCTTGCAAGATGCCTGGGCATCTTAAGAAGGACTGTCCCTTAAACAAGAGTACAGAGAATACCCGAGAGAACTCTCAAGCAAACATCAGTTTGATCCAAGGTCAGAAGGAGGGGTCAGTAGATCCATTGATAAAGAGACTTGTATCACGAAGTCCAAAGTCGGTAGTGACCATCGGGGGCTTGGACATAGGATGTGTATTAGACTCGGGAGCGGAAACATCCATAATACCCGCTTCGGTATACCATGAACAGCTGAAGGTACATCTGGGGGAGCTGCACTCAATGTCTGGACTATTTCTAGATATCGTGGGAATCGGTGGGATAGATATCCCAATTGAGGGCTACATCGAAGTCCCAATACACCTGGAAGGATATTCCCTCCTTGGAAGTTTTATGATTGCAGCGGACAGGGCATGCCACAATGCTACGGCTACTACACCGGAGTATCCTGTCCTGATAGGGTGTAATATCTTTGACACTATCGGTCCGTCAGGGTTAATTGATGTTCTGAAGTCTGCGAAGCAGAAAGTGAAGGAGAGAACAGCGGCCTCCTGCTCCCCTATCCCTGTACAGACTGGGCGTGTTGAAGTTCTCCAACCCTTTAGCATAAGAAGGGTAAGGTGTCAAATAGAGACAGATGGTCATTCAATAGGAGAGATATTGGTGAGAGATGCAACACGCCCAGTCTACGCAATCAATGCCGTAGAAGGGTGCCAAGAACCTGATGGGAAATTAGTGGAAGTGCTGCTGGCTAACAGATCGGAGAACATTATTCATTTACCATCTCACACTCAGGTAGCAGAAGCAGTAATGGTCCAAAGAAGGAAAGAGGTTTGTCTTGACCTTGAGGAGGATAAGATATTGGTTTCTGTTCGTGATGTGGTTGCAGAAGAAGCAGAAGATGACAAGGTATCTGAAAGTGTAATGTCGGATATTGACATTAAGGAAACAGATGACGGTCTTCCGGATCTTCCTACTGGAGTCAAGTTGGACGGACTTTCCAGCGAAGCTAAGATGTTGGTGACACAGTTGCTCGACAAGCATGCTACAGTGTTTTCATCAGGAAGCTTTGATTTAGGGGAATGCAGTGTTGTGCCTCACGTGATACAGATGACTGAAGGACCTACGATTAGGCTCCCTTACAGGCGCATATCCCCAACGTTGGTCAATGATGTCAAGAAGATGCTCCAGGAGATGTTGGATCAAGGGATAATCCGCCCATCAAAGAGTCCGTATGCAAGCCCCATTGTTCTTGTGAAGAAGAAGGATGGATCACTCAGATTATGCATTGATTACAGGAAGGTTAATGAACGCACTGTAAGAGATTCGTTTCCATTACCTAGGATAGAGGAAACTTTGGATGCACTGACAGATGCCAAGTATTTCTCCACAATGGATCTAGCACATGGCTACTTCCAAGTAGTGATGGACCCTGCATCAGTGGACAAGACGGCTTTCCGAGTTCCTTGGGGACTTTTCGAGTTTACCAGGATGCCCCAAGGACTTTGTAATAGTCCAGGTACATTTCAGAGAACGATGGAGTATATTCTGGGAGATCTTAATCTTAGCCAAGTTATATTGTATCTGGATGATATTTTGGTGTTCTCTTCTACTCTTGAGCAGCATTTGGAGAGGTTGGACTTGGTCTTAACACGACTTGAAGAGAACGGACTCAAGGTGAAAGGCAAGAAGTGTGAATTCTTCCGCCAAGAGGTCAAGTACCTTGGACATGTAGTAACAAGTGAAGGAGTCAGGGTAGATCCTGAAAAGGTGAATAAAGTTCAGGAGTGGCCACGACCCAAGAATGGCAAGGAAGTTAGCTCGTTCTTAGGATTAGCATCCTATTATCGTCGCTTCATGGAAGGATTCTCTCATATGGCTGGTCCTCTGCATAAGGTTGCTCTGAAAGGGAAAAGCAGCAAGACAGACTTCGAGTGGGGACAAGAACAAGAAGATGCATTTGTAAGTTTGAAGTCGCAACTTACTAGTGCCCCAGTGCTTACCTACCCCAAGTTTGACAAGGACTTCATCGTGGAGACAGATGCTTCCCTGAAAGGCTTAGGGGCATGCTTACTTCAGAATGGAGATGATGGTCGACCCCATCCTATCGCATACGCAAGCAGGAGTTTGCGAGGGGCAGAGAAGAACTATGCAGACTTGAGCAGTTTCAAACTTGAACTACTTGCCCTTAAATGGGCTGTGACGGAAAAGTTTGCACCCTATCTCATGGGAGCTCACTGTACTGTGTTGACAGATAACAACCCTTTGGCGCATTTAAACTCAGCGAAGTTAGGAGCCACTGAGTCCAGATGGGTCGCACAACTGGCACCCTTTGATATAGAGGTGAAGTACAGGTCGGGTAAGAGTAACCGATGCGCTGATGCTCTTAGTAGGAGACCAGAAGACATGTCGAGTGCAGAAGTCGCATCAGTGCTAAGTGAGGTGACATGTTCTACGGAGCTACCCAAGGATGATCAATCTTCTTTGAGAGGATGTCAGAAGATTGAGGTGAGAAGGGTTAGTGAAGAGCACAGTGTCAATGTATTGCCCTCTTACAGCTATGCTGAGCTTGCGGATCTCCAAGAGAAAGATGAAGTTCTGCAAGAGGTCTCGCGTTTGTGGAAGAAGGGATGGATGCCTGGTCAGGACTTCGATACCTCGATGCCGTGTTTATCTGGATGGCTGAGACAGTGGTCACGATATCGAGAATATCGAGGGGTCTTGTATAGGGAGGTGGATGATGCCATTCTTGGCAAGGTACGACAGCTGTTAGTACCCCAAGTGTTGAGAGAAACCATGCTGAATTTGACTCATGACAGATGGGGCCACCAAGGAGTGGACAGAACAGTGAACCTACTGAGAGACAGATGCTATTGGCCAGGAATGAGTGGGGAAGTAAGACTTTACATCAAGAAGTGTTATAGATGTACTATGTCAAAGGTACCTACGCCAGCTATCTGCCCTCCCCAAAGGCATCTACTTGCATTTCGGCCCCAGGAGATAGTAGCTGTTGACTTTCTGAAGCTGGATAAGGGCAGAGGTGGTTACGAGGATGTGTTAGTAATCACGGATGTATTTAGCAAGTATTGCCAAGCAGTGCCCTGCAGGGATCAGACAGCGTTGACAGTGGCCAAGACTTTGCGTGATTCCTGGTTTACACATTATGGTATTCCAGGAAGAATCCATTCCGACCAAGGAAGGTCTTTCGAGAATACGATTATTCTGGAACTTTGCAAGTTGTATGGCATGAAGAAATCACGCACTACAGCGTACCACCCTGCTGGTAATGGTCAGTGCGAGCGTTTTAACAAGACGTTGTGTGGGCTGATTCGATCTCTAGAACCAGGGGAACGACGTCGATGGCCAGAACTTTTGCAGCATATTGTCTACATCTACAATACCACCCCTCACAAGGTAACCAGGGTCTCACCTTACTTTTTGATGTTTGCTAGGAAGCCGACCCTACCCATTGATCAACTTTTGAACCATGTGTCCAATGAATGGGAACAAGACTATATCCAGACACAAGCAGACTTGATCGACAGGGCCTACCAGATTGTTTCAGATAGACTGAGTGAAGCAGCTGATAAGGCAGCAAGAGCGCAAGATGATCACGTCACTAATCCTGCATTGGAAGTTGGTGATAGAGTGCTCCTGAAGAGAAATGCTTTCACTGAGAGACACAAGCTAGAAGACAAATTCTATGAGATACCTTACGTTATTGTCGAGAAGAATGATGAGAATGATCTCTTCAAGATACGACCTACCATGGGAGGAGTACCTAAATGGGTGAATCGTAGAAGGTTGATTTTGGATCCTCGAGCAGAAGTAAATGAACTAGATGAAGTACTACCAGATGATGGCAGAGACGATATTGACAACTATCATGAGAACGATGTCGAAGAAAGTGACTCAAGTAGTGATGAAGATGATGACAGTAGTGATGAGGATGATCAGAATGACTTTCAATGGATATACGATGGTCAAACTGAAATAGAAGATTCACAAGTAACTGTCAATCAGGAAATACCTAATCCAAGGCGATCAAGTAGATCATCAAAGGGAACGCACAGTAATCCTCATCAACTACCCAGATCGTCGATAAGGTAGCGCATTGTTGTGAGTTGGAAGTGTGTATTCTGAAACAAGCGGGGAAGAGCTTGGACCTGTTTGTATATATTCTACCCTTTCCTATCCTTCTACCCTTTCCTATTTCCTATTTCCTATTTGCTGAAATGTTTGCGTTCAAATTCAATACCTTATGTATTTTGTGGAGTTGATGAATATGCAGTTTAGCTTTGAGTATTGAAACAACGTATGTCAACTATAGGGTATATATATATATATATGTGAGAAGAAGAGAAGAAAATCACTGTTTTGATGATACTTTGCGTATGTATGCTTATTCTATTGGCATTTAAATTTGTATGTGTAAATGCATAAAAAAGAATATCGTTTTATCAGATGTTTGCATACAGGTATTAATGTTGGATTACAGATTATTTCCAGGTCATCTGAGTGCAACAAATTGTATTAAGAGTGTTTTGGAATGTAAACTACATGTATATATAAACAAAACTGGTATGTGTATAACATATGTAAAACAATTTATAATAATGTATATCATATACAAGTATGTTTGTAAACAGAGATGAATTTGAAATTTACCTGTAATTCATTTTATTCTTTTGTGGCCAAAAGATTCCCAAGCGGGGAAAATGTAGGAAATTGGATTTATACGTGTTTTTCTTATGCAAATGACTTTGTATAATTTGCATAAAACTGCCTTTTAAAAATACGGTGAATGAAATGTAGTTCCTCGATTTATAAGTTTGTTTTGGTATCTTGAGGAAGAATTGTTATATTGTGAGTCTATGTAAAAAAGGAATAAGATTGCATATAATGTGTAATAACTTAATTTTACTTTATTCAAAAGGTGTTTGTACAAGAATAGCAAAAAGAGGAAGGATATTTTGTTTATAGAATTGTGATAGGTCTTTATATGTGGGCGCGGGAATCTGCCTGACATAGCAGATACGTAGGCACACATTGCATCTTGCCACGGGCGAAGGAGGTGGTGCGTGTGTCGGGCTGTCTATTAGTGTGCAACGCCCTTGTTACGTTTTACACCTTTGAACGAAGTAAGTTGTTTTCTTTAAATGTCACTTTGATAGTAAAGATTGTAAGCTTTGATACATGTCTATGAAATGTTTTTATGTCCTTCAGGAGAGGAAAATAAGGATTATTTTGGAAGGAGAATGTATTTGATTTTGTACTTGACAACTTCCGTTAGTCAGAATAGTATGTCTTCATAGGGATATGGTATCCAGTTAATCAAATTACATTGATCGTTTAAATAAATGTTATTACATTTATTCTATATGATGTTTAGATAAATTGTCATTTAAATGGTTAGTGGTTAACGCCTACCTGTATTTAGTGCGTGAATAATTGATTGTAATGATTTCGCCGTTGAGGGCGAATGGTGTTAATATTGTGATAAAGATGGCGGCGCCCATGGAATATTTGTATGATAATTTAATTGGTGAGTTACTTTATATAATATGTTATTAGTATACTATAAGGATGTTTTAATGATTTGTTATAGACGACATGCTAGCGAGGTTTGCTGGAAGCTGTAGTGTGGTCTAGCTGGGACTGCGTTGTATTTTGGGAGCCGGGAGCTGCTCCGGCTTGTTGCTTCAGAGACCTTGGGTAGGATATGATTTAATACACACATTGTTTAATTGGTATAATGTTGTTTATTAATGCATTTTGAATATGTACTTTCATATAATATGTGTTAATTAAAGACAATGATATTGTCTTAATTATTATATTATCATTGATGTAGAATACATTAATGCCACAGTTTATGTAATGTAAACCAACAGCGTGATAATTTACTGTCTGTTTATCTCGCCCACATTGTTGTATACTATGAATCAGATATATGTTGATAAGAATCTATACTTGTCTTGTATTTATGTTTGGCACATCTGATTGATTTGCAGGGTTTTCTTTATGCGATGATGATGATCAACAAATAAATGGGCTCATCACCCAACCTACCATCAAGCTGCTCTCAAGTTTCTTTATTGCTGCCTTATCCGTATTACGACATTAATGAGTAATGATGACAGAACTTTCATGAGCACATATCTTCAGTATTTGATTCAGTGTTTTTATAATTTTGATAAATGACCTATGCACGCCCTGTATCTACGAACTGGATTTATCAAGTTTGTTTCCCCTCTCTCCATCTCCTCTCAGTTCGTGGAGTCATTGAGTGAGTTACTCATTCAGAAGTGCTTCAATTAAACTCATCTCTAGTGAGAACTGAATCCCTAGACAGCCGAACCATGTACATGCTCCACTGACATTGTGCCTGAGACAAAAGTTGCTCTTTCCAAAAGTAAACAGATTGGAAAAGACTTGATGTGAATCTATCCATACATTTAAAATACATGAATAATTAATTCATGTCAAAAAATGTTTTCCAGTGTGACTTGAGTAACCTGTCAATACACACAATTTATGAGCATTGCAAACTCATATCAAAGACAATAAGCTTACTTGTCCAACGTTCTGTCATCAGTGCCATAGTCTGGTAGTTGATTGAGATCACGAGGGTAGGCGTCGATCATGTCCATCGTCATGGGGATGGCATCACCTTCGATGTCCATGATCTCGAGACCGGTCATGCCGAGGTAGTAGATATCTCCCCAGGTCACTGTGAAGTTCAGCTTCAGATCTGTTTTGGTAAGATCGATCAAAGCATGTACAAGTCATTTTTCAATACATGTTTCCATGGAGATGAGAGAGGTTGAGAAATCTGGGATGACTACTTTTTGGTAAGAAGAGTTGCTAGGAGGGATGTTTCTCTCAACAAAAAATAAACTGTTGACAAATTTGCATACTGAAGAGTTTTTGGGGGTTGATTTTTTTTTCTTTTATTTCAAATTTGAAAAATTCTGCTTTTCTGTCAGCAAATTTGTCATCAAATTAGGTATCCCAACATCCTCACTGGCAACATTCTAAATATTTACCAATCAATCAGTAGTCAAATGAACAATGGCAAGACTGAAATACAAAACATCATACACATTTTAATCATTACAGATGACATTCAAATTGGTGAACTACATGTAGGTTTCATTATCATTCCTCAATCCTAATTACAGTACAGGGGGGTGTTTCACAAAGATCCTAAGTTGAACTTATCTCTAGGTTGGACTCAACAGTTATAGAAAGCCGTTAACATCTATGAAAATATTTTTTAAAAGTTATTTTAGAAGGCATAAAATGTTGATAAAAATCATTCATATTTTATATTATCAAGGAGATTTCATGTTCTTGATGTGGAATTTATAAAAAGTCTAAAATACTTGAATTTTTGCTTTTAAATATATTTTATGTTAAGGCTACGAATGGTTCTCCATAATTTTTAAGTCCAACTTAGAGTTAAGTTCGACTTAGAATCTTTGTGAAACACCCCCAAGGAATCCAAAACACATCCTTACATCTGCCTCTGAACACTGCATCCTGTGGTTGGGTCATCCATGAGGACTCTGCTCCAGGATCGGCCCTGTGCAGGGCGTGGTCACTGGTAGTGGTATCATGGGACTTGGGAGGAGGGGACTTCCCCCTGGTCGGCCAGACTCTACCAGCGTGGGTTCTGATTTTGCGGGACGGGCTCTGTTCTGCCGGGCAGTCGTCATTGGTCTCTCCTAGAATGATCATAATAATAGTGTAAAAACCTTCTTCTTGAGGATACAAAGCACTGAATACAATGAATTTTAATGAGAGAAGGTCTTTTTTGTCGTTTCTCTATCATGGAAATAGGCAGGGTGGGGGTATTACTTTAATAGAGGATCAACTGGCGTTCTTGGAAAGGAGATGATTGTGTCAAGTCATTCTTTCTCCCCTCATACATCTACCTTGGGTAAAACATGTAGGTCCTGTGGAGGTGACTTTCCAGGGTATATCTTCATACATGCACTATTACACAAAATAAACACATAGTGAGTTGGATAACATATACATTATAAAAGTAAAATCAACAAATACATATATCGGTATTTGATCGTAGTCTTTAATCCAGTCTTTCGTAATGCCATACCTTTTAAAAAAAAAATTAAATCTGAGACTAAAGAAAATGTTTATTGAATAAGAATTGTATTCCTGGAGAAAAATTGTGTAGACACAAGAATTAAGTCAGGATATATTTTGTACAGTGTACATCATCCATGATTTGGCCTAGAAGTAGTGAGCTTATTAAAAGACTGTTATTGTACAACAGATTTTGGGGAAATATTTCTGACTGTGGCCCTCACAGAAATAAAAAACTCCTTTACAGCAATTCATGTTCTAAATCACTCTAAAACCATCATGTTCCATCTTGCCCATCACAGCATCTCACAAGACAGATACTTTTAATAAATGCATGTATACGCAATTCTTTATTTCATCACTTCTTGTGCACTGCAGTATAAACTCAAACTCACATCTTACAGATTACATGGAATAAGACATGTACATTTACGTCCATTGCAACCAACTTTCAAAGATATTCAACACCCTTTATCTTACCTCAAAAATATTTTCTAGTCCCCAAACTCCAAGTTTTGGAAATTTCTCAAATGGAAAATATTGCAAAACACAAGCATGTAAATTCATCCAGCTTTGCACATGATGCGTTATGAAGAAATACAGTGTCACATAATAAAATGACAAATCCCATTATAATCCAAGTCCTCTATTTACGGTCCTGTACTATTCTTGTACTATTTACCTGACTGTACACGTCAGGTCAATGACACCCCCCCCCCCCCCCCTTCATGAAAAAGTTTGTGATAGAGATATCATAGATAACATACCATTACTTCTTTTCCCATGGGTTCTTGGAATAAAAATCCCTTAATATGAATACACTATATGAGATGATGACGTGGATCCTAATCAAATGAATGGTTGAAAGCGAACATGTGACCAGGCATGCGTAATTTGAATAACGACCGGTCATTATCCAATTCTAATGACCGATCATTATCCATTAATAAAACATCATGTTATAAAACAAATATAGCATAATCTTATCAAACAAAATAATACACATCACTTTGGTCGGGCATTAGTAGAATTACCCAAAGCCTCAGGCATGTTAGACTGTTCCAAAGGTACCTTGTGTGGTAATTCTTACTAATGTCCTTACTGCTGTGTATTATTTGTATATTAATGAACACCAAACGATTCTGTCACATGATACCTACCTCACTGACATCAGCCGTGCGTGGTCTAGTGGGCGGGGCCGCATCATCATCCATGCTGGAGCTAAACCAATCCTCCGCTGCCACATATACCTCATCATTCTTAGAGATTAGTTCTAAGATCTCTTCATCTTCTGTAAACAAGATGGTCTGTCGGGAAGACAATCGCAAAGATAAAATAAAGTCCTATTAATATATTTCAGTTGTTCCACACTGTTAAGTATTTAAAATTCAATCTTAATATGAATAATCAATGATATAAAAGAAAATACAAAAGAATGAAATATATGTGCATTTCAAGACCTAACCAATCTTTAAATCACAATTATAATCATAATAATTGGATTTATATAGTGCCATTTCATGAGGGTACAAGGCACTGACCCTTTAATAGTCTCTCAACAAATTATAAAGAATTATTTTCTAAACAGATTTTTTAAATAAACATCTAATAACTGACACAATTTCTATCATACTTACATCGCCAAATGAGCTGGGGTCTCCCTGAAGTGCCCCTGATGCCCTGCAAAAAGAAGGAAAAAAAATGTTTTAGAAAAAATTGATGAAACTGTTATTTACAGGTTTTATACACTGACTCAGTGTTATCTTCTTTGAATATATCATGGTATGAATTATCATGTGTACTTCTTAATGATTTATTTACATTATCATCAAGGGTTCAATGATATGCAAATATAAATACTAAATTAAACAACACTCACCTTGAAATTTCTCCTTTAAAGATGTTGTTGTCATCTAGAGATATCTCTATATCCTTGGCACCTCTGAAGGAATGTATTCTGGACTTGTTGTAATTCTGATCAATAAAACAAGAAAGGAACAGAAGAGAGGAGCATGACAACAAAATGAAGAACCAAAACATGGTATTGAAGTCTATTGGACATCATTATATGGTATCAGAAGGCTTTGGAGGGCAGTCTGATTGATGAAGATGTATACAAACATTAAAACTAATTTTCTTTTAAATGCCGTCTGTACTAGTTTGGCTAGGAGGGATTAGACCACCCAAGGTGGTCACTGACATGTAGCTATCTCATCAAATCAGCTCTCAATTAACATAAGAAAAAGAGGATCATGGGGGACCAATGGTCACCGATTAGGCATTGTTTTCTATATAGAGGGAGCAAGTAGTTACAAGTAGTACAGTGGGGCTTTAAGACATACACAATTAGGCAAACTGGACATTTTACTCTATTAATCAATCAGGATCCACTGTGTGATACCTAGTACATTTAACCTTAATTTTGATTAATTAATATGACAAATGAACATTTTGTCTTTTAAATGTAGCTTCCAGGGTTGGTAATTGATTGACACTGATTCAGATAAGTGATTTATATCACATTTTTTGGAAAGTTAGTGAAAATTTGAATGGACATTAAAACTGATCAGATCTAAACTGATTACCTTTCTAAAGAGCATCTATTTGAAGACCAAACTATTTAAAGAACAATTTTGGTGAAAAATAGTTTTTTTTAAATAAACCACATAATTTCTCACCCATATCCTGATCATGGCGACCTTGACAGGATGGTCAAAGGTCATGGTGATAAGATGCACCCTGCCTGGTGTGAACGGAGCAAGCCACATGTGTATATCATCCCTGGTGCAGTTCACACCATTAATCAGATTCAGCACAACCCTTGGGTCGTTGGTGTGTTCAGGTAACATGTTCAGGTCAGAAGGCTCTGCAGTAACCTGTGAATATTTTTCAGACAGAATGAAACAAAAAATTAAAGCCCATGTTTAATGTTTGCAGGCCCTACATATCCAATAATTAGAGGACCTTGATTTTAGCAGATGAATAGCAAAACATCAACAATCGCATACATGTATTAGTATGCATGAATACCTGCAAAGTGAAAAACAAATTAGATTTCTCTTCACCGTCTGAAATACGATTTGCTTTCGTTTTGGATTGATGGTCTTCGTCAAATATTTTCACGAAGGATTGTGAGTAAATTACAACAATAAGAATTTGAAGGCAAAAGTTGAACAGGTTAATGGATTGTTTCATCATATTCATAAGTATACTAGACTGCACCGACTCAATTTGGCAACAAATCAATAAAAGCAGTGTTTGATAGCAATATAAAGATTTCAGTGCAAGTAGGATTTTGTGAACATCGACTCCTGATTTCTATCATTTGTATTTTTTAAGTTACTCCAGGTCGATAGTTGTTTTTTCTATAAAAAGTGCAGACATCAAAAGATATATTGCACTCTTTGTTGGTACAGTACATATTTCTTAGTTACCTTAATTGATATCCATAATATTTTCTGTTGTAGAACATCTAAAGTTGAATATTATCTTCAATCAACACAGAATAATCACAATGATATCTTTCTGCAGTTTACTGTTTCTTACCTTGGAGACTTGAACATGTTCTCCACTACTCTGAAAGATCTCTATTCCATTGAGACCAACATAGTGACGATCTCCCCACGTCGTCTTGATGTTAATCGTCATGCAGTGCCCAACAGGTAAGAGAGGGATCTCAAATTCCTCACTATCGAGAAACAAGAAGTTGAATTTATACAAAATGAATGTCATTAAACAGTTCACATATAGGAATAAACATCACACAGTGAAAAACTGAAGGAATTAGTGGAAAATAAATCAAAATGCATTTTTGTTCCCCTTGTCAAAAGAAACTTTTAAATATGTATTAAAATTAAAAGAATTAAGACAACTTATTGAACAGATCACAAATTTTAATACATGAATAAGGAGACAGCTTATAAAGAGACAGCTTATAAAGGTAAGAGCCTTATTGGTGCTGCCATCAAAAACAAACATGACAGAGTATAAAAGAGAAGCAAAACAAAATGAAACAATACAAAATAACAGAAAAGCCTGAAAGCTTTATACAGAAGAAGAGAATATACATTTTCAAAAGGCCAGACAGAGAAAAGGGTTTATGGTCATGTATCCTCATATCCTGTCAAATTGCTCTAACCTGCTAGTATCATCATTATCAGCATCCTCCTCCTCCTGAGTCTTAGATCTTCTGCCTGACAAGATGGTATCTAGAACATCACCTAGTGGAACAGAACAGAGGACATGATGAGGTGCTTTGTATGAAGCTCTCATTGTTACTCATTATGTAAAGGATGCTTGTACAAATGTACATGTATATGTAGCATATGATGCTACATCCACATGTACTTACTATTACATGTATGGTTATTGCAAAATTGTTTCAATATTTAACTGAACAAGGGAAACGCTCTCGGCGGTCTCGCCTGCATTAGGCAATTCGATATGATATAAAATTGAGGTTGGGACATTATTTATAAGTAGGGTGGCCCATTAGCAGGCCCCCAAAAATGAAATCCTCTGGATATAATCACAATTTTGAAGTGAATATTGATTAAGAATCATGAACAAATTAAAATTGATTCATTTATTCTCATATTAAGTTGTGAAAACATAATCCAAGCCTACTGACCTAAAATGACCTTTGACCTTGTTACCTGGAATTTGTGTCATATGACTTGTGATACTTGATAACCCTTGGGTACAAGTTTCATGGAGTTTGAACAAACACTTTTGAAAATATGCTAAAAATTCAAAATCTTGATATTGATGCCACAAAAAAGTCTAAGTTTGTTGACCTAAAATGACCTTTGACCTTAACTTAGTGACCTGAATTCTACTCACATGATTGGGGATACTTGATAACCCTATAGTCCAAGTTTCACTGACTAAGAACTTATACTTTCAAAATTATATCAAAAATTCAAAAACTTAACCTTAGGTTAAGTTTTCGATAATGATGCCACAACATAGTCTAAGTCTGTTGACCTGAAATGACCTTTGACCTTGACTTTGTGACCTGAAATTCAACTCACATGATTGGGGATACTTGATAACCCTATAGTTCAAGTTTTATTGACTAAGGAGTTATACTCTCCAAATTATATTAAAAATTAAAAAACTTAACCTTAGGTTAAGTTTTTGATGTTGACGCCGTCGCCGCCGCCGTCACCAGAAAAGCGGCGCCTATGTCTCGCTTTTTTTGCTACGCAGGTGAGACAAAAATCAGTAACGTTTTGTAACTTTTTGAACCTTTTTTCTGATTTTTCCCCAGGACTTTTTGAAGATACAAATATGCAAAAGCTAACCATAAATACCTAATAATGTCATGTATTCTATTGGTATCCTGTTCTTAGAATTTTCTGTTATTGATATCTATTATGTATTAGTTAGATTATGCATAGAATATCTATGGTATCTTTGATCAACAAATACCTTCTACATCGAGGTTCACATTCGATGCTAGTCTTCCCTTTTGAAACTTGTCAAACAGAGACAGTGATGTCCACGACTGTTCTAAGCTCGACTCCTGGTGGCTTCTTGACTGGTGAGGGCGCTTGTCGAACCTGGCCGGGGGCGACATGTGATCTTCGTCACTCATACCGCCCTCCGCGGCCTTCTGTCGCCATCGCAGCTCCTCCATGTCATCGGCCATTGCTGGGAGAAGAAAGATCAGTAGCTTGGTGTCATAAAATCATAACATGAAAGAATAATGGAGTAGTCTAAATACCATAGTACGCATTAGAAGTTAGCTTGGCTTCATATTATAATTAACCTCACTGGTGATGATTCAGTGTCATAAGAACATTTATTCATCAAAAATGTAGAATACATCCATCTTCAATTCATCAGGTGATACAGATAAGGCATTAAAGTGACTTGTGCAATTAAATTGCATGACTATGCAAAAAACAATTATATATGCATAGAAGTAAATTTCAAACACTAGATAAGAATAAACATTTCCTTCCAGTGGCAGTGGTGTATAACTCAAGGTGCTTTTTTACAATAATATCTAACTCTTCCATTTATCAGATGTTGAGAGCCGGTAGGACAGTTTTGCAAAAACTTTTGCATCAAGATTTATTGTTCTCAGCAAACGATACATTATCCAAACAAAGCATATTTGCACCAAAGCTCATGTTTATGTACAATGTAGTCTCGCTACTAGCTGAATGGACCATCACTCCACCATCTAACATTAAATAGTAACCTGCTATCTTGGGTTGATTTGGGGCCTGGTTCCTGCTCCTCCTCCCTGTCGGTTCCAAAGTGGTCTCATCATAGTCCAGGATCTCTTGGGAAGGTCTCCTATCAGCAGAGCTTCGTCTCAGCATCCCAGGCCAGGGGTTGCCTGTATCCAGAGGGTCAGCCTCTTCCTCTTCTGGGATACTGCTATCGCTCTTATTGACTTCATCATCTGCAAAGAGCAAGATTGTACTAAAGAAAGGTACATGCATTCATGATTCATATCAAATATGATTTTGATGATACTGATTATCCAACTACTAGGAAAGGGAATGGTTTGCTGATATCTAGGGGCAGGGAATAATTTCCAGCCAAAAATTTGCATAGCAAATCTGCTACACAAAATAATTTTTGCATAGCAGTTGGATGAACTTGTATAGCAATTTTTTTTCATGTTATAAATTACAGTGCAAAAACAATGACGTCACAACATCTGGTCATGAATGCATACTTACTACATTTTATGTACATTGATTCTGGTGTAATCTCCCAGCACTTTCTTCATACTCGATCCATTCCCTTTTCTGGTCTAAATCCTTAATCCAACCTTCCACAGTAACTACACGAATTGACACCATGTTTTGAAAATGACAAAAATATTGGTCCAACAATAAATCCAGAGACGAGTCGAGTCTTAAATCCAAATAAATCCAGTAACTTTGAATCGTATCGAGGGTAAACAACAACACGTAGTATTAGCTCGCACATGAGCGCGATTGAGCCTGCCCTGGATATATAATTAGTTCACCACGTGCGTGCATTGTTGTCTGCATCGCAACAACACTCACGGCTAAAAGGTGACCGTAGACACTCATCGCCGATAGTGCGCTATGTAGGTGTGTGTAGCTTCACGGTTAGAAAGTGACTGTAGTACGCTTAGCGCTCAGTGCTGGCCAGCCTGGCCTAGCCAAGCCTGCCTGGGATATATGGATCGGATATCGGAGCGTCGAGGGTGTATGTAGTTTGTGGATTGGCGGTCTGTGTATATGAATGTACGTTTGGCTTGCATCGCAGCAATTGCGATTCATGAAAAAAGATACGTCGCAAATGGCTGAAAATACATCGCGAATTGCGATGCGATACCGGGAAAATTATTCCCTGAGGGGTCAGACTATTTTCCTTCTGCTATACTGCTATTGCTCTTATTGACTTCATCTGAAAAGAGCAATGTTATGAAAGATGAATGTATGCATGGTAAATATGATATTGATGATTTTTATTAATTTTTAATTGACTGCTAGGAAAGAAATGGCTTGCTGATATCCAATTGTCAACTTTATTTTCTTCTGATATACTGCTATTGCCCTTATTCAACTTCATTATCTGCAAAGAGCAAGATCATAAATGATGATAAAATACACATTTGTTCCATTCAACCCTGAAGACTGCTGCATCTGTGGACTGGCTCAATAAACCTTTAAAGGTCCACTTATTCTGTTAGAGAGAATGGATTGTTATGGGTTTATATTGGCTCAATTAGTTTACTTGAAATGTTATCATGATTTAAGGGGTCATTATCCTCATACTTTGTTGTGAAGCAGATAATACAATACAATACAATACAATAAACATTTAGGGCGCCATTCCCATAAGGCTCAGAGCGCTAACATCAAATAATATTATTGGTCACAGATCACATGTTGTAACTGCAAAGTAAAGGCGATACTCTAAATACTCTGGATAAGAATAAGATTGGAATTAGATCAACAGCAAATAACTGTACAATGCAAATCAAAGAATGTGAGTCTGATCTGAATATATCTACATGTAAACAAATCATTACTAGTTCAGGCAATTTAAGGGGGAGGGGGAATGTTATCCATTTACCATCTTACCTAATAAATTCAGCCATGGTGGTTTCTTCTGTTTTGGTTTGGTTCTAGTGGAAAAGATAAAGAAAAACCATTCAACAATCATGACAGTTATAAAAAAGCACCTCTGCAAAACATCCAAATTGTTATAAAAGTATTTCGAGATTTCATCAAGGATTTACTTACACATTGCATAAGAGTTGCGTGTACATGTACATGAAGGCTATCAGAAGAAAGAACTGAAATATACTTAGAGAGCAACTGAAAGGTTAATTATAGCTACAACAAAGTGAAAGAGTCTGCTGAAACGTATATACTGCATCTAATTCAATAGTTTATTAAAAGAAGGAGTTGTGAGATAAAAATATGCTAGGATGATGTACTTTGATTGCAGAGAGAGAAAAGAGCAAATCACACGGAAAAATGAAAAATGGAGCAGCTAAATGTTTTTCAGAAAAACAGGTTCAATGCTACAAAAATGAATAGAAAACTTTAAGTGAAATATAATAGCGCATGATATGAAATGACTCTTCACAGTCGGAAAAGGAATTTAAAGAGAATTTACAGAGAAGTTAAAGAAGACATTTTGTAGATGAGGGTTGATTATGGGCTTTACAGTATTAACAAAAAATAATCTTAATGTTTATCTCATAAAGCAGTCTCTCAACAATGTCTATATGAATACATGTGTTCGGGAGTTTGGGTGGGAGGGGGTGATATATTGTGACTTACGCCCTCTTTTTCTTTGAATCCTCTTTGAGCCACGAAGGCTTTTCATTGAGAGGGCGCTCACTCTTAGGTTGTTTGCTGTTAAGGTAGAGAAGACAACAATAAGCACATACCAACAACATGGAAGAATATCAAATGGCCACTGCACATCTTACATCTCAACTAAGACTTGATTTGAAGAGAAATAGAATAGGATTATATACAGAATTTCAATAACACAAGAATTGTATATGGCTAGGGTCCAAAATGGTCATATCAATATCAATATCGAAACTGCAGATCTTTGACCCTTCCAGAAAGGGATAAGGACAGGTCAACTACAACAGTCTTGTGACTCATTTGGTGTGAAGTTAATATGAATCACAACCTATTTGGCCTTATCTCTGACCAAAAGGCCCACAATATCCCACAGTTTGGTAATGATATTCATGTGAACATTTAGGACCTCACTTAGGAAAAATGTACCAATTTCAATATTCAAACTTGATCTAATAATTTTTTTCTTTCAAAATCTATTCATAATTGGGTCATAGGGTATTAGTTTGGTCATAAGATAATCAGCCACAGAACACACATACCAAGTTGGTTCTCAGAGATACCACATTCAAAAAAGAAAATGCAATTCTTGTATTTCCTTGTAATAGTTGCATATCGAAATGAAAGAAGAAAATAAAAGGATGATTAAGGTACGCACTTGTACCAGGCTTTAAAAGCCAAAGTGTAAATTCCACTTGAGATTTTACAAAAGATGACAACAGAATATCTGAGAGCAGGGATGGACAATCAATTTACATAGCTGCCAACATCATTTTGGTGAAAATGGAATTTGCTTGAGGACAAAATTCACAGATATTGGCTTCTTACAGGTATAAATAGAACAGAAAATACTGAAATATTTCTGAAAATACAGTTAAGAGTTAAAGAAAATCATGACCCAAAAAAGAACAAGTAAGATGTCTTCTCATAGAAATATGTGTAGAATAGTGATAATTTAGCAGAACAAGTAAGACTAAAAAGATTTGATAAAAATACTCATTAATATATCAAAGGAAGAGGCACACTGCACTGAGCTCACCAAAGTTCTACATGTAAGGAGTAGACAAACCATGATAGGTATGATCAAATGCACAAAGAAGGTCAAGTTACTCAGTAATCAATAGACAGAAAACTTCCCTAGATACATGTTCATATTAGTTATTAATAATGTTTACAAGAAAACTTAGTTCACAAAATACCAACATAACAAAATTAACATAGCACGGTGTACAAGACAATAAAAGGATAGCATATTCTTACAATTTGTTAATGATTTTTTTCAACTGGCACCACTCTGAACATGATACATTTACATTAAATAGATTTTAGAGTATAACCTCCCACAATATCCAACTCACCCAGTCAACTCTTTAAGTTGATCGAGCATGGAAGGTTCCTCCTTGTCAAAACTGGTATCCTGCTCACTAGCAGTAGCTTTCTTGTTTGGAGACGATGACATCGCCATGGGAACTGCTCTTGGAGTTATATCATCATCGGCAAGAGGAGTTTTCTCTGAAACGGGAGAGTATAACAAAAATTATGGAATGTCAAATGAAAATGGATTGGAATTGGTTGTTTAATCGATTCTTCTTCAAATTAAAGATTGCTTTTGAGAATCATCCTAAAAATGTTTTTATGAAGTTACCTGATTTGTGAAATTAAATAGTCTGACTTGTATATTATATTGGCAGAAGTTTTATTTTTCCATGTAGATAAAAGATGTATTTCACTAATCTATATACCAGTAAACATACTTCAAACTTACTTACATGTAGTATATACACTCAATATATTAAGATGAAGGTTTTAAAATCCCTATTCAGGGTACAAATTGCCAATCAAGTGTTCAATCAATCATTTAATCAAGCAATCATGTAATCAATTGATTAATAAATAAAGAAACAATTTAATTAATCAACAAATCAAATTATCAACCAAACATCTGTCAGTCAGTCAGTCAGTCATTCTGTCAGTCAGTCAATCAGTCAGTCAGTCAGCCAATCAGTCAGTCAGTCAGTCAGTCAGTCAGTCAATCAGCCAGTACGTCAGTCAGTCAATCAATCAATCAATCAGTCAGTAAGTCAGTCAGTCAGTCAATCAATCAATTAATCAGTCAGTTAGCCAGGTAGTCAGTCAGTCAGTCAGTCGATCAGCCAGTAAGTCAGTCAGTCAGTCAGTCAGTCAGTCAGCCAATCAGTCAGTCAGTCAGTCAGTCAGTCAGTCAGTCAGTCAGTCAATCAGCCAGTAAGTCAGTCAGTCAATCAATCAATCAATCAATCAGTCAGTCAATCAGTCAATCAGTCACTCAGTCACTCAGGTAATCAGTCAATCAATCAATTAATCAATGAACCAACCAACCAACATACAAGTCAATCCAATGCAGCGGCCTTACCTCTGCTTGCATCGAGGGAGGTGTTTGGTGATGCATAGATCTGAATGCTGTCATCCACCACCGGTAGATCTAGACTGGTATCGGTGGACCGCATCAGTACTCTGGTCTCACATCGAATGGTCTGCCTGGGGTCCTCAGGGTTAAAGCTTTCCGAGACACTGGGTCTCAGTCCAAGGTCTTGACTAACTCCAACGGAATCCTTCACAGAAGGCTCCACAGATTCAGACAAGGCTGGAGTAGCATGTTTTGGGTCTACACTAATCTTGGGGTTTTCCCCTTTAGGGGCTGAAGACGTGCTAGAATGTGGTTTTTGAGGTTCTGCGGCACTTGAAGGTTTAGGCTTAGAAACTGTTTGCCCTTTAGTCTTTTTCTTGTCAATGAGCGTCTGAGTCAAGTCCCTGCTCAAAGTCTGATCCAACTTAGCATCTTGGGCTGGTTTTACTTTGGAGGGGAACAGATCCAGGTCTATATCAAATGCTATGCTCCGGCGTAACTCTCCGCTCCCATCCTCATCCTCATTCCCATTGCTGTTTGAGTTGCTCTTGTTTGGATTCAACAACCTCCCTTCCAGTGACTTTGACTGAGGCTGCTTGCTTCCTAGGTTCTTGTCACCAGCACCATGCAACCTCTGCTCCACATTTTTCACTTGTTTTGATTGCTCAGTTCTTTGTACATTTGGATTCATTGTTGCAATTTGTTTTTCCTGGTTTGATGCATTTGATGGAACACTGTTACCTAGAATGTCTTTAGTAGTTGCATTTTCTATGGGTATAGGAATGGTTGTACTGTAATCAAAGACTTGGTTTCCACACCCCTTGTCCAATGTTCCTTCCCATATAGTCTTATCTTGAAGAAGTATCCTGGCCTCTTTGATACCAATGCTCAAATCCTACAGGAAACAGATGAAAACAAAAAAACACAAACAAATGTTTGAGTACAATCATAAATGATATGCCATCTTTGATTATTACTTTAGACACAAAAAAGATTTTTAGGTTTTAAAAGTTCTCTTCTTTATATTTGGCAAATGTTCACTTCAAACCCAGTGGAAATCCATATATTATGATATGTTAAAACAAGACTTTCTTCAATTAGTTACAGATTGATAATAGCTTAAAAATGGATAATAATTCAGAATAAACTCTAACAGAGGTCCATTTATGCAATAAGTCCAAATTTGCTCCAGTTCATGGCAGTGATATATACTATAAGTTGTTAAGCTTGTTATTTTGTGTAAATATTGCAAAATTTTATGAAATACACACATGAAAATGAGCTTGCAATGCAGGTGCAAACATGTACAATGTAGAGTAGCCCGTGTTAATCATTAAGAATACAACTTTCATCTGCAAGAAATATTTTGTTCACAAAAAATGGCCTCATGCAGTATCAAGCAAAGATGGACAAATAATAATCACTAACTAACCTTCAGAGTCTTGTTGAAGTTCCATATCCTCATTTTGGAGATACCACTCCCTGCTGAAGAGGCTGGTATCCTGAAGAGCAGTAAGACTGGAGAACCCTTCTCATACTCACAGCTCCACATGTTTCTTTCTTTTGTAGTCTGTAAATGAGAAGCAGTACCATTCATATTTTGACTGCCAATTCATCAATCATGGTGAAAATAAGCATATGCTTCCGAAACCAATTCCGGAAAAAGCAAACAACATTGAACAGAATGTTTTACAGATTATGATTTGTTAAAAAGGTTTGAAAAGCCTTCGTGGCTCAGAGAGGATACAAAGAAAAGAGGATGTAAGGTCAAAATATCACCCCCTCTCACTCAAAGCTCAACTAGTATTTTTTTTATAGTTGTATTACTATTTTTTTTAAAGTGACTCACATTATGTGGAGTAAATTAAGCATCTGTAACTGCAAAGAAGTGGATAAACCAAACACATGTGGATTGACACAAAACCTACCCATTTTCCATCAAAGTCATTCTATCCCCTAGAAACACAAAATAAAGAGTGACATTTGTAAACAAAAATAATAATACATCAATTGGTAGTATCTGCAATACTTTATTTCAGGAGAAATATTATTTTTAAAGAAAAAAAATGTATAGGTACCTTCATCCTGGCATTGACAATGTTAGCAAGCTCTCCTTTGCTCTCTGAAGCATTCCGAACATCCAGGCCTGATGGTTGGAGGGTTAACCTTTGACCTTCGAGGTCAAAGAACTGCACCTCTGTGACCCCTACTCTAGATGGATGACCCCAGTTAGAGTTGATCTCAATGATGACCTCAAGGTCAGAAGATGACGTTTCAAGTGAGCTTGACTTTGAGCTTGATGCACTCTGTAGGGATAAAAAGAGAAGAATTTTTGTTGTTGTTGAAACACCATTGATCTAGAGGCCATCTTCAAATGAAACATATTTTCTGTACAAAAACCTATGCACCTCACCTGATGAAAAATACTGTTATTACTTTATTTTCAATATTCGTAAATAGCTCTTGGATATCTTAACACACTAAACCGCAAATTTGATTACATTCTTATGTATACTGCTTGGATGAGTAAATTTGATTGTTGTGAAACACTCAGGTGTTGTGGACGAGTGGATATGTCACCGGACTGTGGATCACAAGATCCGCGGTTCAAGTCCCACCGCGGCACTAATGTCCTTTGTCAAGACATTGGTCTATATTTGCCACTCTCCACCCAGGTGTTAATTGATATTTCTATCGCTGGTAAACAACGCTCTGATGGATTTCGATCAACGGTGGAAATATGTGGACGATTTGAGCATTCTTGAGATCCGCTCCACTTCTGGCGTCTCGACGTTAGCGGATCATCTCGACAAGCTGACATGTTGGAGTAAGGAAAATGACATGAAATTCAACGTTCAGAAAAGTAAGACCATGTCAATTGACTTCTCCAAAAACAGAGCGAATCCTCCGAGCTTACATCTGAATAATCAACCGATATAAGACACGAATTGCCTGAAGCTGCTTGGCGTTCTTATACAGGCGAATCTCAAATGGGATAGCCATATCTCCGACGTGGTCTCAAGAGCTGGAAGGAGAATATTCATGATTTGTCGTCTGCGGAAAGCGTCAGTCCCGATGCACGACCTAGTGAATATATATTCCACATATACTCGTCCGTTATTAGAATACGCATCTCTATTGTGGTCTACAAGCAAAACAACAAATCAAACCAATGATATTGAGAGGATCCAAAAGCGTATATGTCGCATCATCCTGAGGGATCAGTACATCTCCTATGAACACGCTTTGGAAACACTTGGCACCAATCGCATGTCCGAGCGACATGAGCAGTTGCTGCTCTCCTTTGCCAAGAGCCTGTTGGCTTCTTCCAGGCATCGAGACTTCCTTCTGCCCCTACGCAGCGAAATATCCTCCCGGCGTCTACGTCACTCGCACCACTTGGATACCCCCATGTGTAGGACTGCTCGGTACCGCTCGTCAACAATGCCCTCTGCAATAAGACTGCTTAACGCGAATCTATAAATCGTTTCATTATTTTATTAATTCATTAGTGTTCCCTCTCTTTTTAAACTTCAATTGTATGCCCTTGCTAAATATTAATGTTGTGCTTTTTATCTCTAATATAATGTGCAATATCTTATACGAAATTATGTAATATTGTTATTCAAATATCAATTTTTTCTTGTTTCAGATGAATGAGGTCATTACAATTAACAATAGCAATTGTTAAATACACTCTGTACTATATTTTTTAGACAAATAACTTTCTTATTCTCATGCACATTAATAGATATTTGGTTTTAAACAAACCGGTATAATAATACGTCTGCAATATACACTTTTATCCAATTTACTCTCAGACTGCCTAAAACTGTAAACATATTTTAATCTGTTGTTTCATTAGGTCATTAGTGTTCCCTTCTTTTATATATTTTTTTTAATACAAGTTCATGCCCTTGCCAATTTTTTGACTTGGGTCTTTTTCTCCAAAGTAATGTGCAATATCTAATTCGAAATTACACTATATTGTTATGTAAATACTCATTTTAATTTTATTTGAACAACTTTCTCGATCTAGATGAATGCTGTCATTACATTTATATTAAAGGGGAAAACGGAATCTCTATTCATTTTGACTTTTACGGTTTAATTTCATCCCATCCAATAGGTTTTTTTTTAATGCTTAATTTCATTTTTTGTAATAGAAATGTTTGTTTAGCAATTGTTAAATACTTTCTCAACTCTTTTGCTCAAACAACTCCCTTTTTTCTTCTCCATTCTCTCCTTCCCACCGTCTTGGTTCTTCAACATGAAAGTATATTATTACATTACTGTATAACTTTGTTTCGCAATTTCGATTTCATCTTACAATGACTTACAATATGTATTTTAGTTTTGTATATGTTTATATCTCTCTATATTTTTAATTTGTTTGTAAATTGAACATTTTCAGCCTGCGAGCTGCTTGTTTGATGTGATTTCTCAATAAACCAAACCAACAACAACAATTGCGTACCCGGTTAGATGCGAAAGCTAATGTGCTTAGCTTAGCAAGTGTGCGCTTGTAAAAATGACGCCTTGCTGGAATACTCCCCAGGGAGTGGAGAACGTGCATACATTGTGTGCAGGTAAGCCTGAATCCGATGACCGGGGTAATAATATATATATACATGTATCTGTAAAGTTCGAGAGGGCCTTCAGTCCTGAAAAGCGCTATATAAGAACAAGGTAGTATTATAATTATTACAAGTCGAGCCACAGCGTTGAGAAGTCATTGATCTTGTACTTGTACGGCCCCCAGGCACCATGTCACAAAACCATCATCCCATTGAAATGGGTGTTGACTTTTTAGTCCATGTTTAAAAGGGATGTCGAAAGAGTTCCCAAGAGATTAAATTCCATGTTTCGCACCTTTGAGCGAGGAGCCAGCTTAGGTCCTGTGAAGATATCACTGTGACCAGCGCCCTCTGTAGTTGACTGTCCTGGTGGCTGGTGTCGTCGAGGCGTGTTCCTGGATGATCTCGGGCTTGTTGAGTCCTCTAACCTGCCAAGGACCTTGAGTAGTCTCCTCTGTGACCTGCAAGAGTGAGAAAAATAGATCCTATTAAAGCCTGTATGCACTAGTTTGGCCAGGGGGGATTAGACTTCCCTGCAAGGTCACTGATAGGTGGTTATCTCACCAAATCAGCTCTCAATTAACATAATAAAAAGAGGATCATGGGGGACCAACATCCAATAGGCATTGTTTGCTATATGGAGGGCGCAAGTGGCTTTAAGTAGTGCAGTATGGCAAAATTCAATCATAAAGCATCATAATAATAATAATAATAATAATAATAATAATAATAATAGCCTAATAGTCCACTCCAAATTTTATTAAACCGAAACGGAAATTATATCATAAATACCCCATGCGATTAGAGTACAAATGTTCAGTTTATCGTATTTGTAGCCTGGTCACAAGAGCTTGGAACCAGAAATCAGACTACTATATGCATGACAGTAAAACCAGAAACAGCCATTTTCACGGCAAGAAACTATGCAACTTGTAGAAATTTGCTGTTGTGTCTATCGTGATTAAATTATTTTGAGGTATGAAACTTTCACAAATGTGAACCATCAAATTGAAAACATATAATGCAATTTGTCAAATGTGAATGCACAGTTTATGAAACTATAAATAGTGCTAAAACCCTTTGCAATGGATTTAAAATTTCACAGGGTTGTTCCTAGATCCAATTTTTTCTTTCCGTTTTCATGTGTCATCAATCTTTAGCACTGATACAACAGACACGGCCATAATTAGTCCTCTCCTGCTGCCGCTCTCAAGGTCAAAATAGCCCTGCTCCTTTGAAAAGGCAAACATACTCACTTAGCATCCATATCTTTGACCTTCTCTAGGGCCATGGCTAGCTTCAGGTCATCGAGATTCTGAGAGTTGAGCAGCGGGTCATGGCTTGAGGAGTCGGTCGAAGCACTCAACTCTTCAGTAGTCTCCTTCCCTTCAAGGTCATCATGATCGATGTCAGCTTGGTCTTGCTCACCATGGCGAAGGATGACAGTCACAGGTCTCTTAGGCATATCAGCAGGTGATGGTGATATTGGCTATGAGAATGGGATAAGATATATTTATTTCAATATTTGAAAAAAAAATGAAACTGTAATACCTATACATACTGAGTTTATACACATTGGAAAATTTTCGTGACATTTATCACAAAACATCAGATTTTTTAAAGAAGGGTTTAAGAAAAAAAAGAAAAAAGAAAAAACAATGACGTACAATATCTTCAGATTCCCAAAGAACTATTCTTTGCCATACATCACATCAATACAAAAATATGTCATGTCTTCATTTTTTCTTATGAGGACAATGATTTCAAATTTCCTGAAAAAATGCAAATATTTAAAAAACACCCCAACAGAGTTAATTTGATATTATGTTTACACTTTTGCTAACAGCCTTGCTCAAAAGAAGGAAGGATTTTTTTTCTTCCTGTGATAACATTAATGCAAACTAATGCAATACAGGACAACTAACCTTGGTTTCTTCCTTAGGAGCTGTCCTGGCCCTGCTCTGGGTTCGTGTTGCCTTGGCAACCTTGTTCTCTGCAGCCATGGCTCTCTGGATGGCTGAGACGTCGTCCTTGGGAGTGCTTGCCCACTTGCGGGTCTCTTCCTCTTTCTTCTGGGTTTGCAGGGAGGTGGATTTTCTCACTGCAGGACCTAAAGGAACAACACACAAATACCTGTAAGCATTGACCAGTACAGACCATGGAGTAGCATCAAATAGATAGATAAGTACAGTGGCCATCCACCAACCAACTTGAGGAGAACACCAAGGATGTGCTACATCAATATGATGTGGTCAAAAGTGGGAACAGGCGAGGGAAAAAGACATAATGCTGACAAACATGTACATGTGTTGTATCTATACTCACATTAAAAATGTTAGATTTACTGTTTTAAACTCTAATGACATAAATTGCAGTATTCTTGAATCCTAAAAAGCGGCAAAAGTTTACTTTACCAAAACTTGCAAGATTGTAAATTTTAGAACATTACAATATTTTATGATAAGTGTTCTTTTGTTATCATATCTATTATGTTGTGAACATCAAATATTAGATCTATACGGCTGTGTCAAACATAGTCTCTGACCTAAAGAAGAATTAATATCAGTATTTGGGAACAGTCGCATGCAATATATGTCTTGCTTTCCTTTTTCACAATGGGGCCATGGTTCTATCAGAATCATACCTGCATCTAATACAACATCCTTTTGTTTCTGAGCTCCCTGTTTCCTGAAGTCTTCTTGGCTTGCTCTTGAAGGCAAATGAACTTCGTCTGCATCTTCTTTCCTCCTAGAAAAATGAATTGGATAATGAGGTTTGTAAATCAATTACTGCTTGTTCATGTGTTTACTTATTCATTGCAAGTTTATGTGATCTTTGGAAGGACTTTATGATGCAATGCTCAATCCTCTCTTTAATTAATGAGTAGGAAATTTATGCTTCCAGCTTGAATAGTGATGACGATTGTTTATTGCCATCTACACTCTACAGAATTCATGATGACTACATGCATACTAGATTACTACACTGTAATAAATTTTAATAATGATTTATATTGTACACATAGGTTATGTGAATGTTGATGGAAAAGATATTAAAGAAAAAAAACCCTGTGTACTTACTTTGCCGATAGTTCCTTGTTTTTAGCTACACATGAAGAAAAGTAAAAGAGATATATTTAATAGAAACATTTCATACGCATCACAGAGTAAAGCATTCCATAAAATAAGTTATTTGTTAAAGAGTTTCCTATTAAACCCAAAAAGTTTTTTACACAGCCCTTAACCCTTACTGTACTGGGCTATTTTGAGCACCCACTGACTGGGGGGGGGGCCTGGGAGGCCCCCCCCCCTATGATCTCGGCCGTCGATTGTCCGATGAACACGAAAATTTGCATGTTTGTAGATATTTACGTAAGGAACAAGATGGTATAATTAGTTTTTTCCGAATATGCAAATTTTTGTCGTTAGCCTAATTAATTATGCAAAATGCGCTAATTTTATGCATTTTACCGAAAACGTGTCAAACTCCACTTTTTGAATGTTGAAACTCATTATTCATATGAAACTTCTTTTCTTACACAAAAAAGTTGTTTTAATGTAATTAATAATGATAATTTATGCAAATTTTGATGCGATTTTCATTTTTTTTTTTTTTTTTTTTGATGACATGCGCATACTAATTGTTATGTAACGCCTTACAGGTGTATCTGATTTCGACAAAAATGGTATCAAAATGTGCGTAAGACTTGAGGGAAAAAAGTCATGAAACGACAATTCAAAATTCCAAGCGGTTGCGGCGCAATCTCCGAAAATGTCGAGGGGGGGGCCTCCCAGGCCCCCCCCCAGTACAGTAAGGGTTAAGAATTGGTTATATATGTATCATCACAGAACTTTCACTCCTTTTATTACTTCGTATATCAATGATTTATTAAGCAATCACACAACATTACAAAATGACACATGAAAATATGTGCATATCAATTGATAAATATTCAAACTAAGAGCACAAGACAAATGAAAATTTAAAATGATTTACATTATAAGAAAACTATTAATTCAGTGAACTAGAGAAAGACACACATTAGAAAAAGAGAAACATTTTATGACAATCTTCCAATGCCAATCGAACTGACAATATTTAGAGAATATCTTTTCCATACGTTTCATATGTGATGCAAAGTCGAGGACTATCATATCTCCTGGCTCTATCTTCATTTTTTCTCCGCTATCCCTCCTGCCCACATCGAGGCTGTCATCAAGGACGTCCAAGTCTTCCTCGATCTCATCCTCATCCTCCTCCTCGATGTCATCTTCTGAGCTTGACGATCCATCGTCAGACTCTGTGCCCTGTTCACATGAAAAATTAAACACCAGTTTGATATACAGGCGCCTTTTATTAATGACAAATGACAAAATCAGTGGCATATCTGCTGATAACCAATCAGAAGCAAGGATTTCAGTAGCTTATAACAAAAACTGTCATTTTTCGCTAATGACAAGTTTTGTGAAACGCCACCCTGGTCATTTCAAATTTGATGCTTTTTATTCAAAGGTATAAAAGTCAGTGTGTGTACATCAGAATTATTCACATGGGGGTAAACTAATGAAAAAAATGTATTTCTGTAATTTTTCATACTTCTGTCCTTATGGTAGAAAATATTATTTTGCATTGTAATGTTACTAGAACAAGAACATTCTTGTGGGCCACCAGGTTTTTACCTAGCCCAATATGTGCAATTCTATATTTGCACACTTAACTGTATGCAATCCTTCATCAGAACTTTGTTACAGTCCTTCTTCTCCCTGCAACCTCACGATATCAAATACATTTATAATCAATTCTCATAATAAAATATCACTACCTCTTTTAGAAATATCAGAATGACTTACCTTTCTACAGATACTTCTCCTTATGTGTGGATTAGCCTCTAAACTCCTCCTTAGTGTCTGTGTACAGAAGGAACAATGATATAATCAGTGGGTAATAGACAGTGGAACAAATAGATCATAGGTATACAGAGAATTATCCCAATATAGCATACATGGCCCAGGACAATGGACTTGCCAAAGCAGGTCATAACATATAGACATAAAACATACAGTTGTATAGATATGTAAATATAGTTCAATGAGATGATACAGTAGTTAACATTTCAGAAATATTAGTTGAATGGAAACAAAATTAATTTGAGCGTTTAACAAAAAAAATAATAGAACAATTCAATTTCAGAAACAAGCAATAATTGAAGTTTAAAACCCAGAAAAGAATGAAGAAAAAAAAATCTCACTCACTGAAGAGTTATAATACTCAAATCAATTAATTGGTAATATTAATTTTAAAAGCTTTAAAACAAATATTGTTTCAATTTTTATAATTACAAATAAGTTTCATTTTATATGCTTTATTGCAGATGTCATTTTAGGTATAAGCATTTTGTTCATGTTTTGACCGAGTTATGGAAATATCATTATTGGAATTGAATTATATTGAATTAAAACAAAATAACACAATAATCAATTACCTTAACATCTTCAATGCTGAGAAGCAGTTGCTGGTTTACAATACCATCATAATCATCTTCTTCTTCATCAACCTCCTCCTCCTCCTCCTCACTTCTTCCATCTTTACTCCTTCTCTTCCGATGCCGAGACGATTCCTTGGTGTATTGACCAGCATCGATCTCCAGATCACTGTCACCATCCGAGCCTCCCTCTAGGATCACTGTCATCTGCTTTGTCAGCTGATTGCAAGAAATACAAAATAAAATAAAATACCTTGCCATGGTGAGTTTCAAAAGATTGATTGATAGAATGCATTGTTGATCAATAGCATAATGTAAATGATACTTCAGATTCAAATAGAGTTAAGTAAGGTATTGTAATCTTAAATGGTGTAATTTGCTGTGGATTTATCAGGTGAAGAATAAATAACATAGGATGATTGTATTGTCCTTGCTTTACATACCTGTGAGTAGTCTTCTTCATCCTCATCATCACCATCAGTACTTTTATCTCTTTTCTCCTCCTCATCCTTGACATCTTCTCCATCTTCCTCTTCATCTCTCCTTCCTTCATCATCATTCCCATCATCATCCTGATCAGCCTGGGAAGCCATGCTCTGGTACACCTCAAAATCTTCTGAATACTCTGGAGCTACAGAATCAAAAAGGTAAAATTTTTAAGGAAGACTTTAATGGTGTATATGCAAGTAGTTGTGTAAATAAGTATTTTAAAAGACATGTTGACAGAAAATCCCACAGGAACAGGTGAAAATTAAATTGAACGCCCAAAATATAGAGTAAAGTCATCACCTGTGTACAAGAATAAGCCTGTAAAGTCTAAGGACGCACACAGGTGATGACTGAGCGATCACAACATTTCAAAACGAAAAAGTTTGAAAACAAATCCAACAAACAAGAGGCAAACATTGAATTGAAATCTTCAAGGAGCTCTAATCCGCATACAAAATGACAAATCTGGGGGGGGGGGGCGTTTCACAAAAACTAAGATTGACTTTAAGTTGGACTTAACTATGGCAGGCGATTCATTCCACTGTTTGCTCTCACCATTTACTGGCATTCGTCTTTCAGGTCATGTTCACAAATTTACAGAATTTATATTTTTTGATAATTCATTATTGAAGGAAAAAATATTATCTAAAGATCATAATGGTGAGAGCAAACAGTGGCATGAACGGCCTGCCGTATTCAAGTCCAACCTAAAGTTGATCTTAGTCTTTTTGAAACACTTCCCTGCACATACATTGATGACCCTAGTCAGGGTAGATCATGTAATCTTGAAGATTCTTTTCTTCCAATCCTTCAATCGGAATCACATCTTGTATCAATCGGAATCACATTTTGTGCTCTCAGCAAAGCTGTATAATCCTACCTTGGGCAATTCTTGACTTCAATTTCAACCTCTCTCCTTGGTCTGTCTTGATATCAACAGAGACCTGAATGATATCAAAGAAATATACAAGTTTATTTGTCTAGCATAAATCACATGTACAAAAATATAAAAGAGTATAATCATAAAAGTACAAAAGTATCATCTATACGCTGTATTCAATAGCACACAATGTAGAATAAAGAAAGACGACGAGAAAAATATCTAATTATCATTCTGCCAGAAGAAAAGACAAATATCAATTACAGCTAGCACTATGTATGACTCACATTAAGACAGACATAGCATTAACAATACTATTTTACGTAGCCTAAATTGCATGTGTGAGTGTTATAACGTTTTCAGGTGATCCCCTTACAACTGTACAAAAAGAATAAAGAGGGTTTGCAATCTGAGAGAAAGAGACACATAGATATACAAAGAATGAGAGGGGAGCAAGGAGCAGGGAGGAAGATGAGGAGAGAGAGAGACATTGTGGAGAGAGGGGTAGAGGAAGAGAGAGAGAGAGAGAGAGAGGGGGAGAGGGGGAGAGAGGGGGAAAGAGAGAAATTATGGAGAGAGGTAGAGGAAGAGAGAGATAGGGAGAGAGAGAGGGGGAAAGAGAAATTATGGAGAGAGGGGTAGAGGAAGAGAGAGAGGGAGAAAGAGGGGAGAGAGGGGGAGAGAGAGAGGGAGAGGGATAGAGAGAGTGGAGAGAGAGAGAGAGAGAGAGAGAGAGAGAGAGAGAGAGAGAGAGAGTGGAATGGAAAGGGGAAAGGAGATGTGAAGGGAGGGAGGAGAGGGGAAGGGAAGGAGAAAGGGAAGAGAGGGTGATAAATTGGTAAAAACAGATTTAAATAAAATTTGGCTACCTGGGTCCAGTTCTTCCGTTGGACCTTCCCTGGTGCTGTCTTAGCTCTGTCGACCCCATCTAGATCATCCTCTGCATTGATCTGACCAATCACAGCTCTCCTTGGGTAATCTATGTAAAACAACAAATATCACTGACATGCTAAACCGTTATCATTATCATTAAGAATTTGGTGCCATCTGTATCTGATCTGGGGGGGGGGGGGGGGGGGGGGGGGCTCACTGAATGACTGTAACCCATGGGTCTCACAAGTATTATTGGTTGGGATGTGGAAATGTAACACTGCACTGCAGTTTAATTTCCTCTTACTCTAATACAAGGAGTGCAGCCAAGATCTTAACGTGTAAAGGTTGTGACTCTCCTACGTACAGGGCATATATTTAATGTAATTATAATAATAATAATAGCTCGTTCTTATTTAGCGCTTTTCAGTACCGGAGGCCCTCACAAAGCGCTTTACAGATAAGTATATTATTACCCCGGTCATTGGATTCAGGCTTACCCGCACACAATGTACTGTTAACAGGACGGGGTACTCTCCACTTAAACCTAGTCTGCATCCATATGAAACAGGGGAGGGGCACATAAACTTTTACTATAATGCAAGCCCTAAATCAAACACCTGAGCAAGATTCAAACACATGATATTCGGTTCAACATGCAGACCCTTATTTGACAGATTCCACTTGCGGCTGAAAAATAAATATTGTGGTAGAAAAATTACTTTCCTATACTCTATAGTGACCTATACTATACTAAAGATGGTTTGAAGGCACAAATATTACGATGTAAGCAGGGCCACAGTTAACAACTTGTTTTGTTTTACATTAACAACACTATCAACCAGTAAAGTAATTTAAATCTTGATATCTAAACAATGTTATAGTTTTTGACTGACCTCCTGCAGTTTTGGGCTTCTTTGTGGTTGGTTTTCGAGGGGAATGCTTGGCTCCAGCTAGGTTAGTATATGCCCCATTGACATACAGTGAAAACCCTTGCTCTTTTCTCTCCAAGGCTATCTGCTTTTCATCCTTGGCTTTCAACTGCTTCAGCAACCTGTAAAAACGAAAGAAAAGACATGTACATAATACTAATAATAACAAAAGATACTTTCATGGGCACGAATTCACAAGATAGGTTTAAATTTAACCCATGGTTTAAACCCTCATTTACATAAACCCATGGTTTAAAATTAGCGCAAATTAAGCGTACCTTGCCTTGTGGGCATATAATATTGGATCTCTGACTGTGTGGCGCTTAATCTTGTGCTAATCTTAGACCATTGGTTATGTAAATGAGGGTTTAAACCGTGGGTTAAATTTTAAACCTCCGTTGTGAATTTGGGCCAGATTGTGCACATATAGCAAACTCAGGGATGCTTGAGGCGCCTTCACAGTACTATTATTAGACTGGCTCAAGCACTAATTCAAGCCAGGTCGAGCGTACTTGCACCAATTTGACAAGTTTTTTTCTCCATTCAATTCTATTCTGTACAGGCTCGATCACAGCTGCATTAAGGTGCAGAAATCACTTAAGGAATAAACTCCCACCAGGTACCCATTCACAAAACCTGGGTGGAGAGTGGCAAATGAAGATTAATGTCTTTCCAAAGGAAATTAGTGCTAGGCATGGATTTGAAGCCTGAACCATGTGATCCACAGTCCAATGGTGGTTCCACTAGACAACAATTCTAGACACACATAAAACATGATCAATGCAAAGTATAATGAGGAACTGTAGTAGAGAGCTTTGCCAATAAGGAATACCAACAGAATAAAGGGTAAGTAAAGAAAATTGTAAAACTCATACAAGGACATCTTGTATGCATTACAATTAACTCTGGATAATTTAGCTTAAAACACTTGTGATACATTGTCCTCAAACTTATCAACTTCCAACATGCAGGCTTGGAAATGTTCAATTTACCTATTCTTATGCTGTAGCTGTAGCAAGTATTCGTCGTATTTGTCTGGTCCCTCATACTGACCACGTGGGGTCTGCAAATGAAGAAAAACATACTTTAAGGTTCCAAATGCTAAATGATGAGCAGACATTCCTAGTTTGGAGTCATATCACTAAAGCATGGTAACAATATTCAGTGAAAGTTACACAAATTTGCTGATGGGTAGAGAACTTGAGATTAATTGGAAAACACCAAGTCAATAGAAACAAATTAAGGAACAATTGCACATAAAGATTGAAATCTTGACAATTGATTACAATTTGCATTATTGCACTTATTCAACAAAATTATAATATCTTCAAATGTAATTTAAAAAAGCACAGGATGATAACATGACCAAATGCCGCCATTTGTACCAAATCAGTTTAGTGTTTAGATGGCTGAAAATCAGAATTCAACATGGAGAAATGTTTTTGCAATTATAAAGGCTAAAGAAGGGCAAAGAAACAGGAAGAATAGGTTTTTTTTTTCAAATTTCAGTTTGACATTTTGAAGAAAAGAAATTGCAGAACTCATTGCAAAAAGTTTAATTTTAAAGCAAAATATATTTTCTCCAAATCTTTCATGAAAATTACTTAGGTCTACTCCATGCACCAGTTAGATCAAGATTTCCTCCTTTTGTTCAAACAAGTCATACAATCTCATAGCATGCAGTAGCTTCAAGAAAACAGACATATTAGCTGAAAGTAAGTCCTTATGTTTTGATGTTTATATCATGATCATTATTTGAACAATTGATTAAGATTAAGTTGAATTTTTTGTGTATGTTTTAGTAGGGTATCTTCAAGCCAAAGTTAAGGGTAAAAAATGGATACGAAAGTACACTAGCTCCTATTTTCTTTCCAATCTACATTTTGTCTAAATCAAACTGTTAAGTATAAATAACAAAAAAACAGAAGGCAAACTTTCCGCCAGATTCCAGGAAACGTGCTAGTTAGTCTCCCCCCCCCCCCCCCCCCACGTTGTGCAGTAAGGTTTGCCATCTGTGTATGGGGAGGGTTGACAAATTCCCCATATTACCAATCCAGATATTTATTTATGTTTATCAGTATACCTGATTTGCATCAGCTATCTTTGGTGGACTAGGCGTTCCTTTCTGCCACTGTTTGCGTTGACCCCCTGTGGAATGAAATAAAAAACACCAATGATATAAGACTAGAGTGGTAGAGACATAACATTGTGGCGTGCGCCTGTAATCCAGCTAAAAATGGAAGTTACAAACTGATTCAGCCGAGGACGCAGGTTCGAAACCGAGTCACGTCTTTCGGATGGTGACTTTACAGGTCAGTCATCAGACGTGAATAATCATATCTGATCGATACACGTCTGTAAAAACACAGTTACACACATGCACACACACACTAACTGCGTAAAATGCTCTCAAACATCACTGATGTCTGAACATCATATTTTTGTCAAAATGCATAAAAAAGTAAAAAATAAATAAATGAGATCAGCACAAAGTTTTATCCCTTTATCTTGTTTATTACATGCTATTGCAGAGAAATATTTTGAATGTGTACATGCAGTGCACCACTTTTACTGATCATTCATGTTCCCAGTAATTTTCCATCACGCTACTTATTTATATTCATTTATTCGGACCATGTGTGTTTACATGTATTTTTTCAATCACGCACCGGGGTTCCGCGCACCCGTTCACCCGCGTATTTTCAACACCACAAGTTTTTCTTCACTCCTGCTTACGCCTCGGTCGAGTCAACAACTCCTCTAACATCTCAGTTGAGTCCCCACGTCTCTGCATGATTTTCTCTCCGGGCTGATTCTCTTCTATGCCTATCCCCTGCTGGGAGCTACCAGTTTCTTCACCGGTAGCCTTTCACCCACACGAGCTCAATTCACCACAGCTCATCTAAACATTCATCATTGAAGTTCGGCGCATCAATCGAGCAACTCACTGCTCAGCACCACTACCGGCTTTGATGTCTGCATTTCTACCTTGGCTTCCGACATCGAGCGACTCACCGCTTTGTCGTCGAGTGCCACATTCTTCTCTTCTCTTCTCGCCCGAGAGCTCCATCATCATCATCACGATCGTCAGCGTAGAGATTCTTCACGGCTCTTAAGCCACGACGACGAAGCTACATCTCCACCTTCAAGCCTCTGCATCTTCATCGCGTGAGCCCCTTTCTTCGTTTTATCCGTCATCATCTTCATTGGACTTTCGATGACATTTCCACTCGTCGTAAGCTCTATCTATTCATTGCATTTATTCATCATGTCCATCTCATTTATTATTGGCCAATGTAACTCTGTGCAATATTCACATTTACCATTTATGCATTCTCATTCCAAGTCATCAAAATGTGCTTGACTACACTTTGCAAGTGTACAGTCAGCTTTATTTATACCTCAATAAAATAAGAAAAGGGAATACTTTTATTAACATATTTTATTGTCAGTGCAACCTTGCTTCCTCGTAGGCGTAGCTGAAATAAAAATAGAGTTTTGTTGTGCAGCCGTGTGATCAGTGAATTTGATTTTGAACACGTTTTCCAATTTCCATTCTTCTTCTTCTTCCTTTTGATAGGGAGGCCAATGCCCAAATCTAACTTTTTAATTACTAATTTGTTTATACTAAAACTAAGATTAAAAGAAAGCATTTACTTTCACTAAGAAAATCCACCCATCTGCCGACTCCAGAAGTTCCATCAAATAGGAGATATCCAGCTCTTTTTATCCAGCTTCCTTCTACGCCTTTCCGTACGTAAGAGCCTTGAAACAATTATATTTCATGTCGCAAAGTTACGTTCATAATTAGACAGGCCCGAGGGACAAAGTTCATGATGAAGTTTAAAACTTCGCGCGAAAGTGCAATCACTCAACAGCGGCTAGCCTTGAATCGGTCGCACACGTACACACCTTCTTCTTCTTAGTTGATCCCTCCACCGACACAGGCAAGCCCCGATGCAGGCTGAAGTCCAGCCATCAATGTGCGAACGATTACATCTTCTACTACTACGAGCCGAAGACGATGGTTCAAAAAAGGAAAGAAATATATATAATTCATTGATATTTACCTTAGATGTGTATTCCAATAATTCGATTTCCTCATGAGTATTCCTTATTATCAACGATCGAGAAGTTACGAGGTCCAATTAAAATCCATCTTGCAGCGAACACAATCATAGCGCACATCCATGCATGCATGTCGTGTACTAATATTTCTCTCACACTCTCTCTCTCTCTCTCTCCCTTTCGCTATACGTAACATACACACTCACTAACCATGTATCATACAACACACACCTTCAAATCATGGCTTTCATTTCAATTCTCAATTGGAGTATAGACTGCTCACGTAGACTTTTTTTTTTACTGAAATATCTTTTTTAACACTTCTCATACATTACTGCACGACACTCGTATCTAGTGCTGTGAGAATAAGGTACTAGGGTCTATAAATAAGACTACGCTTTGCGCACGATCTGACCGGAGCTCAGATTATGTCGCAATACCCTTTATTTTTGGCGCGAACAATGACGTCACTGTTCACTGTTTTCCTTCTCATTTTGAGATGGATGTAGCTATAGGGCTCAAACCAACGCAAGATTGACAGAAACATCGTACTCTATCTACTTTCGAATGTTCAGTTTGTAAAAATCTGTATTTAAAAAGATAGAATCTTTTTTCTTTATATTTTCTAGTTGTTAGAAGTGGCAATTGTGAACATCTGAAATGTTGATCTCTATCAAAAGTTCTTTACTCAAAACGGATCCCATATTTTTAGGGTCTACCTTCTGCCAATGAGAAGGTTTTTAGTGAGCAAACCTCTACGCCCTCTAGGATTTTCTTAGTCGGTGGTGCGAGTGCGTCAAGGTCGTCTGCAACCACAATTATTGGATTAAAAAACGTCAAAATCTGCAAGATTGTCAACAAATGGTGAAAGACTGTTACAGATCCGTGATTATAGGTATGTTGTGAAATGTATAATTGTATTTTCTTTTCTTATTTTCTTCAATTTTTATTTTTACATCATTTTTTTCCCTTTGCTAATTTTTTGAAGTGGGCGACGAGCGCACAAATCGTAGGTGTAGAAGCCTTACGCCCGGGCATTGGCCTCCCTACTTTTGAGTAGACTCTACAGACCTCTTTACAGAGACAGAGTATTATCGTACTATACAATACCTCACACACTTATCTCTAAAATGTCTTTTCTACTATTGTCTAAATTATCTACACCATTATCACTGCGATACTGCACGCTGCATTAAACTTCGGAGCGTTGCGTGATGTCATTGCATTAGACCTACATGTAGACGTTATTACGTTGTTCCCAACTCTTGCATTTGAATAACGTGATTATATTAACGTGGGACTGATAGAGGAAATACAAATTGATTCCTCGCAACATTAGCGTTTAAATTGAGCGTCATAATTTCCCTAATATGTCTGTAAAGACTTTTTTCATGTGAGATAAGATTAAGAAACCACTTACTATCCATGATTACTTGTAAACTCCAGGTATGGCTCTATTTTATAGAACATTCTGAAGGCCGTAGTTTTTCAGAAAAAAGCGTCCCCAGCGATGTAATCCGTAGTCTTTGTTCCAGTGTAAATATGGACATCTTCGTTGCAATGCAATGTACACAAAATAATATGGAGTGCATTTAAAAATATTTAAAAAAATGAAGAAGAAAAAAAAAAGATTGCACATTCGCCATATGTAAAGTAAACTAAAATTAAGCAACAAATATAACTGTATAATATTTATTTGAAAGGCGGGCATACTTAGGCCAACGGTAAAAGACAACGGTTTTCATGTCTAGATCTAGACTAATATGCCATTTATGTTTTGCAATTACTTATTTTGGCATTAAAATGGCGAATGTTGCTTGGGGACTTAGGGGTTCTTGCATTAATTTTCTGCATGTGCCTCGCTTATATCAATAAAGATTGCACGGGGGCTCGAAGAATTTGAGGCAGTGGGGGCAGGCTAGCTAATTGAGCCCCCATGCTCAGAATGCAGCCCCCCCCCCCCCGCCCCGCCCCCGCGATGTTGAGTTTGCCGCCTTAACTTATTTCAACGATTCGCCCCCGTATACCCTCCTTCCACTCCCCCCCCCCCCCACCACGCACACCTTCATGATGATGACATGCATATTCCAACTGCATAATAATCATCATATCATTTCATGGAGGAATTCTATTAATACCTATTTTTATTTACATATGTATATATTTATTGTTTGCGTTTGGTATAGGCCTATGCCAATAGGAGCTCGCAAGCCAATAAATGACATGATGCATAATGGTCTATATTTTCTTTATCTTTGATCTAGTTAGGCCTGCCCTTTGATAAAGGAAACACCACCCAAACCAATATCATTAAAACGGTCTGAACTCCGATTATTTTATTTAATTATCCCCCGGCCCCCACACCACTTCGGCTTGCTTATTCTCGTGCAAAATGCTTACTTTATACTCCTCCTTTTAAGAAAAATGGGGGGTCCGATCCCCATTATCCCATAATGTATTCACCCCTAGATAGTTTGGCTCACCCGGTTTCTCTTGACCCGACATTCCCTCGGGATGTCACATACTCACATTTCCCTGTTCCATGCAGAGCTAATCAGAAGTTCGGAGGTTTAATGTTGCACCTTAGTATGAACAAAACAGATTATAAAAAAGGAAGACATGACTAAACTTAACGAGGACAAACGAAAAACCAGACTAACATATTAAAAATCTTTTGGCTTTATACAACTACCCGATAAAATGCCCATACAACACTGCCGAAGCAGAAACGATGTGGGTTGATGAAAGGTGCAAGGACCTTCTAAATTTAAGCCAACGCTATATAAAAGGCAATGTATACTCTTCGCGTACAGTTATGAAGCATTAAAACAAGAGGAATTAATTGGCATGATTCTCATTCCTTTTGAAATCGTCATCTTGAGTTAACGCCTCTACGCCCCCACCCCCCCCCCCATCATATTAGGGTGGTGATTTATTTCATGCTCGGAGGAGGTGGGGAGTAGCCCAAGCGAGTGTGTCGCCATCGATCAGTCGAACGGGAGTAATTGTGTGACAACATTACTATTTTGTGTTAAACACCAAGATGCACCACCAACAGTAAACGTGAAATTATTCTGTGTTTTAACCCTATTATAAACATTAGTGTCAATGATAAAAGAATAAACAAATAAAAAAGAATAAGGTCATATTAAATTCTAGGTGCTCGTAAAAGGTTGTCTTCTCTATAAAGAAATAGGCAAATGAGAGGTGATACTCATGTTAGATTCGTGGTAGGTCATCTAAATAGCCTTTGGTTTTCCTTCATTTTAGGCGTATTCCCTGACAATGTCATTGTCCACTTGATTAAAAAGTAAATGATACGTGTCATAATGTGAACACACAAATACATACCGGTGAAGCATACACAAGTCAAACAGGGGACCATGTCAACTTGAAAATACACGTATACAGTCAAACCTGTCTTTTAGGGCCACATAAGAGAAGCTGGTAAACTTAATCGTGTCACTGTAGACAGTTGACCTTACTATACAGGTTCTACCGTTCTACAACAAATGAGGGAGACAAGTGATGGGACCAATATGGACATGAATGATAGACAGTAGACCTACTTGAAAATATTTTGTTTGCTTTCTTAATATTGTTACAATTTTTTACCAAAATGTGAGTTTGATTTTATTGGCAGGACAAAGGAGTCTTGAGAGGATGAAAGTGCAAATATAAAAACGGGGCGGTATGGTGATGCAATATTATTGTTTACTTGGTCGGAAATTTGTGAGGATGTGGGGGGGGGGTGGCAAACTAAACCCTCGCTTCTTCAAATTCACTAGACAAGAGTGGTCAATGATAACTGTGATGGATGTTTGATTGATAACTCGAGGTTAAATCTGGTTCGGAAATGGATTAGATAGCCATATTGCTCTTCTTTTTTTTCGCCTTGCACACCCATCGCTATAAATAAACTGGTTATCGTTTACTGGTCACGGCGTCCTTATATTGACCTCGTAGAAGTACGTGTATACGTGGTAGTCATCAGTCCCAACGTCCGATTTCTATTCCATTTTTTTCCTGTTTTCAGCCTCGGGGTTATTTGGTAGGCCTATATGATTTTATTTGAGGAATGCCTTGAGGACAAGACACCCAAAACATACCTAACATGTCCTCTTTTAATTTTCGAAGTATTTGAATTACGTGTTGAAGAAATGACCGAAAAACAGGGAGTGAAATGGGTTTTATGACGGACCAGAGGCGGAATTTTGTGGATTTTAAAACTAAATATGGAGGCACGATTAGAAATAAAATTCGGACAAGGTAGAGGATCGAGGAGAATGAAAAAATAAGAGAAGGAATGATAGAAGGAAGAGAAGGAGGGGAAGTAAAAAAGGAAGAACAAAAAGAAGAAGGAAAGGACTCTGAAAAAAGGAAAAAGAAGAAGAAGGGGCACATTTTGTTGTGTTGTGTATCAAAATTGGGGGAGGGTAGGGTGCATGGAACGTTGCTCACCGTAAACTTGGCAATGGATGTTACTCTCGGCCTGTATCTCATCCAAATCCACCCATTAATTTTGTAAGGTCAAATGAAACTGCAAGTGTCTTAATTTTCTAGAAAATACCTAACAGTCATTCCAATTTAATCTAGAATTAACGGATGAAAACTAAACTATATATCTAATCCACTTCGTGATGATATGGAAGCGGAAAGACAGACACAGAATTGAGTGAGAGAGAGAGAGAGAGCGAGAGAGAGAGGGAGAGAGAATGAGAGAGAGAGAATGAGAGAGAGAGAGAGAGAGAGAATGAGAGAGAGAGAGAGAGAGAGAGAGAGAGAGAGAGAGAGAGAAAGGGGAAGATGTACTAAGAACAGTGAAAAATATATATTTACGTGGGCGGAAACAAATGACATTTCGGCATAGGCATGACAGTATTATTATTATTATTACCCCACAAATTATTATAGTTTTCAACTTTTCTTTCATGCATTCATCGCGGCATGGACAAAACCATCCAGATTTTTTCTGTTGACTCTTGAAAGTGCAAAGGGTATAGACATTAGGCTGTGGTGTTTGAAGGCCATTGTAAGTAGGCTAATTGATTTACTTTCGACGATTAGCTATTTATCTTATCACAGTATAGAGAACGTGAGGGCCCCAAGTATGTTATTTCCAGAGACTGAGTTTCTGCCAATTTGAACTGTACCCCCAAACAGTTATATTGTAATGTCCGTTATGATTATTGCTGTCAGATTTACCCATATATCATTTGCCATAATTAGCATAAAATATTTATATGAATTAGCGTTGTCACAATCTAAACATTTTATCTTATTTGGAGTAATGCAATAGTTGTTCAATTATTTATTTGTTTACATGAATCTTTCAAACAATGTCTATATTTGTAATCAATGTTACGCATTATATATTTGTATTGTAAAACAATATTCATGTACCATGTGAGTGCTGTTTAAAAAAAAAAATATATAAATATAATTGAATTCAATGTGTGACATTAGATTGGAATTGGATTTAGTGTAGGGCAATCGATGTTCATGGTTTATTTTATTAATGTGATCTAACTACCACATTTTTCTATTTGTCTGTCTTTCTATCTGTCTGTCACTGTCTCTCCATCTCTCTCTCTCTCCATCTCTCTCTCTCTCTCCATCTCTCTTTCCCCCTCTCCATGTCTGTCTCTGCCTATGCTTTTGTTATTGCTCTATGCCTCTTTTGCTGTTTCATACCTTTCCTTTCCTCTATTTTACTTTTTTTTTGTTTCTTGCTCTATTTATAAAACCCTTTTCAAATCACATATTGCCCCCCTCTCTCTCTCCCTCTCTCTCTCTCTCTCTCTCTCTCTTCTCTCTCTCTCTGTCTCTCTCTCTCTCTTTTTCTCTCTCTCTCTTTCTCTCTCTCTCTCTCTCTCTCTCTCTCTCTCTCTCTCTCTCTCTCTATCTTTCTCTCTCAACATGCACTCTGAGAAAAACTGTTATTTTGGCAGTAAAAACGATTAATATCGCTAACATGAAATGGGGAGTACATGCATCGTACAAAGTTTCTGGGAATAGAAAAAATAAAAAATCCTCCATCAGAAAAAAGAAATGTTGTTGTTTTTTCATCTGTTTATTACGATTCCACGCAATGATAGTCACCGAATTTCTTTTATCATGTCATCGTATTTTCAATTTTGTCACCACATAATCCGCTTGGCAGCATGATGAGTGATTTCTATAAACAAAACCCTGAATTATTTGTTTTTTCCGAGGGAAACCAAAACAAAAGTTATCTCTCAGCCTATATAGCTCCTATTAATGGCAGCCAAAGGGGTAAAATGGAATTACAGTGACTGGTAATAATTGAAGTTCATGGGAAAGAGCATTGTCATCCTGTAGGTTCGAAAGTTACAGTACTAATTTGAGTCCTAAATAATACAGCGTTCATGGGCGTCGATGAGATGTAATTTGTGGGAGGATGGAGGGGATACAGGAACGTCGAAAGAGTGGGGGGGGGGGGGGTGTTATTATCCCCCTGTTTTTTGAAAAAAACAACAACAACATGATCCTTAAGGCAGTCGTGTCTTTTATACACTTTATACAATGTAATTACTTATTAAAGGCACTTTAAAGGTATTATAATTGTAGTGATCACAATTCTCGATAAATATGTGGATTCTTTTGAACTTGTTTCCAATAGTAAGGAAAGAAGGGAAGTTTTGACTTAGAGAAAGGCATTCAAGATAACAGAAGCCACGTGACGTTTATCGTACGCCCCCCCCCCTTTTTTTTTTGCTACTACAAATTTCAGGTTGATAATTATGGTCAATCGTATCTACTTCGTGAAGTTGGTGAGAAAGTAAGTTCAAGCAGCCTGACAACAACAAAATCACTGATCATGCAAAACTGAGCATCAAATGTAAATGTAAATTTCAAACGAATATTTGAAGATTTTTTTTTTTTAAATACAAAGACATAATGAAAAGCAAAGTATACCTAGGCTTACTTTTCCCGCCCTCGTGTGTATCAACCACCTGTTTTCCGCAAACTACCACTATACACCAACTTAAAAAAATAACACAATCAGTTATCATTGTCATTTTGTTGGCATTGGCATTTATCAATCCGATGCTATCACTTCCATATGTGATGACACTAATCAGACATAGGACAACAAACATAGGTCAACAATCAGACTACCTCGTTCAGATTACACAGATTCGTCGTATAGCTATACAAAAAAAAACTGTGTTTAGCTCTACGACGAGTAATGATTTTTTTTTCCCCAGTAAAAACGTCGTATAACGAAACATGGTATTACGAAACATTGTTAGCGAAACGGAGTTTTGATCATCGTTTCGAACGAAAACTCGATAAAGAACAAGGGCTCATCTTCTAAATGTGAACGGCGTATCTGATGTATATAACTGTGTGAATTATCTGGGTGGGTTATCGTGAAAGCGCGCTGCATTTGTCAACTGACCTCTTCACAATAGTTTCTATACATGCACTACTTGTTGTCTTCGAAACTGTTCACACGATTGTCTACGCCCATTTCGCTATACGATGATTCTTTATACGAAGTTCGTATAACTTTCCTGTAGTCTGAACGACTACGGTATTGCGTGCGACTCTGTTCCATCCGTTGTCATCATTAGGCATTCCATCTTTTCGACCTGGTTGTTCGTGATCATAAATTCTATCATCATCGGGCGAAGAGCAGCGATCTGTCCGAGGGTCCAACAGGGTAAGATCGGAATTTGATTTGATTTTTTTCTTCTCTTCATTATCGCTTTTTTCCATTTACTTTTCAATTGATTACAACATGAACATGGTTAAGCAATTAATACAAATAATACAAAGTGATGATTTAGAAGACAATTTTCGTTGTGGCTAATTTTTAGGGATGAAAGTTCGGTCTAAACCTGTACTTGGCAACCCTACTACGTCATGGAGTTTTGTCCGACATAGCAATAACTAATGTTTTGGTAAACACAATGATTAAATCAAATTAATGACGATACTCGGTGTGATTGTTTTAAGCGTTGAAAATGTAACACGCCAAAAGCAAGAGAGAAATGAAGCAAGTGGCCATTTATTTGAATGAACTCTCTTGACTCAGTACATAATATACTTAGGTTTGGTTAGCTAGATATTATTGGAGTTCATGTATATTGCGTTTGGAGCCCATGCATACATACACGGTTAAACATACTTTTTAGTGAAAAAACGTTCCTCAAATTTAGATGAAGATTGTTTGTCATGAAAGTAATCTGCACCCAAGAACCCCACTTTTCAAACTGTGACTACACGCAATGATAATGAGTAGGTTATTCGCCGGGAATTCTGACTTCAATAGTATAGTTCTTGAATGCAGGTTGACTGTTTTGGTTGATATATTCATGCAAAGGTATCTAAGATAGGAGGGCATGAAGTGTTCGTTATCGAATTCGGAAACGGGTATCCTCCATTCGACAGAACATTTATATTACTCTTACTAGGGGCGCATTTATCGGGGCTTGCCACTAGATATGTACATAATCGTACCCCACTATTGAACCCCACTATCATACCCCACTTTACGATCGTGATTTGCGGGATGTCGCGTTTATCGTCCCTTCACGATTAAAAATAAAGGCCTTGTGTCTGCCCAGCTGTTTTGACCCGGGAAGCAGACAGTTTCTCGGAGGTCAACTTCACACACATGCTTGTACACAACACCAGGGTGGTCCTATTTGTATGTGAGGTTCAAAACAGCTTTGCGTTTATCGATCTCTCAGAAACGTGATTCTGGCTGTATGTCACATACAAACACACCTTTTTGCGTCTTTAGATATGCCCATATCTAAAGCCCTTTTAAAAAAGGCTTTGCGTTTATCACCTTCTAAATTTGCCAGAAATTTAAAGACGTTTGAGAAACCTGATTCTAGCCAAAAATCTGGTCGATAAACGCAACCTAGAACTCTTATACTACGGAAATAATGTGTTAAAACCCTTTTAACATTTTATGGCAATCAAATTTATCCACATATCTTGGCAGTAGTATACTTTTCCGTGATTTGAAGAAATTCACACTGCGCATTTCTTTCTTTTTTTTGAAGATAAAAGGGTTGGAGCGAGAGGTGGGAGACTCCTACTGGGTATTCCAAATTAAGTGGTTGGAATTCAATTATCCAATTTCTTTGAAATGGTGCAGCTGGGTAAAAGGGTAAACTTTGAGCATAATGAATCACTGGATCCTTGTTACAGGGGCTGTGTTATTTACCCGCTTTACTTGATCACTGACACTATAGTATGCTTAGCATGGCTCTAATTAAAGATACTATGTCCCTTTTGCAGCCAACATCAAATTCTGTGAAACTTTGCAGGAATTATAAATATGTCATGTATGTCCTATCTGTGAAACGTTAGCAGTGTCCTAATATTCAAAATATGCAAGGAAACCTGTTTACTTGCTAGACTTCACTGTCAGACACTATTGAGTGAATGGCTGGCTTTTTTCTTCTTTGGTAATAATATCCATAACATGAGCTGTAAAGGGTACATGAGAATTTGTCTACATCGATAACCCACTTCTTGTACCAATGGCCGAAATAAAACTGATTGAATTTTTGCGCAGCATAAACGTATACTACAATTCGGTACAATGGTTTGAAAATCAGACTTTTTCTTACTGACAGTATAGCTCTTTAGTCGATTCGTCAACTAATAGTCGTTATTTTCCCCTCTTAAAGACATTGTTAAGCCTAAATTAGTAATATCTTTCATATGCCGTTGGAATTTAACCTTTTCATTTCTTTTGGCCTTTAATGTGAATGAAATAAATAAAATTAACTCATCACTTGATTAATGTTCTATGTAGATATTTTTTCTTTAATCAGAATACATCTTTAAGGAATTGCTCAATATAAATTTTGATGATCGATTTTCTCTCTCTTATTCCAATCTTCTTCTGCCTTTACCTCATCGCTCTCCGTCATTATGGTCAAATTCGGAAGAGGGGCGCGTTTTTCATCTATCCGCGACCGTAACCTTTGTCACTTCACCTCTGGTTATGTGATGTTCAATGGATTCCATGACATTTGCTCCGGCGACAATTGCTCCGCTGTAAATTTCATACACTAATCGAATGGCTAACTTCAACCCTGGATTCAACACTATACCCTACCCTAAACCTAACCCTAAACCTAACATAAAACCCTATTGAAACCCTAACCCTAACCCTACATCTTAGACGAAATAAAGCCCGGAGCAATTGTCGCAGGAGCAAATGTCGTGTCACCGTTCAATGCAATTTACAAAATAGGAGCGTCAATAATTCGCATTTGTTTGAACACAACAAAAAGACACGAAATGCGGTGTAAGGGTTTGGGATGGGAACATTTGAGAACAAAGAGCCAAAAAAAAAAGAAGGAATTAAGCCAAGCTACGTTGAATAAGTTTAGCACTGAAGTGCCATGACTAGAATGACAAGTTCAATATTTAAGTTTTTCTGGGCTCGATCGCCACGCTTCCTCGCATAACAACGCATTAGTGTTTAATTCAAAGCTCCACTTTAAATGTCATGTATCTTGTGCCCATATGAAGAAAAAAAATCTGGCCACGCGCCGATGAATATAGATGAAGAGTTCGTGACCTAAGCGAATTGCAGAAGTACATGTATTACAGTTGAATGTGATTTGGGTTTGGAAAGGTGCCAGAATAAACCTGTTGGACAGAACTGTCCTACGCATTATCAAAACTGACAAGGTGGTCATTAATCTACTCATGAAATGGTTTTCAAGATAATACGAACAAAATAGAACTTCTGCCTATTTCCTACAAATTTTCTCTTTGATCAAAATACTCCCAGAAAAACAAGTTCGTGATTTTTTTTGGGTAAAAAACAACTCAAAACATTCAATTTGTAAGACGTTCCAGGAAGATAATATAGGACCCACCTTTTAAAGCAACACTTCACAATATCAATGACTCATGATGACGGTATAATATAAAAACCGCGTGATTGTGTAGGATTCAGAAGAATAAGTGACTGTTTGCTCCATCTTAAATAAGGTTGATCATCCTGATACCAAGAAATAGCGGATCTTGGCTCGGGGTCGCTATCACCTCAGTATGACATGTTGTTCATCCTTTAAGAAATACAAGGTGACGAATTTATTGACCCAATCACAAATCAGATTAGTGCTGGTAGTATCCGGTTATCTGCAGTTGCTGTCCTTTTTTTTTCTTATTCATCATGTTCATGGAGTTTAAGGGTAGATACTTTATACACTGTTGGTCATAATGGTGGAATAATTATTTTTACCCCAGTTTAGGGAAGGATTTTAAAAAATTATTTATTTCTAATAGATCTAGATAATGGCATACATTCTCAGATTTTATTAAATATTGATTTGCGAGTGTTTCTTTTGCATGACTGCTAAATCATATTTGTGCTACTATGCTAATCAGCTAGGGAACCTACGTCCTTAAATCATAATTGACAGTAATGAGGATTAATGCCTCACAAAAGGGCACTTATATAGCTGATCGACACGATTTTTATCCTGGGGCCTCACAGTAACGAGGCCATTGCTTAGCCCCTGAATCATGACTGTACGCAGTGTTTGCTAGGGTACGCGGCCGCCCCCACAAATCCCCCAAAACGGAGAAAATGCAATAAATTGTCAAAAATTCATTGCAATTTCCCCCCGCCCCCAACAGGAAAATTTCTCTGTGTGGCCATGCCTTGAACCATAATGCATGGCCCTACAGAGGAATTTTTCCTGTTGGGGGCCGGGGGAAAATGCAATGAATTTTTGACAATTTATTGCATTTTCTTCGTTTTGGGAGATTTGTGGAAGGGGCCGCGTACCCTAGCAAACACTGCGTACAGTCATGATTCAGGGGCTAAGCAATGGCCTCGTTACTGTGAGGCCCCAGGATAAAAATCGTGTCGATCAGCTATATATCAGTGCCCTTTTGTGAGGCATTAATCCTCATTACTGTCAATCATGACTTAAGGACGTAGGTCCCTTAGCTGATTAGCATAGTAACACACATATGATGAAGCAGTCACGCAAAACAAATACTCGCAAATTAGTATTCAATAAAATCTGAGAATGTATGCCATTATCTAGGCTATTAGAAATAAATCATTTTTAAAAATCCTTCCCTAAACTGGGGTAAAAATAAATATTCCACCTTTATGACCAACAGTGTATAAAGCCGAAGCAAATTCATATGTTGTTAATTTTTGAAGAAGAATCTACCAGCAGCTTTGCCTTTTTCAGCGGGACAACGATATACTTTCAGGTTTTTTTACACGATATAACTTTGATGTCTAGTCTGAGTGAAGCTGTCTAATATACTTATTTGAGTTGTAAGTACTTTCGTATAGTGACTGAGTAGTGAATCTGAATCCTGAATTATTTCCGTCATTACTTCCGCCATTAAAATTAGTTTTCTTCAGTAATAATTCTTCTGTATTTCAATTATTTGAAAATTTAGCAGAAGAATTAGTTTGAGAATATTTTGAAAACACTTTTGAACGTAGTAACCATGCTTTTTAAGTGATATCCTACCTTATACTAGGTAATTGAATTCATCTCTCTCTCTCTCTCCCTCTCTCTCTCTCTCTCTCCCCTATGTCGTTTGGTCTCTATGCTTTACTACTCCAACATTCTCTTAATACTCTTTCTCTCTCTCTCTTTTCCTCCTCTATTGCCACTATACGTCTTTCCCCGTTCTCATTATAAATTCTCCCACCCCCTCTCTCTCTCTCTCTCTCTCTCCCCCCCTCTCTCTCTCTCCTTCTCTCTCTCTCTATCTATCTATCTCTTTTCGTATAATGTCACTCTCAAACAAAGGAAAGGCATCATGGCTCTTGACATCTACACCACACTATCCATCGTCACCACCATCCTCATCTTATCGTGTCATGGTCGTGAGCTCACCAAACGCCAGGCCGAGGAAGACGCCTCGGCATCGACGACCACGGGTCCGATCAAGTCCTTCAAGCGGTTCAACGTGACCGAGAACGAGGCCGAGAAAGAGGAACTACCGTCCGGCTTCGGCGACTACAACTTCGCCGGATACGAAAACGACGATATCGTGGAAAGACACAACTTGCTTCGACGACGACCAGCGGCAAGGAACGACTTTGAAAGGAACGATCCCAATGCGATTACGTCTTCAGATATGGAGCACATGGTGAGCTGTCATTTTCTACGATTTTTCTCTTTTCTAAAAAAGATTTGTGCATTTAGCCTACTTTATGTATTCTTTCTATCTTCTTCCTGTAGTTTCTCTCACAAATTGTTTAAAGCACTATTCTATTTGACGTTTTGGAAACTTTCTCCTTTTGTTTGTGCTGAAGTAGTGAATTCGTGTATTGGAAATGAGAGATGTGTCTATTTTTTTTTTGGGGTAAATGTTTGCAAAATCGCAATTGATTGAATTCTTTTTTAATTGTGTGTGTTTGTGGGGGGGGGGGTGGTCTGTAGGTGTTGTATACCTTCGTAAATTTACTGCCAAAATTAATTAAACTGATTTGGGGTCATTATTTTCACTGTGAAGAAAAGAGAGAAAGTGGGAAAGGTAAATACTGTAAGATAGAGAGAAGAAAAAGAGATTGAGAAAGAGACAAAATGGAGATAAAGAGGGATAGAGGGAGAGATAAAGAGAGAGAGAGAGAGAGAGATAAAGAGAGAGAGAGAGAGAGAGAGAGAGAGAGAGAGAGAGAGAGGGGGAGAGAACGGGGGAATAACGTATAATATTATCTGCGTAAATGATTTAGTAATCTTGTCTTAAAATATTAGATTCTCATTTGGAATAGCATAACGGATTTTAGTTTTAAAAACGGGTACAAAATAAAAAGAGGCTCATAAGGGGGGAAAAAGAAGTGAAGCGGGTAAAATCTTAGCTATGTCTTTACAAAGTTTTCAAAAATAAGGATTGTATGATGACGATTACGCTGAACCTCCACAACTTTTGCAAATGCTGTAACTCTCCAATTTGTCTAAATAACACTGCAGTTCCTGTCTGACCAATCAATGGTCTACACGATCAAATCTCACAAAATATTAAATGATATTGAGATGATGATGGCAGTATAATGCCATAGGCACTAGAGGAAACTTAGCGGGATGACTTCACGACAGAGGACGCATAAAACCGAGTCGTTCATTATTCGGAGAAGGGCAGATATAACAATCTTCTTCAACCCCTAAAAGCAATGATCGGTTCTATTATCCGACAACTATCATATGCCCATGTTGTCTATGGGCGGCACAAAGATCTATACAATTGAGGGGGTGCAAATGTTGCCCCGATACAGAATAGTAATTTGTGTCGTGCGCCAGGATCTTAAAAATGGAGGGGGCGCAAATTTGTACCGATCCAGAATAGGAATTTGTGTCGTTTTATCCCCCATCAACAAAGAAAGTCGGTAAATTAGACCCGATTATCATTAAACATTAAAAACGATTAATGCAACTAGTTTCGAAAAATAAACTTTTTTATAAATGATTTTTGTAATTTATTCTAATTTAATCTGTTGATGCATACAGACTTGGGATGAGGATCTGGCCTACATGGCTATGGGGTGGGCCAGGTACTGCAATTTTGCTCACGGCCAACCCGAGAACGTCTCCCCATACAGTACAATAGGCCAGAACCTCTGGGCCTATACAGGGAACTCGAGAACACCACTTTCTGGAGCCGATGCGACACAGGACTGGTACGATGAGGTGACTGATTACAACTACCAACCTGGCTCCGGTGGTTCCTGCGGCCGAGTGTGCGGTCACTATACACAGGTACATCTTCAAAGACCTCTTGAAACTTTTTATTTGTTTTATATATTTTTTAAATCATTAACATGATTCGTTAATTGTCGATAAGCAACTGAAATCCTTACATTTGATTGACTATGAGCAGAATTTGCCACAAATCTGCTGCAGTTATTATTAATAACAAGATTTATGAAACAGGACCCAGATCCATTTGCCCTCTTCTATCATTCTACCCAGTAGCATTTCTAGAAAGGAGCTTGCCGGGGGACTCAAACCCTCCATCCCCATTTTCCTTGTTTATAAATGAATTTAAGCGAGGCCCATGTAAAAAAAAAATGAATACAAGAACAGTCTAGGCCCCCCCCCCCCCCATCTCTCAAAAATAAAAATGTATATATTCTGATAGAACAGCGCCTGTTTCCACCAGCCTCTCGCTAAGGGGGCATTTGGAGTAGTGTGTGGGGGTGATACACTTCCTAAAAGTTCAGTCGGTATTTACTTGCTTGTTGGAAAAAAAGGGTCACCCTTCACATATCCGCAACAATTTTTCAAAAACAAAAGAAAATAGGACTGCTGATATACATATTTTTTTTAGAATGGCTTGTTGGCTAACGATTCTGGAGACACTATTTCTTTCTTTTGTTCCTACTTACACTTATTTTCGAACCATAGAATCGTTTCCATCTCGGTAGCAGTTAAAAAATATTCTTGTTTTTAATGTTACCACCTTTTAGTAGCTCTCAAATTTCTTTCTGTCCGTTTCTTTGTCATTTTTTTCTCCATTTCGTTTCTCCTTTTCAACAAACCAGAACCAGGTAGTCCTTTAATGAATACATCCATCTCTCTCTTTCTCCCCCTGCCCCTTCTTCTGTACTCTTATAGTCATGTATTTCACCTTACTTAATCATTGATGGGAGCCCTAAGTTCGTGACCCCCCTGTTTTTGGTACTGTCTCTTTTGTGTGTGCTTGGCACAGAATTGTCGGACAACTGTTACCCCCCCCCCCCCTCCCGCCAGAGAATTCGTGATCCGAAATTTATGATTTGATCATTCCTGTCACGAAGTCACATTCCACAATTTTACTTTCTCTGTCGAGAATGAAACGAATCTTTTAATACAATATGAAGCGACTGGTGTAAGTGTTTATCACAAATTATAAACATGTTTTCTTCACACAGGTGGTATGGGCCGCTACCAACAAGGTTGGTTGTGGACGGATGTTCTGTCCCTCTCTTGGTAGCACGGGACTTAGAGACGCATGGTATGTCGTTTGCAACTATGCCCCTGGGTAAGTACAATGTTGCTTTGTATATAGGCTCGTTCAGAGATGACGCGGCATATACCCAGGTTGAAACTGGCAAATGGGGTTTAACGTCTTGCCAAAGGACGTTAGTACCCGGCTGGGATTTGAACCCTAAACCTTTGTATTAAGAATCAATTGAATGAACCACTGAACCACTGAACCACAACACTGCATCCTCCTGAATATCTAGAATGACTGATTGGTTGCCTGATTGATAGAATGATCATTATTTGATTAACTGATTGATGAATAAATTACTTTTTTAATTAAGTAGTTGATTAACTAATTGATTAATTGGTTCATCAATCGACCAATCAATTGGTTGAACAATTGGTTGGACAAATGAATGATTAGATGTTTGGTTAATTTATTGGTTACTTAACTCTATATTAAGAACCAAAATGTTTTACATCAATGTTTCCAAATACCTATGAGGTGGATCCTACTCATGCATTTAAAAATGAACTAAAATCAAAGACAATTACGTTATACATCACAAAGATCAATTGTTTACAATTTTAATATAAGATAAGATAAGATCAGATAAAATATTTATTCGTCTTTCTTTCAAACGTCACATAGAGCATAACATTAAATCATTACACATTATGATAAGAAATATAACCATACTTGCTATATATAATTCGGTAGTGTTTAAGTTTAACACCATATCATGTTCTATAATTGCAGTAATTGTCCTGATTTGAAAGTGACATAGTACTATAAATCAGTATAATGTTATAATCAACTTATGTTTATACTATTATTCCAATTTAGAGGAAACTATCAAGGTGTCCAACCATATGCTATCGGAGAACCCTGTACTAGTTGTGCCAGCGGGTCGGGGCAATGCTATAATGGGCAATGCAGTAAGATCTTCGTTTTTCAAAATGTTTATATATTTTTTTATTTTCATACTCATGAAAACATGAAGAATAATGGTTCATTAGTTGTTTGAAATCATCAAATGTTGAAACTCTGAAATATTGAAGTAATACAAATTTTCTTAGATACAAAAGAGGGCTGCAAACATATCAAGCTTCAAATTTACTTGGTAGCCTTCCTATATCGCAGTTATGTTTGTTATGGATTCAGCATGTTAATTTTATTTCACACGTTCTAAGTAGGCCTCTATACTATACACAAAAAATGTATAAAATATATAATTATCATGATCCTGGAAATGCATGTTTACATAATGGAAAAAGAATATGCTCAAAGATTGCGCTGTGTGATAAAGTACTTCGTGATTTCTGATATAATCGAATGATGATTAAGACATCTTTGGAGTTTTCTAGAGGAATAATAATGCCCCCAGTACTTGCAAACCTACATAGTGATGAATACAAAACATAATACTCTTCAGGAATTAAAAAAATTTATCAAATCTAAATGCTGAGGCATAACACAAATCATTTATCTCTTTCCAAACTCAGGGTCATGTGCAGAACATAACGACGTTTGTGGTGAGTGGAAATATCTTATTTCCTATCATTTATTTCAAACTCATTTTCCATTTTAAAAAATGCTTAGTTACAAGAATAATGCTCTTTTGTCATGACGGGGTATCACAATTAATTTACTTGAATGTTTGTATGTCCTTTGATTTCGTTTCTTCTATTTCCATCTCCTCTTCTTCAACTCTCTACAAAAAAATTAAATGATGCTTAGGGAAGAAAATATCCAGCCAAATTTGACAGATCTATGATCATATTAGAGGAGTTGTTTGGCGGTTCAAATATACAGGCAAATGTTCACCTCGACCTCGTTTTATATTTATCCTAATCTTCTGATTTTCCATTCTCCTCCTTCATATTATTTCCTCCTTTTGCTTCTTCTTCTCCTTCTTCTTTGCCTTCTTCTATTTTCTCTTTATTCTTTCTCCCTTCTTCTTTAACTCCTCCTCCATGCATTCTCGTTGTTTCTTTATTTCTTTATTTTTTCCTTCTTCTTATTTTCCTTTCTTTTTTCTTCTTCTTCTTCCTCTTTTACCTTCTTCTCCTTCTTCTTCTTCTTTCCTCCTCCACCCTTTTTTTCGTCACATCCTCCTCATTAATCTCCCTTTTTTTTCTTCTTCTTCCTCTTTTCCTCCTGAACCTGCTTCTTCATCATCATCCTTCTCCTCCATCTCCTTCTACCATGAGTAGAGTGTTCCCTAGATTCATGTGAGAACTGCGGTGTTGTGGACCGATCAACGTGTACCTGTAACTGCCCTGATGGTTTCTTTGGAACTACCTGTCAAGGTAAGAATAAGTCAAGTTTGTCGAAAATATATTTTTTTAAACATCATGAATAGTATCGGCACCCACCCACATTTAATTGTTTTAATCATTTCCCTCTTATTTGCTATTTCACACGAATGTTGTCCAATTCATGTCATACATGTATATGACCTTAGTGACGAAACATGAACAAAAATCTTCTCTGTCATGAATATTTAAAAAAGGATGAGATATAATAAAAAATCATTCTGTCAAAAAATTACCATTTTTGTAAGTTTTCACTTTCTTTCCTTTTTGTATCTCCCGGAACAATATCTTCCAAGAAAAGTGGCCCGATGAACATTTATTATTTGAAAGATAAATACGATTACGCTATGTTAGAAACCAATACCGACATAGTGCATAATCATGAACGACCAATGTCACGTTTGGAGCCAGGTCCTAATAATTCTAATTAAAACATTGGTGATGAGTATCATATCAACGATAATATGGGTGATAGGTTTCTTTTATAGTTTCCGATTGACGCCTAATTCATTAAACAATACGAAGCTTCATGGTTGTTTCCATACTTTCATCAACGTTGTTATGTCTATAGAGTTAGACTTCATGTTGTGTTCGTCGATTGCTATTTCATTGAATATTTATTCATTACATAAATCTATTATTGAATTATTGATAATTACATTTTTTCTTACCTGTATATATATAACAGAGCGATGTGTGGATACATCCAGCCGGTGCTATAATACATGGTGGCCCCAGTTCTGTGCCGATTACCCGCAGGTTAGGGAGGGGTGCCCTCAGATGTGCGGCATATGCAGTAAGTCCCCTAGACACTCTCTCAATATACATGAGTGGAAATCCATTCTTTGAGGGGTGGTATTCGGGATGAGTTTGTTTTAGGGGCGGAAATCAACGTTCAAAATAATGGAATCAACTCTCGGAAGAGGAAGTCAAATCATTACTTTGGTGTGGATTCCATTGTAATTTGAGTGGATTGAACCCCATAAGCGAAATGAACTCTAGTACCGCTCCTAAAAGGGTGGAGACCCATTCCCCGGCATTAAGAGAGCGGTCTTTTGATTCGTTTAACCAGTCAATGGGTGTGCGAAAAGAAGGTGCTGGACCTCTTTGGTTTCCTCCCTCTCCATCTGAAGAAGATAAAATAGAGAGAAAGTGAATTTAATTAATGAGGAAAAAAAATCGTTGATACTGTGAAGATAAACATGACATGTTTTTTGTTGTTGTATATTTTACTGACATGATTGTGAATCTAATTTATGGATGAAATGGGGAAGAATACAACAACAAAAATCTCTCTCTCTCTCTCTCTATTTTTTTAGAAACTTTGAAATAAGGGGGGGGGGGTGTTATTTTGACTTAAAGTATAACGAATTCAAATCATATACGAATGGATTGCTTTCGCTATCAAGTACCCATGGTAAAAACTGGAAGTAATTCCATATCCATTTTCTTGTCGACAATCAAATAATCTTAATCAAATAATCTAGCTTATCATAACGTTTTGGATGATTATTCAACATCGTATCCGGACACCTACCCCCTGGACATCCACCCCGGACAATTCCCCCACGACAACTACCCCTAGGACAAGTACCCCCCCCCCCCCCGGATATCTACCCGGACAACTACCCCCTGGATAACTACCCCCTAGGATAGTTGTCCTAGAGGATGGTTGTCGTAGGGGGTAGTTGTCCGGGAGGTAGATGCCCGGGGTAGTTGTCCTAGGGGGTAGTTGTCCTAAGGGGTAGTTGTCTGGGGTAGTTGTCCGGGGTAGTTGTCCGGGGGTAGTTGTCCTAGGGGGTAGTTGACTGGGGTGGTTATCCGGGGTGGATGTCCAGGGGTAGGTGTCCTAGAACCATTCAACATATCTAAAAGGCACCTTTAACATGGCTATTCACATAATTCCTTCCTGGTAATTCCAAGTAAACTGCAGAGGCGGTGCTCCCCCGAGCAAGGGGGTACAGTGACCCCCCCCCCCCCCACACATACACGTAAACACTTTATACAGTATCCCAACAGTGCCTCTTTTACGTAGGAAAACGAGTGTATACAGATGTCTGAAATTGTCTAATTTTTTAATTTTTAGATACCTTTTGTAGATGCCCCCTTTTTTCAGACAGTGCATATTTTTAGTGCCCCACCCCCACTACTTTGAAATACACTACGCAGCCACTGGTAATATGAAACGTGATTCCATCCTCACTTCATATCTCACAAACGTAATTGATCTCTAGTAATGTGGTTGACATTAATGACCTACATTTCCTCATTTTAGTTTCACATTTCTCTTTTTGTCAGCGAGTTATAATCACACACAGTATAATTATAGCAGATAGGTTAAAGAATGACATGGAATTTTAGGCTAGTAGATGACTACATAGATGTCCTTTTTAGTTTAAAAAGCGTGCAATTTCCTTAATGGCACAAAAACTGTACATTTCGTTTTGCATGAGATGATTGACATCGTTTGTGGTGTTGATTTTACAGTTATTCATTCAGATCATTTATATTATTTGTATGTTTCTTGATTTTCATCTCTAAAATTAATCACAATCATGATAAAGGGATTAACGTAAAATTATATTCTATTCATTATAATTCATTTATTCAATGAATAAATTCTGTTTACCCCTCAATAATGACACGCAAACCTTGTCATCTTCAATGCATTTTCCAACAGATGCCGCAGACCCGGACTTCGTTTGCCGTAAGTAGACTCAGTAGTCGTTACAGAAAATTGTTCTAAGAATTACTGAATCATCAAGCTATTATGAATAGTTTGTTGACACTGCTCCACATGCCCGACCAACAGATGACAAGCTGAAAAACAGATAACCGCAGGACCTTATAATATATTAATGATAATAAGAACGTAAGAAAACCATAACATTTCCCGCGAAATTAATAGATGTCTGAGCAGTAGTGTTGTTGAATTTGTTTTATGAAGTGATTTTTATCTCTGTAGATTCGTTAATTTTCTCGGAAAGAGAACTTTTATGAAAATAATTATTAGGAAAACAATAGAAAGTATTAAAGTAAAGCTGAAAAACAGAAAACCGCAGGACCTTATAATACATTAATGATAATAAGAACGTAAGCACACAATACATTTCCCGTGAAATGAATACATGACTAAGCACAAGTATTGTAGAATTTTGTTTCAGGAAGTGATTTTTATCTCTGTAGGTTTGTTAAATTTCTCGGAAAGAGAACCATTAAAAGTAATGGTACTCATTCAAACAGAATTGCCAATACGCCTTACAAAGATTTCGCAACGCGATTAATTGTTGTACATGCAATATACAGGTCATAATTAAATTATTCATACCCCTTGTAAATGTTTTTTGTTGTCCTTCGTAACTCAAGAATGAAAGGTGGACTGGTTGCATTTGGGCCGCTGTATAATAATTTTAGATGTAAGCTTCTCAAAAAACATAAATCGGGGAAATCATTTTTCTTTACAGACTGATTTAGTTATTAACTGTAACTAAACTAATAAAGATCCATCAAAATCAAATTATATTACGGAAATGTGACATACTCGTAGGCAGATAAAGGAAGTCCAAAGTTTCATGTGCACCTTAAATTACCAAGTATAATGAATTTGAAAACATATAATTGAAAGTATTATTCTCTTTTACATTAAGTCTAATCCAAGCTATAAACTAAGTAAATATTTCTTGCATAAAAATCTTTGATGTGGTCAGTATTTCAACAATACACTTTTGACTTGTCAGATTTAGGAATTGTGGTAAAGTTCTAAGTTAGAGCCTTTTCCTGCAGACTGGTTTTTACTTTATTTTCTTTCTTTCTGGCTGAAGGTCCCGGTCCAGAACCACCTGTTCAACCCCCGGTTCAACCTACCAGACCAGAAGTATGCGACACGAAATTCACAGCGGCCGCATACATCGGGGGAGTTCTTCACCTTTTCAGGGTACAAACAAAACTAACCGAATTTTACTTTAAAAAACAACAAAACGATTACGAAACTAGCCAACAAAAAAGAAAATCACAAATACACTATTTTGTATATAACACGGTCGCAAAGACATCCGAAAGATAATACTGAGGCATTTGCAATAGCCTTGTCCGTCAATTTTTAGATATGAAATCTTATTCGAAAGTGATTCGAAAATGATTTCTATACAATAGGGTAGTGATGATAGTGACATTGTTATCAAGTTGATTACTCGCAAGTCTTTCCGATTGTTTTACAAGATGAGGGATTTTTAAAGTACCAATATTTGGGCAATTATCATCTCATCACGGGCATCAATGATGTCATTTTCTAAAGTTCGTAGGATTTTTTTTGACAAAGCACATTTTCTCTTTGGAAGTGTGTCCTAAATAGAATGAGAATGAGAGAAGTTGATATGCAGGCAAGAGACGTGAAAGTACAGCCCCCTGGAGAAGTTGTGCCCGTATGTTTATGATAATAGGCAATTCCATTCGGTTAGAAATATATATCGACAATGATTATGCAAGAGTGGTTTATGTTGTTACAATAAATATCTCTATTATGATTGTATTATAATTGTCTTAACATCAAACAATCGTTTTGATAGCAACTTTAAAAAGATGATGATGAAATAATATGTTAGTAATAATATTAATGACAATATTGGATATTTTTATAGCGCACATATCCACCATGCAAGGTGTTCAAAGCGCTCTAATATTACACAGTAAGTTAGGAATTCCTTCCTACTGGTACCCATTTAACACCTGGGTGGAGAGTGGCAAACGTAGATCAATATTCCGAGTATAAAATTTTAAGTCGCCATTTTAAACGTAGACATAAGTAGAGGAATAAAGGAGATGTGGTTTTTTTTTAAACCACAATGAATAGTATGTTGTTGAAATTCTTTTGAGGTTAACCCATTCCATAGTCATGTGCAACTTGAAGAAACTAATGCTTATATTCTTCCCATGTATCTTATGAGCTATACCATGTTATAGGGAAACTTAAAGGGATCCGGTAACTTTGTCTCAGATTCTGAAACAAAATTCTGGATTTAGCTCATGATGCAATGATAATCATAAACCTTTAGGTCAGTCAGGAACCCCATGACTTTTACAAGCCGATCGCCTGTCTGATTATCAAGATATTTATGATTGGAATTACAAATTTTGAAAACCGTTCACCTGACGGTTTTCATAACACTACAGTCTATTGGGGAAAACGAGTATGGTAAAACCGGTCACTCAAAGATTTTTACTTTTTTGAGGCACTTCTTGATCATTTTAAAGCGCAATTTTTTTAGGGCTTCAATATTACACCATATCACAGACACTGATAACACGTAGGGCCGTGTATCTCAGATTTAACATTGTTAAACGATCCCTTTAACGGTAATGCTCGTAACATTGAAGCATTACTATGTTCTAAAAATAAAGTCAATGTTCTCATTGGCTTTAGAATGACAGAGTTTGGCGAGTTCGAACCAACGGCGAGTTACTCTCACCGGTAGCTGGGGATCTGGCCACTGATTTCTTCTCAGGTCTGCCCAGCAAAGTCAGCGCCGCCTATGAGCTCTCATCGGGAGAAGCGGTCTTTGCCAGAGGTAAGGTCTCAAGGAAGTTGTTGGGGTTGGGCCTAGTTGGGGCGAGGATTCCGGAGATAAAAAAGAGACCTGTGACTCTCAAAGAATAAGGGCTGACAATACGACACGTTTGAAGTAGTGACAATTTTGATCGATAATAACGGAAACGTTAGTACTTCAGCAAACTGACGTGTGAATTTTATGGTTGAAAGATTAACGTTTAAACAATTTAACTTCTTTAAACAATCAATCAATTATTTGAGGAAGTATTTTGTTTTACTTTGGACAAATCGGATTCAAGGAAGTTGTGCTTTTCAGTAACTGATTCACGACAGAATAATATCCTTAAACCTGTTATTTTATAGCGCCATATTCTGCAAAGAGTCGTTAGGTGCACGTGCTGGCTATAAAGGCCTATCCGAACTTTACATTGTCTTTTTGACAATGAGGGCAATTAAGGCACCAAACCCCAAAATGTCTCTGGTCTATTACCTGCCCGACCTGAGTAGCATAATGACAATAGCCATATTTTAAAGAGTGTGGCAGTTCTTCACATCTTCCATCCATCCCTTGTTCTTATGTTCTTCAGGGAAAAAGCTCTTCACGTACAGAGGCACTGAGCGATCCGCACGGGATGTCCTTCCCAAAGGCATTCCTAAAGGACCCACAGGTGCTTTACACATCACCTGGGAAAGGAATACCTACTTCTTTAAAGGTTCAAAAGTGTACCTGTACAACGAAGCAACAGGGCTGGACAGCAGTTACCCTAGACCCATCTCGGAGGTTTTCCCCGACGTCCCGACCAAACTAACTAATGCATTCTCAGATGCGAGCGGTAAGAAGCTATTTTTATTCATCTTGATATTATTATATTAATAATCTATTGCCTGCCACCACTACAGTTATATTATTGTAAGGCGTGTAGGAAATAGAGGAAGTCAATGAAAAAAAAATACATTTGAAAAAGAAAAAGTGGAATAATTAGAAATGGAGAGTCCGCTGAAAAACAGAGCTTGTGAATTGTAAACCCTCTCAGATAATAATAACTGAGAAAAGGTAGTGTACATAAACAGACAACATGAAAAGGATTGTGGCCAACAAAGACAACATTCACAGAAACACGTGATGACTGGAAACGACGTAAAGGTATAAATTATATGACGAAGAAAGAACATTTGAGGGAAGTGAAAAAAAGGATGAAAAGTGGGCTGCATAGTAGTTGGAATTTATTTTGTTACACCGCCAACTAATAATTTACTTCGCTTCTTTTCGTATAGGTAACCAGTATTTTGTCCGGTCAAAGAAGGTTTTCAAGATCAGCTATGGCCAGCAATCTGTGGACAATGGGTACCCCAAGTTCCTGACTGAGACCTTCATTAACATTTGCGCGCAGTAAACTTTACATAAAATAAATAACAGTTCACATCTTCAGTAACTTCAGAAACTGATAATTATACATGTATATATTTTGTAAAGCTATTGATATTTGTGACAAAGAAACTAACCAACATCTATTTATATCGTTATGTTTATCTATTGTTAATATTTAGTAAATAATTCACATGGACAATTAGAATGTTTATTTAAGAAAATGATATGAGAGTCATTCATAATCATTAACACGCTTATCTCTTTTATCGGATTTGTTCCGATATATTTCAACTCAGTACACAAAACTGAATTTCTACGTGTATAGTGGTAAATATTTGTCATTTATAATTTTACATGAAGACTGCTAAATTATGCAATTTAAGGAAACGAAACGAAACGAAAATCAATATCATATATGATTATTATTTTGTCATCACCATAACGTATATATTTAAAAAAAATTATATTTACGTTCTTTGTAAATTATGTGTGAGCCTTTATTTTACATGTGATCGAAACAAATATCCATGTTGAACGTACATTGGACAAATAAATACAATGAATGAATAATATAAATTATATTTTAACATTTTGCACAAAAGATGTATTCGTGCAACGTTATGATGATAAGTACAAAACATAAAATATGTTTTATTGCAATTATACTTGACTCTATCGCATTGTTTCATAATTGTTGATTACTAGAGAATTATATGCAAAAATGTATGTCATAAAACACAACTAATGTAAAATGTGAAGAGACGGACTAGGTATGAAATTAAAATTGCCGGTATTTAGGACATTCACCATCAATCTGAAAAGTATCACAGAAACTTTCGGTTATTAAGATAGGCTTTTTAATTTTTTTCTTATTATAGTCAATCTTGAGACAAAGTTGCAAAAAAAAACATGCATAAAGTTTAACATAATTGCAAATCAGGTGTAACGTTTTTGTAATATATACTTCCTGGTTAAAATGATAAACACTTATTATTTAGCCAGTACATATGATATATATATATATATGAAATATATAACAAGGAATAATCTTAAATTTGACATGTCTTGTTGACATTATAATATTCAAATAACAATTCATTTAATTGATGAGTGGCTTGTTAACCAACACAGTTAAAACTATAATTGAAATACGGATAATGTATTAAAGTTTTCATTCATATCTGTTATATTACAGCAAATGTTGTGTATGATATGTATTTAGAGTCACCTTTTTTTAATAAAAAGGGGGATATAGATTGAATCGCTCATAATGCTATGTGATCCATAAGAGACAGCATGTGTTATAGGATGCAGCTGAAATGGATTACCCGTGTACTTGTCTCAAACTATATCACGTTTCTTTGTTGTTTTGAACAGTTAAGGTTTCACATGAACGATAATTGTTATTAAAAATGCATGTAATAAAGACCACGAGGAAGTACAAGGAATAATAGCTGTTTGGTCCAACTTGTATTTATTCACAGTGTTTTCTTTATGCTGAGACACACTCCTGACTCATTTAGTCATCGAAAACAAATAAACGAATATCATTTTGCTAAATGATCATGATACTTATTGCAGAAAACCCACCATTTTTTCTCCAGATTTGGCGATCCTCTATTTAGAATATTTTTAAAAAGTTGTAATGAATAGAATGCCGAAGTGCAAACGTAATATTTGCTGGTCATCCGGGTTTTACTGGTTCTAAACAACAAAGCCTGCGCATGATGTTTAGCGCGAAATCATTCAAGCAGCCGAGCCCTGGATCAAGGCAAATTTTTTAACCAACAAAAACTGTTTAGAATGACGTCATACTTCGAAAGTCGATACTCCCATGACCTTACCGCAACCCCATTCAAAGCCAAATCAAATATGAATAGGTGGTATGTGGTTGCTAAGAACGTTTGACGCCATTTTGTCCTTATTCACTGACACTATAGGCAGATCAAATTCTAAACAGTTTGTTTTTGTTGTTGTACCAGAATAGCAAAGACAGAAAAAAAAGTGCCAACGGTTATCATAACGTCTGGATAATTGTCAATTTGTTGTCAAATAGCAATGAGTTCATGAATCATTAAAAATTGATATAGAGGGAATTTAATTTGCGAAGCAAGGATTGACATTAGTTAATTATCTGGGAGCTGGTTTAAAAAGTACATTGCCTCTTGGCCACATGAATGTGTTCCAAAAGGTTCAAAAGTCGTCTTTTCAAGACAGCAGGAATGTTTCGCCTGATATGCTTGATTTGCCACTTTGAATAATTTCGGGAATTTTAAAAATCTTCAATTGTATATCAGGCAGACTGGATAAAATTTAAACGGGTTAAAGGGGTTTTCAGAACAGTAAACTTTGTTCGGGAATCCACTAACCATTTTTCCTTCGTTCATTGTTTTAAAATAATATGCAAAAAGTATACTTGGAGACCCTGAAATACACAATCCATTACAATAAAACATAATTTAGTAGATAACACGCACATACCACCCACCCTTCCTACCCTCTCTCTCTCTCTCTCTCTCTGTCTTTTGTCCTGTTCTTATTTCCAAAACTTGTGAATGAGTTTCCTCGCCTGATATTCCCCTTGTACTATATATTGCGCAACATATTTCCTATCGTCTATCCTTTGTCTTCGGCTAAACTTTTGGTGCAGACGACACACACACTATCATTTCGGTTTATCTCACTCCTGCATGCAACAGGCGACTTGACATCATCATACTCGTTTCTTCCGCATAAGGTAAGATGTTGATTCTTTAGGTTTTTTGTACGTGAGACATTTTTTCTTCGTAGAAAATATATTTGTTTCGTTGTTTGAGTAGGAATATTGTGTTCATGTCATGGTGTGAAAGTCAGTGGTTTTATATGGTGGTATAGCTTTAGTAAAGAGTTGACCACGTGTTCTTTTCGCTCTCTCTCTCTCTCTCTCTCTCTCGAGAAAATGTAGTTCTGGTAAAGGTGAAAGAGAATGTGTGTGATTTCTCTCCCTTCTCTCCTTTTTTTATCTTCCTCTCTCTCTCTCCTCATATGCCTGATTGGAAGAATGTGAGTATAAATATCCATTTAAAAGGGTTGTTCTTCAAATACCTTTCATAATCGAAATGTTAGGAGAAATAGCTGAAACTCCTTTTTATAGTACATAGGCAACCTTTCTAAATAATCTCTAGACAGTTCATTTCACGATGTAGTCACTTGACCTGTACTCAACTTGTTTTTTATTAGCCAGGTTTGTAATTATATCACTCTGTATGATTGATTTTGAATTGAACATTAACCGGTATTAGCTTTCTATGAGCCAAATATCCGGCTTTCGTGAGCATCCTGCAGACTTTTCATGAATGTAAGCTGAACACCATAAATGATACTTTTGGTGTTGATGTCAAGTTGTATAGTAGATTGTTCACACGGGAACCACATTCTAATGAAGCCCACTTTCTCAGACCAATCCAATCACGTTACATTTGATTAAGTGTGTAATAACATAATTATATCTGTATGTGCGTGTGTGCATGTGTATGCATGTGTGTTTGTGTATAAACACTCGTTTCGACGATAAATTCAACTATTTAATGACTATGTTAATTGTCCACAGGTTTTTTTTCCGGGGGAAGCAATGTCCGCGGGGGGAGGGGGGTGGGGGGGGGGGAGTAATTTTCCGTTTGGGGTAGTTTTCCGGGGAGGTCATTTTCCGGGGGGGGGGGGGGATCATTTACCGGGGATGATTGTCCAGGGGGTAATTGTCCTGATACGGCAGTAATGTATGAAGTAAACAAAATCATTGTTCACCCCCGCCCCTCTTCGACTTGTTCCTCTTCTGATACTTGTGCGTAGCTTGTTTACAGGGGTTTCCCAAGCGGCTATTGTCCCTATAGATACTTCTCAACTGTACATTCATTGTATCACTCATTGCCAAAACATGCATGCATTGTCTCGGTATGGCCAAGAGTGTGCTTGGCTGTTTACCATAATATTATGACGGGTGTGAATGCATCGATATACCGCAAGGCGGGAGTTTCCAAGTCGATATCTATTATCGATGTCACCTTGAAGTGAGTCCAAATGCGTTGTGTACATGATTTTTTTTTGTATTGGTCATGTGGTCAACCACTTTATTTAGTCTCTTGATTTCTATTAATAAAAAAAAATAATGGTTTACTGGCGAAATGGATTACCCGTGTACTTGTCTCAAACTATATCACGTTTCTTTGTTGTTTTGAACCGTTAAGGTTTCACATGAACGATAATTGTTATTAACAATGCATGTAATAAAGACCACGAGGAAATACAAGGACTAATAGCTGTTTGGTTCAACTTGTATTTATTCACAGTGTTTTCTTTATGCTGAGACACACTCCTGACTCATTTAGTCATCGAAAACAAATAAACGAATATCATTTTGCTAAATGATCATGATACTTATTGCAGAAAACCCACCATTTTTTCTCCAGATTTGGCGATCCTCTATTTAGAATATTTTTAAAAAGTTGTAATGAATAGAATGCCGAAGTGCAAACGTCATATTTGCTGGTCATCCGGGTTTTACTGGTTCTAAACAACAAAGCCTGCGCATGATGTTTAGCGCGAAATCATTCAAGCAGCCGAGGCCTGGATCAAGGCAAATTTTTTAACCAACAAAAACTGTTTAGAATGACGTCATACTTCGAAAGTCGATACTCCCATGACCTTACCGCAACCCCATTCAAAGCCAAATGCAATATGAATAGGTGGTATGTGGTTGCTAAGAACGTTTGACGCCATTTTGTCCTTATTCACTGAAACTATAGGCAGATCCAATTCTAAACAGTTTGTATTTGTTGTTGTACCAGAATAGCAAAGACAGAAAAAAGTGCCAACGGTTATCATAACGTCTGGATAATTGTCGATTTGGTGTCAATTAACAATGAGTTCATGAATCAGTAAAAATTAATATAGGGGGACTTTAATTTTAGAAGCGAGGAAGACATTAGTTTAATAATCTGACAGCTTTTTTTCTTCAAAGTACATTGCCTCCAGGCCACATGATTGTGTTCTCAAAGGGTCAAAAGACGTCTTTTCAAGAAAGCAGGAATATTTCGCCTGGTATGCTTGATTTGACACTTTGAACAATTTCGGGACTTTTTAATCTTATCTTAGGCAGACTGCACACATATTTAAACGGGATACAGGGGTTTTCAGAACAGTAAACTTTGTTCGGGAATCCACTTACCATTTTTTCCTTAGTTCATTTTATTTGTTTTAAAATATATGCATGAAGTATACTCGGAGACCCTGGATTACACAATCCATTACAAATGATGATTATTTTTTAAACATGTGACATCCTAAACTATAATTCAAAGAAATTCGAGAATTTCTTATTCTCCCTAGAGGAAACCCGTTACAATAATTTAGGAGATACAACACGCACACACACTCTCTCTGTCACCCGTCTTTTTCTTTTATTTCCAAGAAATTGTTCCTGGCGGGAAAAAGTTTGAACTTGCGAGATTGAGTTACCTCGCCTGATATTCCCCTTTCGATATTGAGCCTTTTGATATTGCGCAACATACACCTTATGGCCTTTCCTTTGTCTTCGGCTAAACTTTTTTTGTGCAGACGACACACAAACTATCATTTATGTTTATGTCACTCCTGCACGCAAGTGGCGTCTTGACATCATCCTATACTCGTTTCTTCCGTAAGGTAAGATGTTGATTTTATTCTTTAGTTTCTTTGGAAGTGAAACATTTTTCTTCGTAGAAAATATATGTTTCGTTGTTTGAGTAGGAATATTGTGTTCATGTCATGGTGAGAAAGTCAGTGGTTTTATACGGTGGTATAGCCTTAGTAAAGAGTTTACCACGTGTTCTTTTCGCCCTCTCGAGAGAAATAGTTCTGCTAAAGGTGAAAGAGAATGTGTGTGCTTTCCCTCCCCCTTCTCGCACGCTCTCTCTCTCTCTCTCTCTCTCTCTTCACATGCCTGTTTGAAAGAATATCAGTACAAATATCCATTTATAATCGTAATGTGAGGAGAAATAGCTGAAGCGTTTTAACCACAACGCCATGCCATGCACCCATAATAACCACTTCAATGTGCGGTACATGCCCGGCCCCCCCCCCCCCCACTCAGAGGTCGGAATGACCGCATGCGTGTTGCCAAAATGTCCGGTAAAGGGGTACTTTTCGTGCGACAAAGTCCGGCCCGAGAATTGTGAGAAAAGGGGTGTATTTGACTTTTCACCCGGAGATTTCTTTAAAAAGGGGGTGTTTTTCTTTTTTTCTCTCATCTCTTTGGACTCCTGAGAAATTATTCCGAATTTAGGGGGGTACATTGAGCATTTTTTTCTGATTTAGGGGGGTCTCCAATGCAAAAAAAGCCCGCGAAAAGCCCGCGAAAGGGGGGTTCGGAAATGTTGGCAGTCCTCAGATAGGGGGTGCTTTCAAAAAGAGGGTACGAGCATATGCGTACCCTAAATA